GGGCCTGTCTGAAAATCCAGTCATTTTGGAGGGAGGTGTCAACCGACAAATAAAAAAATAGGGGTGGATTTAGAATTTTCTTTTGTTGTTTTATATCTTGATAAAATTTTGGAAACAGTCCTACATAAGGACAGGTACCTTTTGAAGATTCTTTTGGCAAGTGGTAGGAAAGCCATAACAAGAAGGTGTTATGGGATTATTTAAGAAATTCACTGTATGGAGAGACTTACTTCTGTTTTAAGACTTCAGTTGGAGAAATGTATGGAACACTGGGAAAAATGGACCAGGTATGCACCTTGAATAGTGTGACATTTGGCTTTGATTTATGTGTGTATATATATATATATGTATGTATTTATGTGTAAATGAATATTTCCATTTCAACTGTATCACCCATGATGACTTCATGTTCCATAAATAAATAAAAAGTTAAAAAAAAAAAGTTGTCACCTACTTGTGACCAAATTATGCAGAGACATATGACTAAAATAAGAACCAAAAACTTTCAGGATGTAAACAAGGGCTAAAAGACACAAAGTTGCTTGACACATAAAGGACAGATCAGTGATAATTGTTTTTCCCCCACATCCATCCCACATGGTCAGAAGTCTATTGTTCATATATTTGATTAATGAGGACTTATCAATGGGATATCCAGCACTGATAGTAAACGCTGTGGAAACAGTGAAGTCACAGACACTGCATGGTTACTATTTGCATTAGTATAAATGGATGAGGCTGTGCTGAGACTGATGTAAGTTCATTTTAAGGGAAATTGATGTGGGCCAATGGATGATCACCATGCAGGGCAGAAAACAGTGTGATTTGGTAGCAACGAGTACAAATCTAATTGACATCTTGATTAATTATCATTAACACCAGTGCAGGCAGGGACAGTCCAGGTTAGTTAATCTTGAGGGAGAGGAATGGAGAGTTGGCAATAAAATTATGCACACTGGTGCTCTCAGTTTGGAGGCAATGTTTCCTTTACATTTCCATTTTTATTGCTGTCCATTCCAGGTCATTTCATGCGCAAAGCAACATCAGACCCAAACTAATTTGCTGGCATCTGTTTCACATTCAAAACATTTCCATTAGCAACTGAATCCATCCACATAATGAAATATTGTTCAAAGAAAAATCTATTTCCAAAGTATTTAATTTAATTTCAAACCCCCAGATTTTTGCTTTTCACCCGCATTGGCAAAATATAAACCTCCAGCCATTTGCATCCAAATACAACATCAGACTACTTTTCTTAAATATTCTTCATTTCTTTAGGAATCAGTGAAATGGAATATGCTGAAATAAACTGAGGAAGCTACATCTTCACTGTCCGTAGTACTAAAAACACAAGTGCAAAACAGCAAAAGCCATCGATATGCAGCCTCTGTGCTGGGCTTTCTATTTGAAAAATCTATCCTTTGCAGAAGCCAATGGCCCAAATGAACTGATGAGTACCTGTAAATATCTGAGTAATTTTAAACATTTTCCCCCCTTTAACTGGGTAAGGATAGCAGGGCCTAAGTTACTCACTTTGTCTCAAAGAAAAAAAGATTAATTTTGGTGTCCTTCCCTCCAGCTAGAGTGAAGTGAAAAAGAGAGATTGGATGGAGGGCATTAAAATCTGGGAGGGTCCCTTCTGGTGCAAATCTGATGCTTGATAGTAGCTACTGTGTCCACTCATATCTGACACTGATGTGAGGTATTTTTGAGGGCTAATATGGAAACTTCATACTGTATAACAACAACAGCCCTCACAAAACTCCGTCCATACATTTAAATATAGCTCTGGTTATATAAAACAAGCTTTTTACTGTTTATGTTGTGTCAACGAGACAATTGACCCAAAACTCTGTCAATCCTAACACTGCACGTTAGCCAACCAATGAGGCAAAGGATCGTATGAAGAAGAGTAAAAGAAGTAAATCTGTTTATTTTTGTCCGATACCATCTTCTTAAATGAAGTTTCTATACGCCAGGGTCTGACTTGGCACTGCTGCATAGTTTGTAGAGGTATTCATTTGAGTATTTATTCATGTTTATCAGGCTTTTGTTGTATTTAATCATGTCCTTCTCCTTTAGTGTACCACTTTCAAATCATGTTTCTTTGGCCTTTACTGTGTTTGTTGTGTATCTGGTGTTGAGTCTATGTTTTTCTGATGTCTTCATGCTGTTTGTTGTCTGTATGACTCTTCTTGTCCTGGTGGTGAAATAGTTTACTCCATGCAGGATCAATAAAGTCTACCTTAACTTACCTTACCTTAAAACAGCATTCTCTCAGTCAAATTCCTCAGCTTAGCCACTGATAATGAATAAAAACTAATAATGTAGCTGAATAAGTTTATCCTAAGTTCATATGAACCATAACTGCCTGGAAATCGCCAACATGAAACTCTTAGGCAGGAATATAAATATAGGGATATAAATATGTATGAGGCCCCTTTAAAAGCACAATGACTTCCTTTTATGTCTTACTCTTACTTTACTTCATTTTGTGCATTTATTTAACCTGTAAGTGGAACAATGTCATTATAGGGAAATTATTTTGATGAAAATTGTAGCTTTCCTTCCTGACAGGCTGGGGTCAACACTTGCTGTAGTTATCCTGTTTTTAACTTTGCATCACAACCCACTTTTAAAACTTTTACACCAAAGGTAACACACATATTCTTGTTTTTCATGATTTTTGGGTAACTCTTTTTCATGGCCAGAGATGCTTAAAAACTATCAAGTACGATTAGTTTTAATTGGCTAAAGAAAACTAAACTTTCAATATTGAAAAAGTAATCATGTATGAGCCATTTTATCCATATTATTTTTAGGGTTTTGTTTTGTTACTCGCACAACCACTACAAGGGGTGAATGGGCAGGTAAATGCTACAAAGGGACACAGGTGAAGCAGTGATCTGGGGAACGGGAAGAGCACACAGTTTTTACCGCTAATCTCTGACACCACTCACCCTCAACACACATTACCATCATAGTAAGTTGGACGTATCTGTCTTTTTTGTTTGTTTTTCAATAAATGAAATAAGATCAATAAAAAAAAGAATAACTCAGCAACAACCTTGGATAGGACATTGGATTGTACTAGAAGCATGTCAAAATCACCTCACTCCCGCACCCAGACGGTGACTAAATTCAGGTCAGCATAGTCACTACAAATCATGTAAAGTTTATTGTGGAGAAATTAATCAAATGTACAATTTTGCAAATCTTCCACACTCTGGTTCTTGTTTTAACCTTCCTCCTGTGTTAGCTTTTACTACACACCCACTATGTTAAGGATCGGTTTTGACCCATGTCTCATCCAATTTGGTTCTCATCTCTAGGTTACCTTGTTAGGCTTCATTATCCATGAAAATATTGCTTATATTAGTTTTTGTTGTGGTCCTCTGGGCCTTTCTTTATCAGTATACCCCTCATACAGACATCTATATTCATGATGTCCAGACTCTCACATGTCTGGACATGCCAAACGTTTTTTTTGTGCAGGAAAAAACAGGCAAAATGAGAATTTCCTAAATCTCACATGATTGGAAGAGGATCTGACTGTCAGTGTGGTGCCTGACAGTTCACTTAATTTTTTCACTCCAATTTTAATAAGAGCATTTTATAATTTAGTCAATTTAATTATTTTATTTTTATTTTGTTGAAATAGAGTTTCCTGACAAAGTCAAAAAGTCTTGATGCAAAAAAGCTAATTTAAGTGGTTCTTATAAGCATTTAAAATCAGAAACGGGTCGGTGCAGACCCTAACACAGGAGGAGGGTTAAGCAATTTTGAGGTTAATTGGTTTTGTAATTTGAGAGGTCCACCTTTTCTAGTGGTCAGACAAGTGCAAAGGACATCAAGACCAATACTGGTTATTCCATGCTCACTAAAAAAACACTTAATGAGTACACATGATTCCAGCTCACACCTTTCTGACCATACACTCTCATATTGTGCACAAACACTCAAAAACACACAGATTTACGTATCCACACTGACTCAGCTGAACAGTGGCATGTTTTCCGCCTACACACATGAAGCCTTCATAAAAACATATCAGAAGAGACCCTCGCCCCTCATCCCGGCCTCTGTCACAAACGCTTCTCATCGCAAGGCTCCGTGTGACTCCCCTGAGTTGGTTGCCAGGCAACGGCGGCTGCATTAACATGCGCTGGAGAGAAAGGGAGAAGGGGGTACCTCCTGCCTGTGGAGTGAAAGCAGCCACGACAGCGAGTGTGAGGCGACGGGTTCCTTCACAGTTCTCTCTCTCTCTCTCTCTTTCTCTCTCACTCTTTTATAGCTGTCCAGCATCCACGGCAGTTAGTCAGAGATAGACGCTCAGCCACAGGAGCACAAGAAAAGGTATGTCAGGTTGCACAGCATGTAGAGCAGGCAGGAGCTTCCACCACTTCAGAAGCAGTGCCTTTTTTCCCTGTTATTTGTTTTATTTTGAAGTATTTTTGAGCCAACATAGTCGTAGAATAAGTTCAATAGAGGAGATTGGACAATAAAAGGGTTGTTTTTCATTTCTAGTAAGTAGAGAGGAGACTTGAATCTCTTGTTTTTGATAAGCTTAATGGAAGCAAATACAAAAGGAGTTTGGACATGTACGTATGAAAACGCTTTGCTACCTTCCCACCCCCATCTGCCCATCAACTTACTCCATCCTTCAACTTGACATCATTCTTCCACACAGACAAAAAGAAGAAAAAAAAGAGGAGGAGAAGCAGAGGTGGGGCGGCAAACTGAGCAGACAGAGAACGAGGAGGTGGGCAGCGCAGTTTCAGCTCTCACAAGGCTGAGGAGGAGAAAGTGAAGGCAGAGAGAACTTGGCCACTAGTGAGATGAAATTCTGGGAGGAGACGCTGGAGCGCTGCAGGGTACGATTTCTGCTGAGAGTCCTGAAACTGGAAAGCTTGGAAAACGAGACAACTCTCTCTGGATCCTGTGCCGCTCCACAGCCGAAGGATGAGAGGGGACCACTTTCACCCTAGTTGCCAGAGATGTCTGTGCACTACGGAAAGGCTTCCCCCTTCAGCATGTCCAATGCTATGTTATTCCTGATGCTTTGTAAGGTAGGTGTCAAAAGTGCTGCTGCCATCATACATCAGGGGCTTTGACATTAAACTCATCCTTATGTAAAACACTAAAACTTTACTTGTCATCTGATTTAAATGTGATGACAGCTACGGGTTTATTATAAATCATGATGTCTTTTAAGAGTGTTAAAATATATGCAAGCTCAATTTTTTTTGCACAAACTATTGATTAACGTTAAACACTGAGAGCTGGTGTACAATCCAACCGTCTTCCCTTTATTATATCCTCCAGGATACACTTTTTCACCCTGAATTGGAGGATGTTGTCCACAGGGGATATTTCTCATTACAACCGTGACAGAAATATTAAATAATTTGCTATTTTTTTCTATTAAAATGATACAATTTGTCTGAGCTCTATGGAGTTTAAATTAACTAAAAATAAAGCAAAGTTAACTTTTTTTCTTTTATTCTAAGTACACAGACCTTTTTAGAGAACTATACAGAAATTTTCTTTATTTTTTGGCAATAATATGCAACTTTTACTGTCAATTTTTAGCTCCAAGTCTGACAGCTTAATCTGTAACTTCTTGCATACTTGAATTTTTTTGGTGGGGCATTGTTTTTGTCTAACTAAAAACAAAAAGTGCTCGACAAATAGTAATTACTCAAGGCAATATTGTCCACTACTTTCTTTTTGCAAAAAAATAGATCACACTCAGATCATCTCAGTAAACCTGAAAGCTCGAGATCCTCCCGTCACTGTCTTCTTTTCAGTTTCTCTGTGTACTGTTCTTGAATAATACCAGACTGACTCTTTGTGTCTGATACTCCGGCAAAGTGAGTGTGTGATGGGCGTCAACCTGTGTGAGCGATTGTGAACCATTAAGACCATTTAAGAGTTGTTTGCTTACACAAACGCCAAAAAGTGACTCCTTGTTAGGATCTGCAGCATCGTTTGAAATGCTCAGATTTATACACGTGTTTAAAGGTTTCACACTTCTGTCAAGTGTCCTGGTTTGTTGTCCCAGGTATGGTGCTGCCCCTTTTTATCACCCTTCTATCTTTTCCCACTTTTGCTGTCTGATCTTTTCACAACAAGGAAAAGGAAAAAAAAACAGCTTCTGGCTGTTGCTGTGTAAGCGAACAGCCAGGTGTGAGCTTGCCTAGAAGAGGAAAAACCCTTAAGGACAAGTTTTTTAATAATGCATGAGAATGTGTTGATCCAGGGATGCCATATAGATCGTATTAAAGTTTGACGTTGACATGCAGTATACCAGCTGATGATTAACCACTGAGGGAGAAGTTAAGATGTTAAGTGCTGGAATCATTGAAAACAAGCTCTTGAGTGACAACAGGAATCAATGCAGAGATAAGTTAATCCTCTGTACCTCAGAATAGCACAGTCAAACAAGTAATCAATAAGAGGTGGAGAAGTGGATTCTGAGGACTGTATCTTCACTTGATTAATAATCCTTTCATTGTCGTAGTCTGTACATTTGATTGACTTTATATCTACTTTGTCCTGGATTATGACAGCTCTGATCTCTATTATACAGTCTGCTCTAATATACAGACACAGAGTTGTTATAGGGGGTTAACGATTATGGCTCAGTTGCTGTTGAGCGTTGGAGACGCTGGATGAGGAGGTACTGGAGGGGGTCCAGGAGGTTCTTCTTAGGATGTTGACCCAGCACTTAGATTTTGGTAAAGCAAGGATAGTGCCTCACCTCTAATCCTACTAAAAAGTATTCAGATCCCTTATATGAGGGGAAAAGGCCATTCTTTAAATTCCTTGTTCACTATTATGATAAAAAAAATCTTAAAAGTATTGATTGAGTTAAATTACTTTGTTCTCCTAGCTAATAGATCAGGATTTTTGTATGATTTAATGTATACAGTCAAGTCTTAGTTAACATTTACACAGTGACAACTAAACTGAGATGGTATTTCATCAATGAGGGGTACATTATTTTCACATAGTTATTTGTTTTTTCTGTTTTTCTACGATAAAGTGAATCGTAAAGTTCTATATGAAAAAATTAATTAAAGAAACTTCGCTTTAGTCAAACCATAGACGTTATAATAACATGGGCAGCTTCTTTGCCATGAAGCCAAAACATTTAAAGCCCCCCCTGGTGGCTGGCTGCAGTATTCATCAATTTCACTCATGAAACCCACCCTCTGGCAGGAAAGGAATGCTCAATGCAGCCCAGATGGATAACAGATGGATCATGGGCCAAACTACAAAATTAAGTTACACATCAAATAAATGGGTAACACTTTACAAAAACCATAATTTATAAATGGTAAATAGATAGTTTATTAATATTTAATCATCATTCAAAAACAGCATATACACCAATTATAAATGGCAAATAGATAGTTTATTAATGTAAGTTAATAGTTACCTCATCTAGATTAAACTGTGTGTCAGTAACACTCTGTAAATGGTTAATATTTTGTTTTTAAACCATCTATAAACATTACTTAGATGGTTACTGTAAAGTTAGGGTTACGTTTTTAAAATTGTAAATTGTTTTCATGCTGATTTATGTACAAGTGTTAATGTTCAGTCCAGTGGCTTCACCAGCTTGATTGCTTCTTTGCATGCATTTGCTCCAAATTATATCAACACAATAAGTCATCTTCCAAGCTCAAGGTGTTTTTCTCAGCTTTTTCATTTAAGTGGGAGGAAATGGGTAAAACAACAAGCTTGCAGACATCAATGCAATAACTATAGATTTTTAATTTTTTTTTAATTAAGAGGTTAAAAGTTAAAATGTTGTACCAGCAACATTATTGCTCTCAGGTAACTGTATTTCAGTGACTATTGGCCTTGAAAATGTTATTGAATGGAAGTCTCTACTCCCTCCCCCCTCTCTCTTTATATATCCTCTGGCACATTTTTTCCTCCTCATGTTTTTTTGCTTAGCACTTGTTTATATCAGCAGCAAGCGGGCGTCTTCATGCATGAGGGCACACGCAGCTCACAATACAAAGATCTCCATTCAGGTAGAGGGAAGCCCTGAGTGTAGTCCTCCTCAGGAGAGGCAATCACAACCCATTGTAGCAGATCAGAGGAGAAGAGCGCACTTAAACACCGAAACAGAGTCTGATGGAGTTTCATGTACCTTAAGAGCACAATACATGACAATGATTGGATTCTGTTATCACTCAGTCACAGTGTGGGATATTGGTCTTTCAAAAAGGACAATCACTTTCAAGCCTGAGCAAAAAGCTCTTTACTTATAGAGTATAAAAGACCATTTACATTAAATTCAAGGTAATTCCTAAACACAAAAAGCCTAAAAGCACCTTTGACAAGAATTAAAGAGCAGAAACTCTGGTTCATATGTATTATTTTTCACACTTTTCCTTATCTGGATGATTAATCTGCATGTACAGAGTTTACAGTTAGGAACCTTTTCATCAACATTACAACTGAGGTTTGTTTGGTGGGGACTTTTGCAAGAAATTAAATGTGTTTAACCTTTTGTAAGAACTCTGTCAAAGTAGAGATGTTTAAAAAACTGTGATAAACAGTTTTTTTATCACTAGTGTTGCCATTTTATCAAAGTCTAACTGAGATTATACCCTGATTCTCCTCATAAAAGGGTTCAGCCTAAGAGGCACGTCGTGTTCCCAGGTATAACGTTTGGAAATACCTTTTTGTGAACTTTGACTGCATCCAAGCTTTTCACTTAGATCATGCAGACTAAATATAAACCCTCTAACGGGAAGCTGTTCCTCTAACATGTCTTACAGTTGGTAGTCTACGTATAGAGCCCATTGACCTGTAAAAGATTCACTTTTCTCTTGAGAAGCCTCTGGACACAAACTTGAACAAGCTGCTGTGCCTGCAGGCTAAAACAAAAACCGACTGCTGGTTTTCTAATACTTCACTCTGGGATACACAAATCAATACATAGGCACACTTCTAAAAAGTCCATGAGTCGAAGAAATACCTCAATTGATAGTCCAGTGAAAGATTTTTCTTTTTTCACTTACAGACCTCAGAAGGATGCCAAGACTATTCATCTGATGTCCAGCACATTGAGCAAAAGGAGAGCTTGTATCAAAGTTCACTTTAAACAAAGTTGAATCATTTAGTCCTGTTTTGACCAACTTTTTACTTTCTTTTTGGAAAAAAACTTACGAAAACAAAAAAGAGAAATCAAACTTAAAGTAAAACCCACTGACCCCGCTTGCATCACCCTGCTAACATATTCATAAAACCTGAAAAATAGATGAGGTTTTTTAATGCTCGCCTACACATGTCTTGTTATTTATGTCACAGAGGTTGTTTTTTTTTTTTTTGTATTTTATAAAAACAACTCATTGCTTTTCTTTTAAAATTTTAATTGAGCCATCAACCAGAGTGTTAATCAATTGAATCCTATTTGTCACAAAGAAGAAAATTAGGGCCTGTGTCCACTAACAGCATTTTTGGTTACTGTGTACTCTTGCTGGACTCTCAGGTGGGAAGCTTTTCCCTCACTAACAAATCAAAATTAAACAGCAATAAAGATGAAGGAGAAACTTATTCTGGTGGTCACTGAATTAATCTGCAATAACACAAGAGGGGACTCAGATATCTGAGGGTACAATTTCCAGGTCTGAGTTGAAAAATTTTTAAGTATGCAGAGCATTTTAAAACAGACTAATTAGTCACTACAAAGAGAAGCAGCAGTGCAAACCTTCACAGGTGAGAACTGCTTTGAAATTTAAGTCATGGATGCTGTCAGTGCAGAAAGTGCTGTCAGTGGACACAAGCCCTTACGCTACTGATGTGAGTTATTCAACTATCTATGATTTGGTCCAAATATCTTTAAATTATCAAAAAAGGAAAACAAAATTGAAGATTTAAAATTTCCTGCAAGTTTTCAATCCAGGAAAATTCAGTGGAAATTGATCAATCCATTATGATTAAAGCAACTGAAGTATGATTAATAACTATGGTTAAGAGATGTTATTAAATCTCTTGCATCATGACATAACTTTTACTACATTTCGTGGTCTGCACTGAGGAACTCTGAGGCTGGTGGATGATCATTGTTAGAAAATCTTCAGCTTTTTCATCATTTATAACTCTATGTAAAATACTTTCCTGTATTTAAGGATGAAGTCCCTGAAACAGTCGTGGCTCCCTCTGTTCGCAAATGGTGTGTGTCACTAAACACACATTAGTTTTGTATTGCTGGACCCATTTCATCTTTTTTTGCCATTTTCATCTATTTTCCTGTATTTAATCTTGGTTTCGCTGCACTCTCTTGAATTAAAGGTTAATATAAGGTCAAAAAAGGGGAACTACAGTCCTCACATTAATTATTCATCCCCTACACATATATTTTTTTATTTTTTTCATTTCAATTATCGCAGTCCACCATATGCCGTGACGAGGCTGCTTTCAAAGACAAACCACAGCATTTACAGTCACTAATACAACTTGTGTTTTTCCTTTTCTCTCTTATCGACTCACTCCAGATTGGTCTGAGAGAAAAACTGCAGACTTTTCCAGGGAAAATGGTAAACAATCTCCACAGTGATGAGGAAAAGGGAATCCAAGATAAGGAAGGCAAAGAGGAGAGCATCTTGGCCATGTTGGGCATCATTGGGACCATTCTCAACTTGGTAGTCATCATCTTTGTCTACATCTACACAACACTGTAGATCTTGAACTTTGACAGTATACTTTAAACTCTGAGCTCGCAGCGCAGCTGATACAGCACAATGTTGCCTGATCTGGCAACGAGAAAAGGAGGTGCAAGAAAGAGGCCAACCTCCCCTGGGGTTGATCTGGATCTAAGACTATGTGATCACCATGCAGCATCCATCCTGGTTCTCTTTGAACATCTAAGACTATGGGAAACTGGCTTGTTCCTCTCACCTTTACAGGTCGAATTAACAAGAATACCCAGTCACCTTTGACTTGTACATAAATGCATGAAGCTGACAAGAGAGGCTCAAAGAATGCTTATTTTACCAACATGGAGACTTCAGAAGCATGGACACTTTTTAAAGCTATTTTTCAGACATTCTGACGTTTTCTGCTTTCTTGAACTCGGTTTAAAATGAGGATGTATATAGATGGTAACCACAGGTTTGCTTTTTTCTTGAAGATTATCTCAGTGAAACAAAATGTTTGTCTGTTAATGATATATTTAAATTGCAAATTGGATGTTTGTTTTTATACAGTTTTTCTAATTATCCCTGAAATGATCGACTATGAATGGAATTTGGTGTTGGTAGAGACTAAATCAACTAGATATGTTATAAATTCACACAGTTATCAGTTGTTAAACCCGCATATATTGATATAAAATGTGTCTTTTGATAGCATTTGACTTTGTTGTTGTCAAGAAAGGGGCAGGACAGATCAAATAGCTTTATTTATCAATAATTTTTGTTTTCTCCAGGACCATGGAGGCTAAAAGAAGGAGCATACAGTACATTTATGAGAATTTGATTTTAAAGACTTCAGACACATGGGTCACACTGCAACCTGTCCAATCCATAAGTGTACATAGGATTTCACAGCTTGACATCAAAGGATAATCCCAGTTTTCACTGTATTGGTATCTATTTGTACATCATTCATTTTAAACTTTGACCTGTGCATAATGACTAAATGCCTTAAAACTTAAGGAAATCCCTATTTCCATGATGTATAAAACTATCAGGTTATTGGTACTTTGTGGAAGGAAACACTTGTAGTATATATGTGTGTATTTTATGGCCTATAACAACTTGTTTTATTTACAAACGCTTATATATCGGATGATTTTTTTAAAGAACATTCTCTTGTCTGAAACAACCTGCTAAATGATTAAGTTCTTCAGTTTTGTCCTTGCAAAATTTCTAGACTTTGACATCTTCTTTTTCTTCGTCTTAATACTTTCTGTAGTGTATGACGGCGGTTTGGGCTTCACCATCTTAATAATATGTGAAACTTAAATGATGGCTGGAGCTTTATTTGTGACTCCTGGTCATGTCTGGAGGCCTGTAGTTTTATTTCCCAAGAGAAAAAGGTTCTCCTAATTTTCTATTTAAATGAAATACTACAAAACACAGTTAGTGTTGGTAAGCTAAAGTCTTTTTTTTTTTTGTTAAAAGGAGAAATGAAGAACTGACTCAACTGTGACACTTTTTAACTGCTTGGTTTATGTATACTTAGTCCAGCTTTGTGGGGAAAATCCAACCCCTTACCCTATCCTACTCTCTGTGGGTGACTTCATCTTTTTTTATGCATCAGTACTGGGCTGCAGTACAAACTATGCCTAGTTTGGACTTAATTCTCTCTTACACTCAACAAGTGTTTTAGGGGTTCAATCAACTGATATGGATCCAACATAAGCATAAGTAATATCTCAAATCTTACACCTCTGAGTGGATATAAAGTCCTCCGTACATACCGTCATGGTGTGTCATTTTGAGAGATGGGATAATTTAGAGTGGGAAAAGAAGCAGAGGATTTTAAAGGCTGTTTTGTGTCGGTGGAAAACACATTTTTAGGGATTGACTACATCAGTCAAAACGTATGACAACTTTGATTTACAGAATGTTCTTGCTGTTGTTTCCCACAAACAAAGTTAATATCTGCAGAATAATAGTAGACCGCTGTATTAACATATGCTGTAGTAGACAATATCACCACTTGGTTTTATTGATTATCACCTTTTCGTAAAGCTTTGCCATATTTTGCATTACTTCACATTAATGTTAATTGATAAATGTGAGTTATTTTCTGTTTGTTAGTCTGTGTAGAGGTTACTAGGTATACACCCCATTTCATTTGGCTCTATGAACACAAAGTCCTCATGCTGAGACCACACACACACACACACGAAAAAAAAAGGTAACACTTTACAATAACCATGACTTATAAATGGTAAAGCTACGATTTATAAATGGTAAGCAGATAGTTTTTATGAATGTTTAATCATCATTTATAAATAGCATATAGATCATTAATAAATTGTAAATTTTACAACTTTAAAAACCTAACCCTAACTTTACAATAACCATCTAAGTAATGTTTATAGTTGATTTATAAACCACTTATTAATCATTTACAAAGCATTACAAACATCAGTCTCAACTTCACAATAACCATCTAAGTATTTTTTATAGATGGTTTAAAAACCAAATATTAACCATTTACAAAGTGCTACTGACACATTTTAATCTAGATGTTTTACAACCAATATTTAAACCCTACATAAACCTTTAATAAATAGTCTATTAATAATTATTGAAAATTATTAATCATAATTTCATTGCTTGGTAATGGTAAAGTCACTATTAACTTACATTAATAAACTACCTTTTTACCATTTATAAATTATGGTTATTGTAAAGTGTTACCAAAAATAAATAAATAAAAAAACAATTGAAGTTACAAACTAACTTGTTTAATTACATGGTTTAGTTTGGACTTAACACCCTAACTTTGGACTCAGCTGGTGCAACAGGCCACAGGTGATTTACTATAGGCACCACACAAGACTTTCAGCCATGTCTAGTTTGAAACTTATCGACAAAAATGACTCTTCAAATATCAAATTTAAGTCCATTGTAAGTGACATAAACTTGACTTTGTACTCATGTTGTTGCTGGCTAAGGTATTTACTCAACCTAAGTAAAAACAAAATGAGTAAATGAGACTGTTATACAACACTGACCTTGTGCTGATAGTTGGCGTATAAAGTCAACTGAGAAAGATCATCAGATGAATGTCACCCTGCTTTACAGCTCCTGCTTACTGAAATTCATGCAGTCGTTTACATGATATGATGTCCATAAAGATTCTACTTTAATGTGGACGTGTGGGCTAAAAGATTCTGGACAAATTCTGTTTTTGTTTGCAGTTCGAGTAATGTATATTGTCCACTTTGGTTTTAGTTCTGTGTAGGTAACTGCTTGTAGAGATGGAGAGCAATCCACTGCAGTCCTGCCATTTGATAATGATACGATTCTCATGTGAGGAGTTCTCATGTGGCTGTGAATCAGACTGATATTAACAGTGATGCCTTTTTATGAAGTGTAAAAGCAAATGAGACTGTCAGAAACGTGACTGACAATTCTTAATAAGTGTAATTTTAAATGCCTGAAACTGTTAAGAGGGTTTGATGATTGACAGCACTGATAAAAACTGTTAATTTTCACTTTTTCCACTGCAAATATTCACAGCGGGTGATACAGGCGACTGTTTACAGAGAGCAGAAGGAGATTTTTTTGGGGTAAATGAACCAATTTTTCCATGAACAAGACAAGAGATATCACTTAATCCACAGGGGGTGCCAAAGTTGACATAGTAGCTTTAATTTTAACTTGTCTATGAATAAATATATGTGTTTAAGTGCAGTTAATAATCCTTTCTTTGGTTTTGCTGGTTTTCTGTTGAATACAGAAGTCTCAGCAGGATGTTTAAAGCCCTTAAAGGTGGTCAATGAGTGTCATGACTGCACTTCAGCTGAGCTTCTGTGTAAGAAGAGCACACAGTTTCAAAGTGAAAAGTTGTATAACAGACTTTTGAGAACAACTCACTATTGCTTAAATTATCATTAATGATATGAACCCTAATATCTTATCTGACTCTATCCCTGGGATACTGTGCAACAAGAATATTTCTCAAAATGTCAACCAACAAAAAAGAAAAACAAAGCTCTTGGAGTTGCAACACGGTTTATGAATATGAATATTGATGCCCAGTATTGGAGAATGTAAGGCTCTATAGACGACAGGTTATAAAGTATGTTTAGATTCATAGGACTGTAACCTCATGATTTCAGAAAGTGCCTGAGATCAACGTGTCTCAACCTCAAAAAGTCTCAAGGTGAAGGAAAGAAAAACAAGAACCAATGCAGAAAAACATGTCTTCTGTTTTACTCCTCTGCCGTCATTATGGGACTGGATTTCTAAATTACAGTTTAGTTGATAAAGTCGGCCATTTTTTTGTCTGAGATTGAATGTTTTTTCTGTTTTGGAAGAGAGAAAATGAAAGCCTGGAAAGCACATTGACGAGTCTCACGAATGTATTCTCATTTGATGTAAATCTGACTATTCTTATTATTTATTCTTTTTTTCCTGAACATGTAACCTGAATTTATCCACATGTTTTCTGTATGTGTATGCTTAATCTATTTAAATATGTCTACTGGTCTCTTGTTGTTGACAAATGGAGGGGTTTCAAGTTTTTTCAGCTGGCTGTTTCAGTAAAAACCTTTAAGAAATAATACTTTGGGCTCATTTATTGGGATGGTTTGGCTTGGATGATGTAAAGGTGTGGACATGAGCGGTAATAAACTGAGTTTTATGCAAGAAAACTCTCACAACTACACACTAGATTCATTCTTCAATGCAAAATATCATTTTTTTTCAAAAGAGTAGAAGCTGTTCCCTCTTTAGAGATGAAATCTTTGAAAATCTATTCTCTCTTGCATTTGACAGCTGTGTGAGATTACAACAAAGCCCCGAGGAAGAAAACGGAGGAAGAACCAACCCTCACAGAGTCTGCAGCATTACATCCTGCAAGACAGATTTCTCTGTGTGGCTGCAAATCAATCTGAAAGATGGCAAGAAATGGACAAAGCCACAGAAACCAAATCTTTCTGAACATATTTATTCTCTCCAATCTTCTCTGGGTTTGTATCTTTTAGGTCATACATGTGTCAGAATAATTTCCCACTCTGCAAATGGTAACATACTGGAATAATCCTGTTGAAGAAGACTAAATAAAGCTTGACTTTGCTTTTCTTTAAGTGTGATAAATTAGGCATTGAACCAAGAACACGCATTGTTGTCTGAAGGAAGCTCAGCTGCATAAATTCACCGGAGGCGTGCTTTAAGCTTTTGTTTCACCTGGTTCCAGGAGGAAGCCGGCACAGCCTTCGAAATTACCCCCCGTGAAGCTTAAAGAAGGCTCCTGAACAATGTGGAGGAGATTGTGGTGCATCGCAGATGTATGATTCAACCCGGCAGATTGTGGGTGAAAACAGTCCATCTCTATCTCGCTGAGCCGACATCATTTTGATGGTTTCACAGGAAAGCAGTGTGGGGCAATTAATCTGTCCTACCAACCAAACCCTGACCAAATCACCAAGACGTACTCACGGCTGGTTAAGTCTGTCTGCTGCTGGTGGTATCCAAAAACAACTCAACCTGTAGCTACAGCAGCATCACACATTAACGTTTAACACCACATTGCCAAATAGAGTTTCCAGTAAGACGGACTTGCTCATTTTAGTTGTCTTTGCAGATCAACAGGATAAAGATTATTTTACAGCAGCACCCTTCATGCATGATCGCGCAATATGTGGAGAGCACCGAACACAGCAAAGGTACAGGGTCAACAGACTAACCTGTTTTGACAGGACTGCTTTAATTAAATCAGAACATCTCAGTGTACGGGTCTCAGCAAGAACTCAAAAGCACACATGCTGTTTTTCTACACTGGTGCACACAGAGTAACAGGATCTAATAAAGCTGCAAGCGTTATGTGTGCTTTTATGACTACAGCTTTACAAATGATCATTTGGTCATGTATTCATCTCTGCCATATCTTAGCGCACCTACTCTGTATCATCTTATCAGATTTTTCCCTGCTCTTACAAGAAATGAAAAAGTTTTAATCCGCGGTTGGGCGGTCAAAGTAAGCATACCCACAAAATGTCCACATGATTGTGAGCGACATGGACTGGACAGAGCAGGTAAGGGGGCGTCTGAGGTAGCTGCGCCTCCAAACACAAAGACACCATTAGCTGAGAAATCCTTGAAAAAAGAGAGAGTTTATTAGCCCTGAAAATTTCTGGATTTTGTTATTAACTGCTTCAACTTCTCTTATAAACTCACAGCACTATTCTAAACAACACTTCCTCAGCTGGATCCCGCATCTATACCATAGACTGTATATACTATGGACAACTTGGTTCCGCCTTCTGCTAGTATATGGATTTGAAGCCAAAAAGCTCTTGGTAATTCCGCGTTTTCTCTCCATTTCCATTGCACAGTAGCGTTGTACGCATTCTGTGTAATACATTTCTAAAGTTTGTCCACAGTCCCCATAAGCTTTGCTGGTGGAGGTGGGATTTATGACCTATACTGCAGCCCGTCACCAGAGGGTGCTGTTCTCGAAGTGGCTTCACCCAGCGAGGAGGCAGATGGCGTCCATTCTATATACAGTCTATGATCTATACTCAAAATTCAGGAACACTTTAGGGTGTAAACTGTGCGCCACTTTCAAATTAACAAAGTATACGCTGCCATTTGATTTCTTCCCGTATTTTTCGCACTATAAGGTGCACTTAAAATCCTTTGGCTGGTCGGAGCACTGCAGCTACTGTAGCCTCGCAAAGTTATTGAATGTATTAAATAAAGTTTGACTTATCTGACTGTTCTTTTGGCTTAATGCGCTTTATAATCTGGTGCACCTCATGTATGAAAATAGACGTGAATAGACGCGTTCATTGATGGTGCGCCTTATAGTGCGAAAAATACAGTACTCATTAATGTAAACATTGCCTAAACACAGCCAGGAGAAATAATAATAGTTTTTGTTTCTTTAAGTAGATGATTAGTTGTGAAAAATCTTCACCCTCTGTATCCTGAAGAGTTTTTTTCTGAGCTGGAAAAAAGGCCCTGCTTTTCTCTCTTTATCACTGCCACCGCTGTTTTCTTTGCCAAGACACGTATAGGGCCAACAGCTGGATGCACTCAATTGCACATTCTCTGTGGTTGTCAAATGGCACTCTGGGAAATGTAGGGAGAAGGAGGAAGCAGTATGAGGGTACAATATAGTACCTGGTTATTCTGTCTTTAGAGTGAAATCTCAGACGGGAAAGATGTTTACTGACAGCCGTTATGTTGATCTACTCTTGTTAACCCTTTGATACACTCAAACTAAAAATGGAAATCCAGTTTAGTCAAACCAACAGAAATAATCTCCTAATTGTCTGTGTCCAAGTTCAAATGCTTGAGGAAAATCGAGAAACAAAGTGACACTTTTCATACCTAACCAGGCCACAGTTCACTCCAGAGTATCAATGTCGTGACTTCCGCGAGTCCAAAGTCCTCTCCCAATTAGAGATCTGAGAAGATTTCCCCAACAGATGTGTCCTACATAGATTTCTTGTCACAAAGGGTGCACATATCCAGCTGCCTTTCTTCACTTTTATTCATGCAGAAAAATAAATCCTGTGATCAAAATCGGGGTGCAGACTTGAAAGCTGGGACAAATCCCGATATAAATGTAAAACTTGAGAGAGGAAAGTGTGAAACTGTCTGGTTCAGCTCGACTGTCAGAGATTACAAACCTTTTTTTTTCTGCATGGGAAAAAAATGTTTTCATCCGTATTACAGTGGAGACGAACTAACATGACTGCTTAGGATCACCGATGTTTGGGTTCTCAGAGAGGAGCTCTTTCTACTGGAGAGGTGAAGAGGATTAACAAGGTGCAGAAGGTGAGTGGAGATACTTTTTAAAGGATGAGAGCAAGGTGGGAACGGATTATTTCCCCCTGACAAACTGTCTTAAACTCAATTAAGCCCTTATTTTTGGCTTTTTACACCCTGAAAGAAGATTTGTGTCAGGACTGTCTGTCACTGTGACTATACCTGAAATGAGTAATGAGACAACACAGATTTGAGTCTTTGCTGTGTAAATGATCAGTATATGTGCAAGTCTGTTTCTCAGATTCTCTCAAATATTACTTTTTAAATTCTGTAAGGAGTTTTCTGCCATTTACAAAATAATCAATAACCCATATCGATCCCATTTTTTTTGATCTACAAAAGCAAACAAGATCATTGGCAACCAGATTGACAAATTTGTAAGGTGATTTTTAATGTCTTGTCAGCACATAATGGACAAGATAAAGACTACTTTGTCCACAGGAGGCGCCATAATCAGTGCAAACTTAAGGTCCTTACACACCGGGAATTTGACGCGCCTGACTATACACATTAAACCCGATGCAATTTTCCAACTTTCCGGGGGGAAAAAAGACGCGTCCCAGGTGGAGGCGAGAAGACTGATACAACAGCAGACTGACTGTTTTTCAGTTCTGATTAGACACTAGTGTTGAGATGTCTGTCTGTCATGATAGCATGTACTGAGTCGGGGCCAGAACCAGATAAGCACATTAAACTATAATCCATAAACGTAAGGTAACAACCAAGACCTAATGGTGCTGTGACAGCAACGCGATTGAGTTCAAGACAATGAAAATACATATGGTATGTTGTATCTGAACAGGTTAGCTTACGAGCTAAAGTTACTTAGCACAGATAAAAGTTAAAACAAAGACGTTTAACAAACTGTTAAAGCACACAAACCATCCTTCAGGTCGTTATCTTTGTAATGTTTGTGTCTTTTATCAAAGAGTTCTCTGTTCTTCGACACGTAAACAATCAGCCGGTCGGCCATGTTGGACATACCGGTGAATCTGACGTCACAATCATACACGCAATCTGATTGGTCAGAAGTGGACACACAGTATGTGAAACTTTAGAAAATTAGACCGTGGAACAAACAACAAAGAAAAAAAATGCCGCAGTATCGCAGGAGGGGAAAATGTCACTGATATGAAAGGCCCTTAAGAGTTCCTCATTGGAGCTTTAACAAGTAAATTTGAACACCTCATTGTTAGATCTTTAAGTGATTGAAAAATTCTTGTCATGTCAGTGTTGCTCATATTTTGGTTATTTTTCCTTGAAATAAGACTCATACATTTGCTTAGTTTTTAGTTTTTTCAAGGTCCGGACAATTTTCTAAAAACAAAAAGCTAAAATTCAAGCGGCAGAGTCACATTAAAAAAGCAAAATCCTAATCTATTTCACCCTCTAAGACAGGAGATAATTGCCCTTGTATCACTGAACTTGTGTTAAGACCATGAAACAAACGCAAACAGCGCACACACACACACTCGCTCACACACATATCCTCTTTCAGACGCACACAAAGACACACATCGGAGCGCACACACTCTGCTAATAAAGCAGCAGACAAGACAAGGGAAGAGAGAGTCATTAGACGGCAAAGATGCTTCAAAGCAGTTTGTCTCGCATTTAGGACACAAGCCAAGGATGCTCAGCTGACAGAGCAAACCTGCTTTGTAGTCATTTTACCTCGGAAAGTGGGTCAGCATTATCAACACAGAGGAAGGAATAAAAACCTTTAAAAGGCCTCGGTTCGAAAACTCAAGATGCTACAAAGCATTTCTCAGTCTTACTGCATTGATAGGAATAATTCTGTTACAGTTTCAGCTATGAATAATGATCATTAACCCCATTACAAAGAGGTGAAGCATCTTTGTCGAGGGTAAGCTGACCTTGGCGGGATGTTAAAACCCCTCTGAGAATACTGTTTGCATTAAATATGGTCCAGCTCTTTGACCATAAACGAATCACTGACTATGATTAATTATGCTAATATTTACTCAGGGTCTGGTGATACAGAGCAGCATGATTAAGTGGCTCTCTTGTCAACTGTCAGCCAACTTTTGCTTTTTTAATCCCGGCTCATCTCCCTAAATACAGAGTTAGCCGACTGGAACGTCTTAGAGTACGTTGGAAGATTTTCAGTGTAGTTTGGAGATTACGGTGCGTCTCAGCTTAGTGTTCTGCAAGTTTTAGGGATTGCACTTACATAACATACAATATATGTCATTGTTTTTCAGCGCTGGTGAATCACAGCTAATATATTATGTATAATCTGACTGGGATGTCATGATTTTCCTAATTCTGCTGTTGAAGAATGCACAAATTCAAAGTTTGGAGCAGAGATTTTAGAAATCCTGTTTCGTAAAGAACAGATCACAGCAAGTATTTCCTCTAATAGGCAGAGGAGAGGAAACGGTGCAGGGGGGAGACAGCTGTATTGTCTCAAGCTGAGAGTAGACGACTTAGCTCTCAGTATCTGTCACTGATGTCTAAACAAAGACCGCTGAGAGGATCGATAGAGTGCAGACCACAGGGCTTCAGAAAAACTGACTATTGAGGTGAAATGTCTCTTTATGAGCACAGCATGTATGAAAAACTACTGATTCAAATCAGTCCTGAAACTTTACACACTGCAGGGACAGCTGGTCAGAGAGTACAAGATGGATTTGATCTGGTCTGGAATCGATGCTCGCTAACTACTTCGACTGTAGTGGATAAGCTCAGCAGAATAGGGTTCGCTCTTACTGTACTTCTCACTTTTGAGTCTGATTTGAACCCAGAGGAGAGGGATGGATGACTCCCAGGCCAAATGATTAAGGCTGAGCAGACGTAAGGTTTAAGCAGAATAAAAAAAAAAAAAAAAGAGTCAGAGAGCAGACATAGTCGTATTCGGGGGGCTGAAACACCCCAGTGCACTTCAATCAGTCCAGTTGTTGAGGTGGCACACATGCTGTGCAGCTGCTGAATGTACATTCACTCATTCCTGCTGTTTGAAGCACATCTCTGGTGTATCAGGGGAACATCTTATGTTTGTATGATTACTGCCCTGCTGCAGCGTCATCACATGAAAATGGATGACAACATAGGACAGGATGTGCGATGGCTTCATAGTGCGCCTTTCTCTCCCTTACTTATCATCGCTATGTAAAAGGTGGAGCATGTACATATGGGTATTACTGATCATGCAGTATACTGTGTGAAGTTATGAGTACCTGGTTTACTGTTAGAATGTTGATTGAGGAGCATTGTTGTTTTTTTATGTATTTCTATACCACAGAGGCAGCTAATATATGTAACAATTGAGTCTCAGACAACATGGCCAGTGGGGGCTTCAAGTGCAATATTTCAATATTTATTAGTTAGTAATATAAATAAGGTTCCAGTTTATAATGGGGCTTTTTCATAAGGGCTTTTCTTTGCAATCTGTATATGCTATTTCTAAATAAATCAATTAACTGCTGTCTTTTATTACAATGTATACAGCATTTATAAATCAGTGCTTGGTGACTATGGACTATGTAATGGTTTCATGAGAGTTTTTCCTCAGCCTTTCAGGTTGATCAGACAGTATATTGATTAGAAGTGAATACTGAGAAGTTGATGAAACCTGAGTGACAAAGCAGAGATAAAATGCCTTGAATGCAGACAAGAACCCGTTCACAGCTGCATATCAATCCTGTCCCAAGCTGACGCGAGTCTTACTTGGAGAAAAAGTAGGAATTTATGCTCCGACCAAAAGATAAGTTATGTGGGAAAGTGAGCAGGATTGTGAAAGGAGTAAAACCACAACAGCGAGCGAGCAATAGCGCTTTATGTCTGTCAAAGTGAAATTACTTGACATGTATTATGGCTTCAGCACACCAGCTAAAGTTGAGGTCACATGACAATAAAACCAGCTGATTCAAGTTCAAGACATGTTTCATTTACAAGTGACCATCAATTGACTTTTGTTTAGATGAACATTTAGAGCCAGTTTCAAGTCAAAACAACACTACTGTCCAAATATCAACCATGAGAGATCTTATTTAAGTAGAAAGAAATGCATGCCATAATAAATAGTCCAACATTAGGAGGGGTTACAGAGTAAATCATTATTATAAACACTTGCTGTAAAGAAGTCCCCCTCAGAAGGTGTTGGTGCATCAGCAGGAACAGCCACCCAGTCCAGCTCTGGCTCACAGTCACAATCATCATATTTGCTGTCAGACTGAGCTACCACGGCTGTGTTCACCATTAAACACTGCTGTAAGGACAGCCGAGGATACAGAGGCAGACAAAACAAGCATGCACACGACTGCCAAAAACCAGAGAGGACGTCTTCATTAGCACAGCCACAATAAATTCACAACTCTGTTACAAATGATGAGGAGAGAGAGAGAGAGAGGGGGAGAGAAGATATATGCTGCCCTCTGCTGCTGGATACTAAGAGGATGACGCCTGTCAGAGCTCTGGGATAATCTGCACAATTATTGTGCAAAACAGAAGTTAAATAACTGTCTTTTGGTGTAAGGTTCAATTTATCCCTTCATTATATATACATATATATATATTTTCAAGTATCAATAACTTGAATCAATGCAACAGTCATTTATCAACTAAAATACAGGGTTATAAACACACGTCATCAGTGTTACATTAAACAAAAAAGGAAAAACGAAACTATAAAATTACACATGCAAACACGCAGAGATAAAAATAGGTACTTGTTTGCAGTTTTTTTTTAAATTATTTTAAAAGCACTTATGTTAAAGTAGTTTGTTCATTTCTTGCACATATATCATTCAGTATGAAGTATCCAAACAGCCTCATTGTAAGTGACCCAAACAAACTTTGTCTGCTGCTGACATCTAGCTGACACTGATGGTAACAACAAAGAGTACACAAACCTCAGAAGAAACAAACTCATAAACACACGCACGAACGCACGCACGCACGCACGCACGCACGCACGCACGCACGCACACACAAAGGGGATTAAAATATTCATTAAATCATTTCAGAGAGTTTTTAGCGAGGACTTTACTGCTGATCTGATTGCAGCCACGACTGCTTGTTGTTCAAGTTCCATCTTTGCACCAGGGTTATTGTGAAAAAGTTTGGTATAATCTTAGTACATTTGATGTTAAGGCAGAGTTTTAAAATCTGTTTATTTTTTTTCCTGTTTGCTAACTAATTCATCCAAACCTCACCCCTCTCTTAAAGGGATGTTAAGTTAGGGTCAAACACACTGTAACACCGAGTTAGACACCCCAAGAGAGATGAATGTTGCCGACCGCTTGCTTCTCTAGAACATTTATGATCATTTCTTTATCCTTTCCTTGCGGTAATAATCATCATATTAATCATTTTGCACTGGAGACATGGTAGTTCTTCTGCCTTAGCGTCTTGGTCTGATTTCATTTCCATGAAGAAATGATCATAGGTGCTGTTCTGAGAATTATTTGTGGCTATAGAGTGGCTTTCTGGTTGAGCGTGTGGCTCTCTTTATTGCTATCTGAGGTCATTACTAAAGTTGGTATAACTAGAGAAGCAAGAGGTCGGCAACATTCATCTCTCGACGGGGTGTTTAACTCAGTGTTACAGTGTGTTTGACCCTAACTTAATTTTACGCCGGATATCCCTTTAAAGGTCTACTACTACTACTACTAATGCAGCAGCTACTCTTCCTGTGGTCCACATCCAAGAAACATAACATACGAAGATTAAACAAACCATATTAAATGTGAGGGTAAGTGTTAAAATACATTCAGCAGTGACATAGCTACAGAAAGTCAGTACAGGTTTATAGACATATGCACAGGTTTGTTGCTGATTTCACCAGGATTAAGTAGTTCTCTTAAAATTGGTGGTTTGTAACAAGTCCAGGTCCTCCTTTCACATAAAAACCTCTCTCTAAGGGCAGCGGAGTTAAACGTCTTTGCAGCCATTCGCGAGGAAAGTTCACTCATCTGCCTCCTGCTGAACTCATCCCACAGGTCATCCCCACCACCATGAAACCAAAGACTTGATAACACATCCACAAACCTGGGTGTACTGCAATAAACGTACCAGCTGCAGCTCCGCTTAAATAGACTGAACAGTTTATTCTTTCAGTTGTCACAAAATAAGAGGATATAAGTCATGCAGCATTTATGTTAAACTATAAGCTGTTAATCAGACTGATGACTACCACACATGTCAAAACATCGCTTAACAGGCGAGTCGCGAGTTAATGCTGCTAAATGCTTTGCAGGGTACAAATGACAATAAAGACATCAAGCTTTCATGAGCTGCACCGATTTCAGGATTTGCACGTTAATAAAGCTGTAAAGATGTCAGTAACACCTGCTCAAATTACTAATAAGTTCACATGACCTCTAAGTCATCCCACTCATGAATTTAAAAAAAATGAGTGGAACCTGAATTATGACCTTTGGAGTCGTTAATTTTCAAGTGTTCATTTGACTCTCGATGAGATTAGAGGAGACAATTATTCCATTAGCTTTGGCTCAGGATGTGTCACCTTTCAGGGCAGAGCGGCTAATGTATTGCATCTCCTTGTATACATGAATAATTCATAATCGTTAATTGCAGCCGTAGCACGGCCCCGTTCTCTTCATAAAAGCAATCTGAACTGTAAAACATAACAGGAGGAACAAAGTGGGCAGGGTTTCCAGTTTTTATTTTAGGGAGAACGCGATAGAGAGGTAATATTTCATGACCCCTTAAGAGCACAGTGCTGCTAATGAATGTTCTTGCTCTTGATTCCCCCATAACTTTTTTGTGTGTTGATCATTTTGGTGCTGTTTTATCCACCCAGTGTTCCTAAAGGTTCAGCTGCAAAGACCTTGTAGATTTACGCAATCATGCAGGTCTTTCTTCATTTATAACTCTTGTGAGGAACTTTTTGTTATGCTACCTCTTTTTTGTTGATCTTATCACGTCCATGTGTAATTGTGTTTTCTAAACCTGCTTTTATTTCAACAGTCAAATTTATCACTCAGTGTATTTGTGGAAGAATTTAAATTTTTGTGCACTTCAGGACAGTCTTGTCTGGCGCCTTCCTCTTTGCAGAAGTAACAGGCGTTAAAATTTGCATTATAGAAATCATCAATCTTTACACGGTTAGTCTTGTTTGCTCAAAACAGACAAGGCTATTAATTCCAGTCTAAAACTCCTCACAAAATCAAACAGAATTTTGTTGCCCTGAATACTAAAAACAATATTTGGAAAAGTACAAACTAATATTTTTTCATCTTTTTTTCTCTTTGTTGAAATTTGTAGGCATTAAAAAACCAAGAGGAATAACTGAGTCATTTTTAAACTGATTCTTTTATTACTTTCACCGAGATTTTACTGCCCAGAGCATCAAAATTTGGCCGTGTTCCCACTGGAGGAAGCCCAAAATTGATCACCTTGAACGGCAAAGAGGATCCTCCTGTGTTGATGATAGCTCATAATGTGTCTTGGCTTACAGAATTAAGCAACGAGCCAGCGTCCTTTCAAGGTTAAAACGGCAATAAACTAAACTGTAAACTGGATTTATTTATTTTTACAATAAGACAAATCTCTCCCCTAACAAGCAAAGTATTTGTTGTATAAAGACAGACATAATGCGTCCCTAAACAGAATCAATATATGACAGAGAAAATATTCAAATCACAACTTTAAATTCATGTATTATGCAAAAGCAAGATGTAGGAATTTAAACATAAACTGTTTAATTACACACCCGAGTGAAGAGAAAAGAAATAAGACAGTTCTGACTTGGTTTTTGTTTGAAGAATTGATCAAGCTGGTTGCACTCTGTCCTGCACTAAAGTCTAGAAAACACAATAATATGATATATTTTTATTACTATGTTTAACACGTTTAACTAGACAAGCTGTTATTGTTTATCTAAGCTGCGAAATGAAGGAAATATTTGAAATAACAGGATGAATTTTGAGCTTGAAAGAGCTGGACTGGTCTCAGTGTTTTTCTCACCCTACTGTTTCTCTTGCTTGAGGGGATGGGGGTGTCTTTATGTTTAAACGCGTGTGTGTGTGTGTGTGTGTGTGTGTGTGTGTGTGTGTGTGTGTGTGAACAGACAGGGTTGATGACCTTTTCAAGAGGGCTATCATTTAATAAACACTGACAGCCTTTTAGAGACCACTTACCATTCATCTGGTCTACAAGATTAGGCCCCGCAGTGAAACTACACAGTGATCGAATCATTGTCCCCAGACGGCAAAGTGACAGCAAGCAAACACAAAATCAATATTTCAGTGATGAGGATTCATATTTTAGGAATTCTGGAAGCACCGTGCGACAGCCCTCAATCCATTCATCCATCCATTTTCTGTACCTGGTTAAGTATGCGGGTCAGGAGAGGTTAGACTCTATAATGCATTTGAGGAGAGGTAGGGTACATTCAGAGCAGGACAGCAGACTATAACAGGGCCGACAGAAATGAGCTGTGTCCCATTTTGGAGAGTCAGAAAATGATGCTGTCAGGGTGCTGCTTGTACAAACTTTTGTAATGGAAAGCTTGTGTTACAAACTGGGAGGTTACACTCAAATACTTTGACTTTCACAAAAGTTGGCAAAAGTTGGCAAGTGTGGAACCAAAAGTTCTTGGCAAGGATTCATGTGGGGGACTATTAAAGTAATAAGACGGCCTCTGCCGGACTGATCTCACTCTTCCTCTTAAGAGAGTTTGAGTCTGAGAAAAATACAACACTTTTTAAAATGATTCGTCTTTACGATATGATAATAAAAAGATATGAAACTAAAATGATTCGTCTTTGGTTCTTTTATGAGTAAACTTATCACAGGGTCCACCTCTGGCCTTGAGTGATTAAATCAGAATTCATAAATTCGCCATACTCCGGGCCAAGGCTGCCTTACACGCCTCTGTGGTTTACCAAACTCGTACTTACACAGTGTAGGTAAGATTTGAGCACATTGTATCATATAAGTAAGCACAACAAGTAATCATAAGGTGCGCTAGATTATAAGGCACACTGTCAATTTTTTAAAAAAGTTAAGGATTTTAAGTGGGCCTTATAAATACGGTACCTATGATCTGTCATCTGCATCACATGCATTTACACAACTTAGAACATCTTAAAATGTATAAAACAATACCAAAGAAAAAAAAACTTCATTCTTTGAAAAACTTTTTTAAAGAAAGAGCATTTGTGCTATACTGAAAAGGACCATGCATCAATTTGTCACATCGCTTTGACGAGATGATGTTGATGATACTGAATCAAACCAAAGATTAAGTGAAATCATACGAGTACAAAATCCTTTATAAAATCAGGACTTGAGTCAGTGTTTTATTATGATTTGGAACAATGTCTCTCACTTTTAAGCTCTGCAGTCGTTTACTTGAGCAGGATTTCTAAAGCCTCTCTCTTGCAGTGCTCATTTGGTCCCTCTGCTTTTCAGATACATGGATACCTTCTCCTTCTCCTGCTCTCCTCTCTCCACCTCTGTCTGCATAATTGCTTGTACGGCTTTTGCACAATGTGTCAAAAGAGACAGCTTCTCCCTTTCCGTCACATTGATCTGAGCTGCTTATAATGAAGTGAAAGTGAGAGCTGTTTGAGGGACGGCATGCACCTCATTTAGGATATCGGGCTGCCCTAAACATGATTTAAAATTGAAATCCAATAATCGTCCGGCTCTCATCAGTGTTTACATCAAAGTTATTTTCTGGCAGTAGTTTAAATCCCATCTTTGCAAAGCCATAGCCTAATTTCAACATACTTATCCCTCATACAGCACTGCACATAGACTTTCATGAGCTGTGTGATGTTCAAGGTTCAGAGATATGGTTTCAGTATTCCCCAAGGAGGATGAAGGATGAAGGAAGTGAGGAGGAAAAAAGCAGACTGCAAATGAACTTGGGCTTCACTGGCTGAGAGACCCTTGAATGCTGAGGTGGTGGATCCATAAGTGGAGGACGCAAGAGCTTATTTAGCAACAGTAATGAGCTGTGGACCCTCATGCAGATGGTCAAGAGACTGGGATGCAATTTAATACTATTATTTCAGCATCAATATTCACAAGTTGTGACCTGAAAATCAAGGCAGTCCCCCTTTGACATCTGTTCTGAACACAGATCTTTGAATGGCTTTTCTAAACTTTCACTCATGAATCATTGTTGAGCATCTTGTAAGTGACTTCAGTAACACTTTATGTGACGCCTATCTCTATAACGCATTATAAATATATTTATAATGCATTCTAATCACATTAAAGCACTGTACAACTATAGTTATAAACACTTATAAATGATCACAATGCTTTATAACAATAATCATGAAACATTATAAAGCATTTTATCATGACTTACAAGGTCTGGTATTATCATGGGTTATAACTGTTAACAACTCACTGACAGTGCCTACATAGATAATGCATTATACATATATTTATGATGTGTTATAATTTGCTTCTCAACTTGTATAACTATCATTCTCATCACTATCTATCAACACTCATTAATTATCATGTCATGATAAAATGCTTAATCATGTGTTATGATTGTTGCTATAAAGCATTATGATCATTTATGAGAGATTATACCCATAGTTATACAGTGCTATAACAGTGCGTGATTATAATGCATTATAAATATAGTTATAATGCATAAATAGGCGTCAAGTAAAGTGTTACCGTGACTTCTTTTAAACTAGTTCCAGTTAAAAACCTTCTTGCTTTGAGGCAACACAGCTGTAAACAAATAAAAAACAAAAACCTTCCAACAGACATGTTGAATCTGAAAAAAAAAACCAAAGAAAATGAGATTCAGAAAAAAAAAAAAGGCTCATGTTTTCATTTCATCTTCCAAAAATAGCCAGAGTGCATTTTGTAGTGCAACAAGAGTCGACAGATTTTACATGACTAATCCACTACCATTATAACGCACACACACACACACACACACACACACACACACAATCACGTACGCGACAGGTTCACAGTAAGTGCTGGGCCACAGTCTTCTGGTGACACGTTTCATGCACCGCTGCAGCAAACACGAGAAGTGCATACCGGAAACAGGTCGACAAGGGTAAGAGCAAGAGCGCCAACACGGCGCACGCAAACGCTCACCCACCCGTCTCATGTTTGTCGATTAAATATGAAGCAATTACACATCCTTACACCAGCCACGCTACTTCTCAATCTCACATCTGAATGAAGAAATCTCTCTTTCGTCTGTTTTTTCCCAGCTGGGAGGAAAAAACTTCACCAACATCTCACGGTGGAAACAAACATCTCCTCCACATCCTCCCAGGACCCTCTTATGCATCTTATTGATAGCAAAGATGAGGGGTGAATTGATGAACTTACACTCGTATGAATAAATTACTGAGCCAACTTGTACGGGAATACATTTACATCTAGATGAGATTAAAGGCCCGACATACAAGCTCATTACTGGCCTCTGCTGCTTCCTTCAGACGTCATCACCCAATTGCATCCTAACTCATTCCGCGGTACTGCTGCTGTGACTGGTAGAACAATAAGTACAGTAACAGGCTGATTGATGTGATAAATCAGAGCGAGGGGACACACTGGAGCCACCAGCCGCACATTATGAAGGCTGAGCTTTAGTTGCTGCACTGGAGACCCCTCGGTGCAGATAAATGTCTCCACAGTTGAAGTCGAGGGATTCTTAATTAAAGGCTAAATAGGACAGCTCTACCCGCAGAAATTATCAAAAGAAAATCCTCCAACGATTTGCACGCTGACCCCTTTTCTTCTACTGTTATGTGTTGAAATGATCCTTGGAGAGCCTTTTATGTCTGCAAATTAAACACAGTTTATGCGCTATCATTTTATGTGGCTCTTTAAGGAGCAAAAAGCAGCAACATAAAGACCTGTTTAACAAGCAGTGTAGTCTAAACATGTACGTAACTCCTCACACCAGGTCCATTAACACTTCTGCACACACATTTATGGATTTAGGTGTTTTATGTTGCATTTTACGGCCTGCCATTAATCACATTTTTGGACATTTGTGCTCAGATGTTGATAACAGAGGTGGAAATCACTTCCATTGTTTTGTATTTCTACTATAATACATTCATCTCCATTAAACTATATTAACAATTTATGGGTTTTTCTGCACCATTTTTATTTAGTGTGGCATTTACGGTGTCTAGCATACTCTGTTTTTACATTTAAAATAAATGAGTTTTTACAGTAGGTTATAAAGTAACATCGTGCATCAAATACATTAAATCACATTAAAGTAATGTTCTCAAAATATTAATGAACACCTTTAAATCAATGAGCAGAAAAGCTGCTGTGAGAAAATTTTGGTTCGACTTGATGTTGATGCCTCTTGTCTCTTGTTCTGTTTGTGAAAGTTTTTCAGACAAAATCCTAATGAAAAAGTCAAAACATGATGTTTAAAGTCCCACTTCATTTTTTTTTTTCTACCTAAAGTGTTCTCAGTGGTCTTTAAATTGTGATTATGAAGTTTTTACCAAAAATCGCGTTACCTCCAGTAGATTATTAGCAATTCACCTCTGAGTCGTGGGCGGAAACAGCACTGCTCTACACACTCGTCTTCACGTTAGCTTGCAGCCTAACATCGCCTGTGAAGTGAAAGTGGCAGGTAACATAGGAGCTATTCAGCTCTCGGACACTAATGTCTTTAGGGCCATGATAAAAGTTAATATCAAAACTAGCTTTCTTATGAGAACTGCAATCCACTAACGCACACGCTTGTTCAGCGATCATCCTCCATATTTCTCCTCTGTATGCAGGGTGTGGCCTGCACTGTGGGGCTGCAGGGGCGGAGCTTGGATTGGTTCTGTACTAAATCTCACTGTGTCTGAGCCTGCCGTTTGGGTCTGTCAGAGATTCACAGCGATTTTAATGAAGAAATACTCAGAAAAGCAATTTTGCATTTATGATATGTCCTGTAGCATCACAAAAATGCCATATGAACATACAGAAAACAAGAAAAACATGATTTTTATCGGAGTGGGTCTTTAAGGCCTGCTTTCAAGTATCTGGTTTGGCACTTACCCCTACACAGAGGTTTAAGCATTAAAATCCTAATGAAATCTGGCTGATAGTCTTAATATAAACTTTAAGATCATTAAAAGTCATTGGTATCAAATTCAGTCTGTTTCTCAACCGTTAAAAAATGATGCATTGTACCTTTAAAGCTGGATTCATATATACATAAAACTCCTAAAAAGTTTCTGGTGATTTTCAACCCAACATTCCCTAGACTTTTCACCTCCTGGTGAAATTTTCATGAGAAGCCAGAGGGAGTTGGTGCAAGAAATATTTGGGAAAATTCACCATGAGTAAAGTAGGTAGGGAGCAATGATGCCAACATCATGCAAGGGGTGGGGACTTAGAAGCGACACATAACAAGATTAAAAAAGAAAAAAAAGAAAAAAACATCAACAGTACAGTGGGGAAAACAGTCAATGCGGAGAACAATCACAGGCAGAATGCACGTTATAATGATATCCCATCTTTCATTGGCAGTAATCTGCAGGGATTTATCTGTATAAACAGATATCTGCATGCAAGTGCAGCTAAAAGAGTGGGGCCACCGTGTAACTTCTTATTTACAGTGTGAGAAACAGATAAAGTGGTTTTACTGTGGGGAAGTAGATGCTGCATGTAAACAGAAGTGTTGCCTGGAAGTTGTCTGACTGTAACTGCAGGCTGGACCAGAATAACTGATAAGATGACACCTGCTCCCAGAGGCTTACGTTGCATAGATTGTCAGATGTGATTGCCACTGGGTCCTGAGAATGCATTAATATAAATGTGAAAAATCCTCTCAGAGCAGCTTTCTCTTGTGCTTCGTCTGCCATCACGCTGTAAACATAACACTGTGGTTTTGACCGAATGTCCCTGCCTCTTTACATCCAAACAAGTACAATTCTCCTCTTACTATATTGCGAGAGAAAGGGGAAAATGAAGGAAATATTAACCCTGGCAATAGAGGTAGGCAGAAAAGCGCATGGAACAGCAAAATTATATGCATCAGCACGCCTGCTCATTTGCTCTAAATGGTACAGACAAGTTTCTGCTGCATTCACACATTGGCTGCCCAGACTTTAAACAGACGTGGTACTTGGGGGCTCGAAGGCTGTACACATAGACTGACATTTGCATTCTCACATGGAGACCCCTCTGTATAATGTCATGACATTTTGAGAAGTGCAAAGTACGTCTGAAAGAAGCTAGACCGTCATTTTGGACACAGATGCCAGCTGTTATCAAGAAAAAATCTCTGTGGACTGCCAATGGCTAGTTGGTGAGGCATTTTGCAGATGTAGAGCCCCTTTGCTGGTGTTTGAGACCAAAAGCACGTGGTCAAAAATGTAATGCAGATTTCTGTGTAACAGTCAAAGGGCATCAGAATGAGGAAATTAAATGACTATGCTTAATTCCTTTATAATATCAATCTGCCAGAGCCCTCATGGGTGAAAACAGCAAGGCTGCAAGTGCAAAAAAAAAACTGGAGCTGAAATGGCCTGCAGCTCAATGTGAAATTAAAAGTGAAAGACATGGACATAAATGGAGGGAGGAAAACAACACAGAGTGTATAGAGGTGAAGGTGGCTCCTCAGGGAAATCTGCTGAAGGGGAAGCTCAGGGGGAGGATAAGACCCCTGTCATCGCTGACCCGAGTATAGACACATCATGCACATGAGCACACATGAATGAAAGCCTGAGAACACTTGGATTGAAGACGCATAAAGCAAACAGAGGGTTTTCCGAGACAAAAAAAATTTATAGAAACCGTATAATCTTGCCCAGGTCATGATATGCAGCAGATAAAAATAGAGAGAGCGAGAGAATGGAGCTGAACCTTATACACCACCGGAAAAGCACTGCCTGAAGAGTGTGGGCATCAGCACCTGTCACTTCTCGCTTCCAGATGTTCAATAGATGCCTTGTGGCACTCTGCATGGCCCATCTATCACTCACACAAAGCCATAACCTTCTGCTTCCCCGTTCGCCATTACATATTCAGGCAGCAATCTGAATATGAGATGCACATGGGACCACGGTGGAGAGCGGGGAGTGAAAGGTTAAGTCTCAGGCTGCGGGTGACAGCGAGGAAAGGGGACCATGCATCCATGTTGGCAGGTACATGTTAAATAGCTCAAAGAAATGGCTGCTGTTCATATTTACGGCAGGCAACAGAGACAGAGCAGCGCTGTCGAGGACCTCATGGGTGCCAGCTGATGGACAGGCACTGCTATGTGGATCAAATCACCACAGATAGATGTGACTCCATGGGATAGAACGGCTGTCCCTCTGGTAAGAGTTGTCTTGTCGAGAGAAAAGGACAATCTCATATTTTTTGGAGAGTCAACATAATCAACTTCAGCCATCTTCCTCTCTCTCTCCCATCACATTGGCATCAGAAAAAATACGAGTAAATGTCTTTTAAGATTAAAAATTTTATGAAAAAAAAAATTACTAATTTTTCCGCTCATATTGGGCCTTAGTAGTCTTCTGTAACTTTTGCAAGTCTGCCGTTGTAACAATTGTTATATTTTATTTTATGTAATATGTCTTATATGTAATTTACGGTAAACACAGCTACTTTATTTCTCTGTTTTTATGTGGACTGTAAACATTTGAGACTATTTTCACATCTTAATCTAGAAGGTTTAGATCAGACAGCATGAGTTTACTCAAATATAAAACAGTGTAAAAAATCATTCCACTATGTAGGCCTACTTAACCTGACATAGTAAGGTTGGTATTTCATACCTAGTTCCTCTTTTCTATTATTCTGTTAAACTGAGCAAACCTTCAATAAACAAATAAACCAGCTATAACGTGGGGAAGTGTGATGATAAAATAATGCAGGTATTTGATTAATGACAGTCTTCAGGGGAACATGTCGTGCAATTACTTGTTTTACTGCAACTGCACCTTTTTTATTTTATTGACTGGACCTTTACTGCATAAGAGTGATACAAACCTTGTATGTCAGATCAATACCACAGAGGAAGCCTAATTCATGAAAACATGTATTTTGATAGAGGTGTATGAAGACCGTCTGTGCTCCACTGCATCTTCTGGATGAATCAATGTAATCGTAATCTGTTTGTTGATTTTATTTTTTTTAAAAAGTAGATTGTTTCTGCTTTAGTCTATTTTGACCTCGTTGTAAGTGCTCACACTGCAATAACAAAGAGATTTCACACTGTATTTTTTGAGTGTCACAATCATGAGCCTTTTCCTGGTTTTTATCATATTTGACATATAGTGTTTCCATGCACACAGATTAACCAGGTTATTCATATCCTTGTAAACATGATGAATACGTGTATCATTCCCAATTCAATGGCTGCATTCTTTGAAAGACACTTTTCAAGACGTGACAAAGCTGTCCAATTAGAAAAGAACCACAAGAATTGACTGATAACTACATTCCCAAAGATTCCACCTTTCATGGTCCAACCTAATGCAGACATATTTCAAACAAGATGTCACTCTTAAAATATTAGCACCTCTAGCTCAATTGAAAAGCCAGGTCATAAAATTGGCTTTTAAACTTTCAATTGACGTGAAATTGAAAGGTTAACTTATATGACTCTTGTTATCGGCCATTTTTTTCTTATTCTAGTGGTAATTATTTGGTCTGTTTTTGTCCTTATGAGATATAGAAGCATGAGGAGGAGAGTGCTCAGTAGTGGGCCTACCGTCACACTTTTATTATAACAACGTATAGGCAGGTTAAAGGGTAACGCAGTTGACATTACAAACATGAAATTGCACTTGGACCAGACTGTTTTATTTCAGTTTAGCATCAGCAGTTAAAGCAGCCTACATAAAAAAAACACATGGGTCACCGTCTTAGATTGAGATTCAGCTTATGTTGTTTTTAGCTCTTCAGATATCTACATCAAGCTAATTATTTCCCTCCATTGGTTAAATGCCTGTGCCATATCCCTCTAACAACGGTTTTATGACGATATATCAAATTATATGACTTTTGGAAATGAAAAGCAGTGTGATTTTCCTTGCTGGAGTTTATATTAAATGAAGTCATTAAATAGTGTGCTGTGTTTTGACATTTATCTACAGCTTCTAAATAAAATCTGGCTCTTATAAAACGTCCTTGAGCAGGCTTCATCGGGTTTACTCCCCACCGAGCACGGAGTAATAAATGAAATTGATACCAAAATGGACTTCTAATCCAAAAACATCAGATGTCATTTACTGTAGCAGACATGAGCACAGGGATGATTCATCCTCTGTCCTTGAATGCAATTTGTGGTTCGGTGCAACCTTTGGCCTGGGCGTGCTGTGACAGTACATTTCTATAGGTCACAAGGGAAGACCATAAACATGTTGTTAGTGATGTTGGCTGGCAAACACTTACAGAACACAAGAAACACGAAAACAAACCCAGCAGAGTGTAAAATCGTCATAATACATTGGCAGGAGGCAACGGAGGAGCTGCCGCCTGTCAGTCAGTTTTATATTTAGAGCCAGAGTAGCTGCTTTGATTCACGGGCAAAGACGCAGAGACACAGTGCTGCATGTTCTGAGAGGAAGATACAAGAATAAAAAATTAATAGCTTTCTCACAAGACAGATTAATAATTTCTGACACCTGCAGTTTACCTAAAACTACCTATACTGTTTGTTTTGTGACGTCAGTTTAAACGAAAAACCTTCCGCTTCCTTTGAACATATAACTCTCACTACCCTCAAATTCTCATCGTCTACATCAGACTGATGGCTGTTATGTAATTTCCCACAAAGACAGGCTTGAACAAATAAGTGTTTCCTTCACTGCTGTTCAGCTGGAAAATACAGCTGTCTTATTGGCTTATCAAGCTAGCACTTCATACACACACTTACTGTTTGTACTCAAAACTAGGATTAATGCACTTTTTCACCACAGAGCATTTAAATACGATTGAGACTTTCAGTTTCAACCACAGAACAATAGGGTTCATATAGACTGTATATAGAATGGACAGCATCTGCCTCCTCGCTGGGTGAAGCCACTCCGAGGAACAGCACCCTCTGGTGACGGGCTGTGGTATAGGTCATAAATCCCACCTCTTCCAGCAAAGCTTATGAAGTAGTGGACGAACTTTAGAAATTTATTACACAGAATATAAATTCTGCTGCTTGCGATGTTGACATGTAGTTGTTGTAAGACTGGTTTGTGCTCAAGTCCTCTTTTTTCTGTACAGCTCCATTTTTTAAATTTATTAAGCAGTTTATGTTTTCCAAGATTGAGACTTAATACAGCCTATGGGCGTACAAAGATTTTGTAGCTCACCAGGGATATGCTGTTTGAGCCGAGCGTCATCACATCACATCTCCCACTAAATGCGTACAATGCTACTGCGCAATGTTAGCTTCAGGAAGTGGAGAAAAATCACGGAAATACCGAGAGCTTTTCGGCTTCAAATCCGTATACTGGCAGAAGGCGGAACCAAGTTGTCCATAGTAAATACAGTCTATGGTTCGTATTTACAAAGGTAAAGCTAGTTACACACAGTGCAGCTTCTTTAAACAAGTGTAGTCACTCCCTGCTGGCAGTTAAAGGTACTGCAGGCTCAAACATATTCACCATCAGCTTCATACTTTTTTAAAATCCCCCTCTTTCGTCGTGAGAGGATTTGTTCTGGTAAATGGTATGAACTGGCCCAAAACTTTATTGCACAAAGGGCAAATGTTGTTGTTTTGAATCACACTGAATGGTAGGGGACTGATTTACTGTGTCCATCCATTTGAAAAGCCCTTTCCTGGATGTTTCATTATGTTGATAAAGCTGTTAGCATCTGATACAGAGGGAGCGAGGATGACATGCAACAATGATCCAAGGTCAGATTTACACGCAAGACATCCCGGCAACATGACAAGCACCTGAGCCAGCTGAGCCTCTGAGGTGTCTCAGCCATCTCATGTTCATCTCACTTCACTCTGAAACACATTGTACACACGTACTGCTTCCACAGGGGGGGTGGGGGGCCTCAAAGGTCAGCGCAGTTTGGCCCACATTTGTTGCTTAAAGTCAGTCCCCGGCAGAGTGCCAGTGTGCTGTGGCACTGAGGCATGATAGATGTACGAGCCAAGTGTTTGTGTGTCTGTGCATGCAACCGAACCTGTTGCCGGAGCCTGTTTCTGTCATTTGTTTTGGTCTGTGTGGGTCTGAATATATTACCACAAATGGACAAAGTAATCAGTGCCAGGAATAGCATGAAAATGACAGGACATCTGAAAGTCAATTGGGATTGCATTTATATTGCAGGATAGGGATAGGCTACGATAAATATCCCAGACAGACATACACCAAATTTATCAGGTGATCACGGAGGGAGATTGCAGAAGAGCAGTTTATTCCTGTTCATTTAAAATGGGTGACAGCACATGGAGGACGAGAGGGGAGACAGCCAGCCCCCAAAAATAAAATAGATGAGTTTTGCTGTGTCACGTCGCTTCCCTAGGGGTGGAGATGTCATGAGTCCAGTGTTAAATAAAAGAAGATACTTCTCCGGTTTAATTCAAATATCACTCTCGAGGGAAAAAAGTAGATATTACCTTAATGACCCTGACAATACTCTTTGTGATACATCAAGACATTGTCTAAAGCTGTGCTGATGAATGTTGATACGTGCACATTTGCAAGGACATTTTCCTCAGAATGAAGTGCAGTAAATTTGACTTTGTAGGAATAGGAGACAGGAGACAATCACAGCCATGAGAATGGGGTCAAAAAAACATCTAAAAACACGACAACTGGCAGATAAAGGAAAAAGCTCATTTCAAACCAGAGGAAGTGTTATCTGCTGCTACAGATGCAGTGAGTACAACTGTGAGTCTAATGTATTTTTAATGGCAGAAATCTAAAATCATTATTAAATTACATCCAAATCAATATTTTGTGTCAAATAATTGATTTTTTAAGTAAGTAGCCGTGTAATAAAACTGAGATAATATATAGTGTGTGGGTTGCTGTGACAGGGGAACACTTTCAGAGTGAGACCACAGACAGTATAAAACATGGCTGTGGTCTTTGAGATGTCACCCATTTGTTTCAGCCACCATATTGGAAAGTTTGTCTGAACTCCAACTTTTAATCAGCTGCTCCACAACTTGTGTTTTTCCCCTCATATGCAAATTTATGCACAGCTCTGAGCGTTTTTATCATCTTAAAGTAAGTGTTATGAGAAAATGTGCTCCGGGTACAATGTATAGGATAAAGTAAAGAGCAACAGACACAGTGATCAAGTCGGGCTCAAGATGAGGAACTTTTAGTTTGTATCAATTTCAGCGCCCCCTGTGAACTTGGCTGTCTTTACTAATCTTACACATGACTAAGTAGTTTCTCCTGACAAAAAAAATGTCATCCTGCTGACTTTTGACGCTCAAATTTGGGATTGTACACTATTAAGGGAATAAAAAAAAAAGGGGATGCTAAAATAACTTAGAATAAGTAAAATAACAAGTGCTAAAATAACTTTCGTAGTGTAGCCATTTTGTTTCCGCCTCCGATTTTGCTTTTTTCTGACTTGGTAATTGAAACACTGGTAACTGGGGTGTGACGTCATTCCCAGCTCAGACATCTGACTTCTGAGGTAACTCGAATGGAGCATATATCTCTGCTGGGCTGACACCTACCTCCTCTCAGTAATTTTAGGGATGAAAAATTACAACACAAAAATACTGATCTTGTTTACTTCACGGACATGAAAAACTCCTAAAAAGGAGCTTTAAAAGTCCCATTTCAACTCAGGACTTCATGGGATTTTCATTGGCTTTCCTTGAAACTGCATTTCTTTTTTTTTTTTTCCATACATTTTTTTGCTGGTTGAATATCCAATGGCAACGTATGAAAGGGTTAAATTAAGGACATGTCTGCCATTTTATACTGTTTTTAATCGACAAAGCATCAAAAACACCACCGAGGGAAGGATAAAGTTTACTGTCTATAAGCCAACTGTTCCTGTCATCTTCAGAAACCTTCAGAAATCTTCCGAACGATGATGTAATGGTGACAGCTCAGCACAGGACAGCGTTTTCATGTGCCCTGATTGGCCAGCTGCCTGTCACCCTGAGGCTTTACAACTCATCAGACCCACAGTGCAAGGCTGTCAAATCTCTCTCTGCCATCTTTCAGCACTGGACTCATCTACTGTATAGTACTACAAAGGCTAAACAGAGGACAGGTGGAGCAATCATTCATGCAAATATTAGTCAGATTGCAAAGGACGAGAATGAATGAGGACAACTTTAAAGCTGAACTGCAGAGAGAACTTTAACAGACTCCCAAACTTTTCTATGTGGAGGTTTTTTGTCTACCATTTCTTGCTTTTTTCTCCTCTTCATGTCAACAACAAATGATATTTTTAGCAGATTAATCAGGGTTAAATCACAGTTTTCACAGAGGACAGGTGTGTTAAAGCATGATTTTCCTGGTGTGTGTGTGTGTGTGTGTGTGTGTACACGTGTGTAGATTTGTGAGCTTGGCTTCCTCCCAGCTGTCAAAGGTCATGGTTATACATGTGGGACCTTGATGCTGTTGCTGCAGCGAAAGGAGTGTTTCTGCCTAGACTGATGCAATGAGAGCTGAAGGATGTTTACCGTCAGGGGTCAAACCACAGTGCTTATTTCTCCTCCATCTAAAGTGCACAGTGGTTTATACAGACAGCAGGATGTGCATGGACATGTAGTGGCCAAGAGCATAAACATTCAATTGCCTTTAAAGCAACATAACTCTTAAGAAGAGCCACATTATAGAATAATTTATGTAGGGAGTAGTTTGGTGGATTTTGGGCCATAAATGCTTTGCTAGGGACCACGTAGAAGTCTGGAACAGAGGCAGGTTATATATAAAAAATGGATAATGGCATTCAAAAGAAGTGTAGATTGTTAAGGTATGTGGTAGCATAAATGTAAAAAGTTGGAGGAATCCTTGAGGAAATGGGGGGAAAAAAATCCTCTCTTCTCATCAGTTTAAGATTGGCAGTTGGCTTTTTTGATGTGACTGCTAATCTTCCTCCTGCCTGAGACGTTGCCTGGTAGCATTAAAGAACAATAAAGCAGCTGTGGCACACAAGGGTCTGGGCTCACAGCTTTACACAGATTCATTTCTTCTTCTCCTGGAGTGGAAAAGGGCACAAAGTGTTTGCTTTCTTAGCATTCTCCATACATACTGCAGCTACCTGCAGGAACATTTAGTCCACACAGGAAGAATATCCAGGCAAAGACTAGCAGGAATAAATGTCTGTGGCTTGTTTTATTTTTTTTTATCACGTATTATGTGCCATGTTTAGACTGTCATGTGTAAAGTGCCATTAAAATGAGGTGTAAAAATCAGGGTTCCTATGCAAGTATGCACTGCAAAAACAGCCCTACTAGAAAGAAGCTAAATATTCTTATATTTAATCAAATAATCTTGTATCAAGCTAAAAAAATCTGCCAATGGGGTAAGCTTTTTTTGCTTGACAAGAATTCTCAAAATAGGAACAATTTTCTTGGCCCTGACAGACTCAAATGAAACTTAAAACTAGACAGAAAATCTTATATTAATCTAATTTTCCTACAGCAAGAAATGAAAAATGAAGATGAAGTTACTTAAAATAAAAATTTTAGTCTCTTGAATAAATGAACTTCAAGAAAATACACCTAATCTAGGATTAATAATGAGCATGACAGTAGTTCAAATAAGACACAATTTCTTAAAACAGCATAGCAAATATAAGCAATGTTTCTTCAATCAAGATACCAAAACATTCTCATTAAATGTATATTTTTCTTTCCACAAGCAAGCATGTGGAAAGAAAGCATGTTTGTTTTTGTTTTTTGTTGTTTTGCAGTTTTCATCTGGTCATTGTATTATGTTTTGTGTAGTACAGACTAGCCTACTGACATCTTTATATGTCAGATACTGTATGAAGCAGCAGATTCTGTCAGGTTTAGATGACCTGCAATGGAAGTCTTAATAAAAAAATCAACTGTTCTTGCTTCATGGCATTCTTAAATTGAGAAGTTGTACATATGTCAATGAGACGAATGATCTTTTTGCTCCGCTGGATTTTATTGTAAAACATTTTTCTACTCTATTTCTGGTTCATTCTATCTCAAAATTAGCTGGAATATCTTATCAAGAAAAAGTTAGCCATTTTCTCTTTAAATTAGATAATTTTTCTAATGCCAAACATGCTTGACAAGATTTATATTCTTTTTGTACAAAAGATAAAACTTATTTCTTTAATATAAGGCTGTTTTCCTTTCTTGAAATTCCTTTTTTTTGCAGTTTGGAAAGTATGGAAGTACTTTGATCAATTTCCAGGTCTTAAAAGTATGGTAAATGAGACATAAAGTATGGAAAAATATCTATGTTTCCACAGTTCTAAAATACTGTTTTCTAAAAATACAAAAGTAGGTATAAGTAGGTTATGGAAAAGTATGGAAATTCAAACTGTGTAGGAACCCTGAAACATTTATAGTATGTTACAAATTCATCCATCTTAACCTTGCAAGCTGACACATTTTTCCCTGTCAGGGCCAGATTAGCATCATTAGCATCATCATTAACATCTGTCAGTCTCTTGATCCAGTCTAGCCTCACTTGAGAGCAAGATGTCAAGGTACCTGAGCAGCATATATCCTGTTTGAAGTTACTCATTATTTCCCATTGGAGAACTATGGCCTGTTATTTGATGAGTGTACAAAATAACTGTTTTAATGTTATTTAATGGGCTCTTACAATTTAACAAAACTAAATGACAGTGCTTTATATCTGAAATCAAATATGCATTATACTGCTCATTCACATCCACATCAAAAGCTGAGCGCATTAATCTTACAATAATGTGTGGACTCATGTTTGGTCTCAGATCAGAAAAATTTACTTGTATTTCTGCAGAATCTATAAGAAATGTATGAGTTCACAATCCCTTAATACGCAGAAGTTACACACAGCTGACAGAACACACAGGGAGAACTACTGAGGTGCATATTTTAGAGATATCTGATGTTTGCACTCTAAGCTGTAGTGTCACAATGACAGTCTAGCAGAACAAACAGCCCAAAGCAACAAATACTGCTGGTTTTTATAGAATAATAAAGAAAGAAGCGTTAATCCCAGCGCAATGTCTCAAGAATCTAGCTCTGGGTAGCATGCACAAGAAAACTCTCATAAATAGTGAAGAGGTATCTCTTGGCTTATGGTCACATGCAGCATATATATGATGCATGATACAAACGCACAAACACCACTTTATTTTACCTGTGGGCATCGAAACAACCTGCCATAGATTGTGCTTTTTTTTTTTTTTTATCTAGAGCAATTGCCCACGCTATACATCTGGCGCCAAAGTGCTTCATCACATCCGACTGCTCAATAACAGCTACAGTCAGAGACACAATGCCAGAGAGGCCATTGCAATTTTGGACTGCGATATGGTTGAAATGCATTAATTTAGCTGGAGCAGATGTGGCGCGCAGATGCACTGAGAGGTTTATCACAACGGCTTCTCCGTCCCTTTTGTTGGCGGATGAAAAGTAAAGTGACTTAGCCAAGTGGAAACTAAAAATAATAAAGCCTCTTGATAATATATAGTGCTGCTCGCATAAGCTCCGAGTTAGACAAAAACAACCTATGGGCTCTCAGTTTCAAAAACAAGAGAGAAAACTTGAGTGAATGTCTGATGTGGGAACTCTCTGGCGGCTCATGTGAGAAATATGCAGACAAATGTGGTATGTAGAGCAATGTGAAGACTGCTTCCCTGTGGATTAGCCATGGTCAAACACACATGATGAATTTCAACATATCCAGCTAAGCATTAATTATGAATCACCTGCCTTGTTGGCTATGCATCAGCTGAGAGGAGACAAACTAAGGCATACTGCATGGTGGGCGCATGAAGCTGAGAAAAGTGCTTATACAGCACATGAAAAGTGTGAGGGTGGCATGTTGTGTTTGTGTGGGAGGAAGTGTGTGAATTCACTGTATTGTCTTTGAGAACAAAAAAAAACAAAAACCTGTGTGTGTATTGGAGAGAGGGGGCGTGGAGGTCGTTTTCATGATGTGTTGTTCCCCTTGTGGTTTGGGTGCAATCCCCTCTATTTGATTCCAGATACATTACTTTTAGATTGATTACATAGAGACTTTAAACAACGGTAATGCTATTCAGATCTGACACACAAGTCAAAGTCCCAAAAGATTGAGGATATTTAAGAATAATCGCTGAGCACCACTACCACTACACGCACACTTAAGTACACATAAATACATAAATTCACACTGGGCAATGGATGCCTGGGTGACAAGGCACATCAGTCACACCACAGGCATTCATAATGTTGAGCAGGCCAACCTAGTAGGAGGCATGACATTATTCCAACTCATTACCATCAACCTGGAGTATTGTAACGTGACATGACTCATCTTGATGCTTGTTAATACTCTGTTTTTGCAGAGGTAATCCTGCTGTGAAATGGGGACAGTGGGTGCCCAGTGGCGTGTTCCCAACAAATTGAAAAAGGCCATGGAGCAAACATGTTGTTTGCAGAGTGGGAGGATCAAGAGGTACAAATCAGGCTCAAATTCAGTGATACTGAAGTTGTGAATTTCAGGTGTAGTTATTCCGGTAGTAAAGGAATGTCTGGGTTTCTCTCAGTTGACTTCTCAGCGACCTCAGATGATAATGGAGCACATGACATTCTCTCTTAAGAAGATGTACGACATAAGGGACATGAGCATCAATATAAAATCTCTACTGGGATTCATTATTATTCATCATTTATTTAGTATTCATACATTTATCACACATGAACTTGAAGCTTCTGTGAGGAGTTTTTTCACCTTTATGAAAAACACTTAAATTCAATATATGATTCACAAATGCAAACAAGACCCTTTGCAACAAAACTAAGGTATGATTTCTTATACCCAACATATCAGCTTTACCGAAGATTACATCTCAGAGATACATGCTCCTTTTTTGTGGGATTGGCAGGAACTCTAAACTTATCAACACAGATCATCAGACATGTGACTCTAAAATCCAGCCTACATATTTATTTAGCTGTAGAATGAGTATATTAATGAAACAGCTGAGGAATAGTTTACCTCACTATTGATACTATTAATATTTTAACTCATATTCATCAAAGTGCCAATACACTTCCATTCACTGTGGACTAAATGCGAGGCTTGTAATGGAGTGCTTCACAGTGTTGTTTTCAGTGTGACTCCTTTCTAACATTTTGGCCCTGGAAAGCTACAGAATTGTCCTCTCCTGTAAAGTTTATATATCTTAAGCTTTTAATCTTACCAGTAATTTGATACCATACAGACTCAGATCATTTATCCACACAATAGTTGGCGCATTTGTTAACATTATGGGTGTAGAGTTCTCCTCCTTCTCTATACCTGTTGCTGTGAGTACTAAAGTTTACATGCACAATTTCTCCTCGTTTGACTATTTCAGGGGACCCATCTGATAATTTGAACACTGACCAGAACCTTTCATGATCTGAGGGAAAGGGGGAGTTGGTATGGCAGCAGACATAACCAAACATCATTAAAGTTAACTGCTGAGCTACTGCCTCAATCAGTTTGTGATTTTGGATCAATCAATCAATTAAGCTTTATTCATGTAGCACTTTTCATACAGGTCAGATGCAATTCAAAGTGCTGATTTTAAACATAACAGTTGAGAGTGGGCATACAAATGAAATGACAGAAAATAGAAACAGGATCAGTAGAGACTACTGCACATCAATAGCAGTACAATATGAGTAATTAAAACATTGAATAAGATAAAAAAAAAGTTAAAAACATTCAAAAGAAAAGATATTGTAAATATTGATTTAACAATTGTACTGATATGTTTCACATGTTATTCTAAGGAGAGAGATGAGAGGCTGGAAATAAAAGATGTGTTTTTAATCTACATAAAAATAATGAAATGTGGCTTTTAAAAAGTTCAGATAAGTCTTAAAAAAAGTCACTGAATTTATACCATTTTCTATACAATAATAATTTCTTTATAGCAGGACTCTATTACAGAGCCTATATCATCTTTTTTCCTCATCTAATCTCATCATTTGTATAATTTTTAGCTGTCTATATAAAATGTTTAAAATACATGATGAAATTGCCATTCAGTCGGTGAAGACACCTCTCTCTTGAAGTCGTTTGATGTAACAGCTCTTCAGAGATGTGAGTAAAGTATAAATTTAACGTGAACAAGCTGTTCTGCTTTTAAACACCCTCACAAAGTCAGGATCAAATGATCAGTGCTCACTAATGTTTTACAAAGTTACACTACAGTAACTCAAACATAAATTTTACAAGTATTGGATAATTTGTGTCACTTATTTTGCCAGCACACCTGATCCTGGGTAAATGCTTTAACAATAAATCACAGCGTTAGTAAGGAAATGGATATGTGCCGTTTACTAAATGGATCACTGAATCATTTCAAGCAAAGCGTCCGAGTGATTCTTTAAATAAGACACTCGTCAAAGTGACACAATATCGCTGAAGAATTATAGGCAAGGAGGTATCGTCGGACAGTTTTTAGACATTTTTACTGAGTAAAACACTGTGATAAATTCAGTTTTGAGAAACATACCTCTGTGCAGCAGCGTATCAAAACGCCACTATAAATCCTGTTCTCGAACATGAGAAGTGCACAGTCTGAGGCAGATTTGGCTGTCTGTTTTATCAATAAAAAGCATCACTAACTCTCCTGTCCATAAGGCTCAACAGACTTGGATTTAGATTTGCTTCACTGGGAGATACAGCCTGTAAAATATGATATATGAGGCTTTTTTCTAACCGATGAAACATTTATCTGGTAACCAGAAACTGCAACAGCGTGGTGAGTTGACATTGTTAAAAATGATTCAAAATGATAGTTACAAACATTTAAAGAAATTTTGATTTAAAAAAAAAAAAAAACATTTAGTAAAGAATTCTCCTATATGCTTGAAACCAAACATATGTTCAGTGTCAAGTACTTGTATGAATCCTTATCAGATGGGTCTGTCCAGCCTTCAGAACCAAAAGTCTGACTTGAACTGTAAGTCGGACAGCTCAGCAGCTCAGGTTACTAGAACAAGAAATAAAAAAGTAAAATAAAACTGGATAAAATGTGATAAACCCTGGGGTAAATCTGACTTGATAGACCGTAACATTGTAGGTTGAAAGCAGTTTTAAAGTTCCTGCTCCACTGAAGAATAGACTCAAATCAATACTGATGTTTATTTGTCAGCAACAAAAGTAAACTAGATCATCAGTATCGAGACTGATAGTTTCTAAGTAGTTATTTTTAATGCCTGAAACCACTGTTGGGATTAAGTGTCGGGCAAATCAGATTTTATTTAACATTTTTAATCACAAAGATTCTCTGTGAGCAAAAGTTTTGACTATGAAAAGAAAGCATGACAAGGTTATTTGTTGAAAATCACATAAACGGGATAAAATTGGTGCTTTGCTTACAGGAGACACACATAACAAGTCCACACAGCAGTTTCAAACACCAGGTTAAGTTGGTTAGTAGAATGGACCAAATTTTGGGGGTTCCTCTATTTATGGGACTCAACCATTAACTGTGTAAACTGTTTTATCTTGTTCAAAAATGAGTTAAGTGTATCTAAAGAGATTCTCAGGCTTTTTAAAGGTCAAAGTTGATCAACTTAGACCCCTGAATCCCCCGTCTCAAACAGGACAGACTGTTATCATTCGTGGTACACGGAGTTGTAAAGGTTTAAAAATAGGATATTGAGCAAACACAATATAGAATTATGGTCTCTGAAGCTGAAACTAAAGCTGTGACCTGGAGTGAAGAAAGTCTCATGACACCGGAGGATGGGACTGAATGTTGTACATGCATGCTCAGCAGAAATGCTGACAGGAGGATGGAATCTTAGCTGCTGATCTGGGAGATCTGCTTTATCCCCTACATAGCAGAGGTTACGGTAAACTATCACCAGGGGATAAAAGCTCAAGGTGTCAACCGTCAACTTTTCCCCAGCTCTCAAAAACAACTGCAAGGATGTTTCCAAGAAATACTTTCACCATCAAATAATGTGCCTTTCTCCCCCCCCAGAAAGACGAAAGGTTAATAAATCTGAACTCTGATCTGTGAAGTATGAAAACCTGACTGCAAGCTGTCAGACCATTATGACTGGGCTTTTTAAAACTGCTCAGTGTGTAGACTCTTGTGTCGCTCAAATGTATTCACCGTGGAGGCCGGGTCACCATTAAATAGATCACTTCTCACGCTGTAAGTAGAGCTTGTTAATTGGCTTTTTGAAGAGCCTCTCCAATGAATAATAGCGCAATCTCTCATTCTGCAGACCTAGTTAATTCAAAAATGTGTCATTAATTTGGGTCACCAGTTTTCAATGAACATTTGTAAGGGCACTATGAGGAATCAAGTATCCGTGCCCGCATCTGTTCATCCAAAGCACCTCTTAACACAGTGACTCATCACAAAGAGTCAAACCTCATACTTGAAACATTCAAACCATAGAGTTGGTTATAATGTCTTTTATGTTATAGCATTGGGGTTGAATAACCTGTTGTAGTTGTTTACCCCTAATGAAAATGAAGTAAAGTTGACATAAATTGGCATTGAAGTAACGTCAACATAAATTTTAAGCAGAAAAAAAGACGATAGCTCAGACAAACCTTTTTCACAAATCTTAGCAGACAAGCAGACCAATAATATGTAGACAGGTATGCTAATAGTTACCAAAAGGCCTTGCCAAAATTCAACCCAAGCTTGTGACTCTCAGGTATTTTTATGATTTTATTGACTAAGCATGTAAAATAAAAACCCAGCATTCAAAACAAGAAGGAGAAGAAACCTCAGGGGTCCGTGTATAATCCGCCTATTCAATTAGTTCATTCAATCAAGTAAACGAAAAATGAAAAAAACAAGTCAATATTTTGTTCATTTGTTTTTCTATATAATCAAAAATATTTTCAGTTCAAAACAGAACATATAATAGAGAAGAAAACAAAAACGAAATAATGAATCTACTTTTCGTTTTCAGGATATTGATGTCCCCATTTCCCACGGTGCCTTTCTACGGTGCGCACATGTGCATTGCGCAACGAAGTAGCCAACAACGTGAACCAAAAACTCTGGGCTAGAGCGGTAGAAAAAGGCTAACCTGCTGTCATGGAGATGGACGCATCCTACGTATCATTCAAAGCTGCCAGGAGGGTCACGCTGAAGGAGGAAAATATGACCGTAGAAGAAACTACAACCAGAGCTCTGTTACAACGCAAGATTTTGGCGCTCGAACTGCTCTGTCACATCTTTCGCCATGGTAACTGTCGGCCAATGTAGGCCAATGGAGCCTCCATGCACGTACGCTCAAAACAGGCGCACTCAAAATCAATAATTGTAAATAAGATACATTATTTTGTTTTCATTTCCTTCTCTATATATATTCTGCTCTGAGCTGAAAATACAAAAACAAACACAATTTTTTTATTTTTTGGTTATACAAAAAAAAACAAACAAAATATTGACTCGTTTTTTTTGTTTTTCGTTCACTAATAATTGAATGGACAGATAATACACACCCTCAGGGACAAGTTTCAGGTACATTTGATCAAAAGTAAAAAATCATCAATGTTTGGTTGGATTTAGTCGCTGATGGTGTTTATTACTTTTGAATATCGTAAAAGAGCAACAATTTCTGATTTTAGCCTGTTTTGTAGAAATAATAAAAAAAATAAAATCTCACAGAATTTATTGGGCACATACTGACAGTGATCTCCTGGGTAAAGAAGAAACTCACAACCGTGAAGACAAACTCATCCCACATGTAATCCAAATAAAGATGGCGAGTGTAAATTATTTTAAATTTGATGTTGTCACCTAGAAATACTCCTCTGTGCCTTCATTTTATAAAATCTGGCTGGGCCCCTAGGGATAACAAATTTATTATTTTATAGTGACTTTTATTTTCCAGATAATGCAGAATAAATTGATAAGTACAAAAAAAAAAAAAAGTCAAGAGAAGTAATTTGACGAAGGAAAAGCCACGTCATTTAAAAATGATAAAAAAATACTATAAAACTACACAGGGGTATACAGGGATACACAAACTAAAAAATATAAGCCTTAAAATGCTGCTTACATCAGTATTTAGAGAGAGAGAGAAAGAGAGAGAGAGACACAGAGAGAGAGAGAGAGAGAGAGAGTTGCACCTCCTTCATTATATGTGACAGTCCCCCTCCACAGCCTCCTCCTCCTCCTCTCTCTCTCTCGTCTCTTCTTTCTCCGTCTGCTCAGCCTCTCTTCGCGCGCTCCTTGTCCACTCTCTCCTCTTCGTTTATTTTCACTTTGACTCTCCATCTTCGACATGCTGCTCACGTGAAGTCCTCCAACTTACAGAAAGAGAGCGGATACAGCGTGAAGACCGAAAAAGAGAGAATAAAGGAGGCAAATGCTCCATCGGGGAATAAGAGGAGAAACTACGCACGTTTGCATCTTTTATTGAGTGCCTTGGCTTGAACGGAGCAACAGTATGGATCTGTCATTCATGGCTGCGCAGGTGAGACGTCTGAAAATGTGTAATGGGAACTTTTTTTCCACATCTTTTTTGTTGATTTGATGGGTGTGGCCGGTCAACAAGTTCGTGATGTGCTTGGACTGTTGCACACTTCCTATAAACAGCCAAGAAGCCAAAACCAGGCATTTTTCAACCTTGAATTAAATAGCTCTGCGTGTTTCATGTTGCAATGAGTCATAAAGTGCATGTTTTTTGTTCTTTAAGGGATTTATCACCTTCTTACTGTGTGACCTGTCCTTTCAAAGTTTATTGGACTTGTAGTTGCTCTGTCTCACTTGGACATGCTGTACTTTTATGAGGTAGCCTGTTGTGTCTGGATCTTTTACTTCATGATATATTGCATTTAGTTTCCTTTTAAGTGGGCTGTTCCGATCTTTTATACACACCACCTGAAACATCTGAATACATCAATTTGCTTTCACAAAGACAGTGTGTTATTGCGCATCTCTTTTGGACATGCCATTTGTTTCCATTAGGAGCTGATCTGGGCTGCTGTTGCTCCTCTTGCCTCACTCTGTGTCAGGCTGCTCATTTGGTTTGTCTGGTGTCATCCACTTTGCCATTTTCTGTGCAATGGCTATTAAACGGTCCAGAGCATTATCTGCGCTGCCAGTAGCTGTTCTGCAGGCCAGACTTAGCCAAATGCTCTCAAATCTTGTTAAATCAAGGATCTCTAAATAGAAAGGTATCCGAGCATGGAACTGCATGAGAATATAATTTTGCTCCTGACTGTGAAAGGCAGGGGAACTAATAATACACTGTCAGCATGATTCACTTTATCATTTTGCAAACTTTCAGTGGGTGCAATAATGTCTCGATTCACTCACATCTTGCAGCGGTTATATGTTAAGCACATTATGTGTTGTGTTTCTTGTATAGGGGGATTTCTTGGGGCTTGACAGCCTAGATGAGAGTGAAAGCTCAGGAGGCTTTGATGGCTTGTGTTCAAATGGTTTATATAACTTGATCGGCGAGAAATGAAACTAACAGTGTACATGAGGAGTGAAGCAGTGCAGCCCCAAATCAGTTTTAAAAGAGCGGTCCGAGGGTGCATAACCTCTCAGATGAGTTTATATCACTGGAAAATTGCTGATAGATCAAAACATACACCCAGAATGCTCTGTGGGAGAGACAGAAATGTGGATGTTGAGGGCGAGTAAGACTAGCTGCAAAAGATGAATATAGGAGAAATGAAGGGAGCCTGTAATCATATTCTTCACTGTTAAGGAAAGTGCTGTCAGAATAGCTGTGGTGACTTCATTATGTGGTGGCTGTATTTATAATGAAGGGTGTGAGATTTCTCTCTTCCTGGAGGAGCTTCATTGAATTTACAGAGAAGGGTGTGAGAGGTGAATTCAGTTTAGGGTCAGAAGCCTGTGACCCCGAATCTGACCTTCGAGGTATAAGCATAATCTAACCCTTGGGAGACAGAGGTAGCAGCAGAGTGCGAGAACCAGGTTTACAGCAACTGACAGCAGCATAGTGACTGAGGTAGCCCCCCGATCTGGACCCCCTTATTTGAACTGTCAAGTAGCTCAGAACCCGACCAACGGGCCCGGTCTGTGGATCGGGAAAACCGCAAAAAAAAAAAAGATTAAATAATTTGTTTCCTTTTCATCCGTCCTCCCAGTTATCTTATTTTGAAAGACCACCACTTCCGCCATCGCCTCACTTTCGCGCTCGACTCTTCGGCACGTCATTTTCCTGCATCAGCAACACAAGGTAGCCCTCACAAAAATGAGCCAGAAACAGAGTTCACTGGAGAGAGAAAGGGTTGATTCTGCATTATGGTGAGTTGATGTTAAAGTAATGAAAAGTGCCTAAAATAAAATGTAATTGTTGTATCCAGATTACATACTATGTATATACTACGTACTGATTAAGGTTTTTGTGATTGGAACCTCCTCACCCCTACCCCGTCCTTGGAAAAAGTTTCCTGAATGAAACTCATCACTGGTACAAAAAAGGTTGAGGACCACTAAAGTAGCTGATAACTAAAACAGGAATCATTTAATGCTTCAACAAGACCATTTAGAGAGTAATTAAAAGGCATTTCTAGGCACATTGGGCAAAATCGTGAATTCTTAATTAGTCAAACTTTGATTACTGAGACGTAAAATAAAATAAACACAACAATTTTGGGCTTATAGCTTGCATTAGTCACTTAGTGCGATTTCACAGGTCGATAACTGGCGTAGATATAAATCGGCAAACGTAATCATGTCAATATGTTGTGTACGTTTTATAAATCACTGTCACTACGACTTCAATTACCCAAAAATACTCAACAGTTACATTGTCCTTGGGTTAACAAAAATTGACTCTTTTAACAAAATGACCCTCAGTAACAGTTAATCGGGATGTTTTTAAATCAAACAGGCTGCGTGCTTGACAGTAGAATATTGTCAGCCAAGCTAGCATGTCTTTTTTCAGATGATGGTAAATGGTGGATGGACTTGTGTTATAGTCAAACAATGATGTCAGAGACTGAGACGTAAAGGCACATGCTAACCAACAACACTGAACCAATTATGGCTGCTTCAGCTCCACACATCAGATTTTATGAACGTGATAAGAGCCTGTTACCCAAGTTATTGTAGACAAACACAGTGATTTGCTGTATGATGTTTGTATTCTTTATGAAAGATGACTACAATAATGACAATATGGCCCTGATTTGCTGCCATTTCACCATGACCTTATTTCCTCATACATATTTCCTGGGGCTCTTCCAGTTCACCTATTTCCACAGCACCCATATACTTTCTACTCAACAATACAGCCCCTTCAGACAGGTAATGGCTAATTTTACTGATGTAAAATTCATTTCAGTGCCCTGAGTCGCTCTGTAATGGTGACTGTGAATGAAGTCGGGCAAATGTCCCCGGAGTTTCAAAGATTGACTTCTCAGTGGATGATTTTTTTGCCCATCCATCTCTGTGTAGCTCTGCTGCCTGTGAATCGTTGGACTGTCGCCATCGCCTGTAAAACATGGCAGTTGCTGACATAATTCCTCCAAAAGACAGGGGGAGTTTTAGAGAATGCAAGCTCAGAGATGCTGGTAACTGTTTTCCCTTTGTACCAGGGGGCTAAATGATTGGTGTGCCGGTCGTTATAACTGCAGTAAACCACTTTGCAATATAATGTCACCCTGTAAACCAAAATTTGGGTACTTTTTGATACTTGATGTTATTAGAATTTTACAATCTTTGGTGCTTTTATGTAGATAAAATGGTTCAGTGTAGCTGAAAAGCAGCTCATCCTGACTGAAGGAAGATATTTTGTAGGTTGCATCTCCACAAGGCAGCAGTGTCGTCACGAAAGACATGTCAAGACTGTCAATGCATGAGCCTCCTTCTTTAAGAGAAAGAAAAGCAATGCCTGTTCTCCAGCATGCCCACTACAAGCAACAATAGCAAGTCATCTTGTGAAAGATCATCTTTACACCGTGTGCTGCTGACTAGAACTGACTGTCAGTCTCCTGTGGGTCTACTCTAACCCATAAAGCCAACTCTTATAGAGAACCCGCTGACTTATCAAAATCTGTATGCAAACTACGCTGCAGAACAGTGTCATGCAAGGGAGGAAACTCTTTAAACCTCTCAAAGCACCTTAGTGACAGACACCCAGACCTTTCCAAGGAAACACGACAGGCTAGGACATAAGTTTGTGGGCTGTATCAAACACGGTACCATCAGTATACCAGTTGGGGGTCAATATCAGACCCGGCCACCCTAACCATACTTGCTGCTTTGTCTCTGGTGGTTCAAATAGAGATCGTAAATGAGGCACACTTCCACTTAGATTCTGCAAACATAATAGTGCCAATAGTGAACATAATGCTCGATAAATGGTGATTGGGCTGCTTTGGAAACATTTGAAAGGAGAACAATATCAATCTTTTTCCTTGAATACGGTGCATCTAAGAAGACTAACGCCTCCAAGACAAGGACATGCAACGTGTCCAAGAGTTATGCAGAAAACCTGTTAGACTTTCAAGGTAATTGGCCGTTGTTTTGCAGACTTTGTCACTCTTTTTGTTAAAAACGGATTTGAATGATCTTACAATTAGCTCAATGCAGAGCATAATGTGCACTTTTGTGTTTGGAGAATGATTTGCATTTGGCAGGAATGCCTGACTGGTTTGAAATGAAAAGGCACATACTTCATTAGGCTGAGAGTGGTGGCATCCTCAAGCTCCGCAAAACACAGATTAATAGGCGGCAATCACAATGAGCTTTTGAATACTAATCTGAAGTCAATGAAGCAAACTCTTCTTTATCATTTAAATGGACAAAATTGAGGAACATTTACTTCCCTTGGTGCCTTAAAGCCCTCGTGAGGAGCTTTTTTATTTGCGAAACAGATTGAAATTGTTACGGATGCCTCTTAATGACCCACAAAAGCAAACGAGACCACAAGCAGAAAAATCAATGCTGCCACCAGGGTGAAGGTGACAGACAAGACAGCCGTCAGTACACAATACCAACAGTCTTTCTTGTCAACAATGAGTGATACAAAGCACTGTTAAAAGACAGCAGGATCAGATTTTTTCCTCCAAGTATTACCTTGGTACATGCATAGGAGCTGATTTATGATTATGCGGTTAATTTTGGAATAACACTGACATGCACGGTATGATTAATGTCTCTAAATTAGTGTCGGAGGCACACAAGAACAAAAAATCCACATCCCATCGCCACAGAGACATCACAAGCTGTAGGGCATGTGAGCATAGCTGTATGTGTACATAAACATGGAATTGAAAATTAAACCATGTTGCTCTGTTCAGCACCTGCTCTACCTGTTCATATCAAACTGACAGGCCGTCACAACAATGCACAAGAAACAATCAAGAATGATTAATCATCGACACACAGACCCACACAGGCACAGCTTTATTAGTAATTGCATTTTGGACACTCAGCATTGCTACTGCTTCCCTTGGGGCAAGTGTTGCTCCTTGAAACTGTGCACTTAATGAATAACTCTTATACTCACGTCCCTATTGCATGACAATATCATGTGACAGAGCAGCAACAGTGACCACAGCAACATGACGACAATGTTGAGTACATAGAGCAGTCTTCCTGTTAGTCTCAGACAGTGTTAGTTAACTACCCTAGATGTACCGTAGGCGGTTAGACCCCACAGCACCCAAATATTCAACGCCTATAGAAAAAGATAAAATCCGAAAAATGATAAGATGTCCACAGGGGGCACCAAAATCAACACAAGCCAATAGGTCCTAACAGTAGATTTAAAATGTGGACGTTAAGACAAATATCCAACCTGCGTATAATTTCACATTTCTTTTTATGTCTAATACTGGCATTGTTAATCAAGTCATGCTCATGTGTCGCACCATGTGCATGCTGTCACTGTCAAATTAATTAAAATGGAAGATGTTAAGGCATACAAAATGAGTCAGTCTGTTTCTAACCGATGTTTAGGTCAAATCTGATGTGCCGTAGACAGGCTCCAAAGCCACCCTGGGCTTACTGCCAGTCTCAAACTTGCTTCAGTTGACAGATCTGCAACACATGGCAGTAAAACCCTTAAGGCCCTGTCTGTCTAGTACAGGCTGACCCACTGGCCTTGGCCTTCTTCTAATTTTCGCTCTTTTGACGACATATATACACAAAGCGTGAAACGAGATGACCGTCTTTTCTCTTTATCAATGTCTAGACAGTTCAATTCACAGGTGAGATGCTAAAGGTCTGTCTTCATAGTGGGATTTGGATGTTTTGTCTCTGCGTGACAGGCCGTCAGCTTCATTCTCATTCACCGCTCGGTGTCATTTGAACTGACAGGGTTGTCTATCTCTGCTTCTGTTTGAGGGATAAATGAGGGTGAATGATGAAGGGTGATGGGCTGCCTCCATATACAAACAGAGCCATCTGTGTTTACCCACAGCACCAGGAACCCCAGACAGCCAAATTCAAGTTCGTGCCAAACGATATGACAATACAATACAACTGCCAGAGAGTCAATACAATTAGAAGAAATGAATACGACTTTGATAACAAGGTCAAAATAAAAAGGACTGGACCAAATTGGGGTATAATTGCCCTTTAATGTGGAACACAACAAGAAGTCTAATTTGTGCACCCCTTCCCTGATATGAAGCCAGATACCGACATTAAAGTTTCACAATTCATGGATTAAATTATTTCCCTATTAAAAAACCATTTCGGAAGAGCGCATCAAAAGGCTTGTATCCAGACCATCTTTGCTCTCTATTGCATATAAATTTAATTACATAACCATCTAATCCCACTGTGGATTCTTCACACACAGTCTGTCTCTTTAAAAATAAATCTCCTGCTCTTTATAAAGCAGGCTTATTTGAAGAATGTAATAATGGCACACCACGCTTTTTATCCTTTGGAGTTCATTTCCCCTCTGGTCTTTTGTCTGCTTTTTCAGCAATTGGTTTTATAAAAAAGCTGTAGTCTTGAGATACTGCAAACTTGCAAAAGACACAAATTTTCAGGCTTTTAAAGACCCCCCAGTGTTGTAAACCTGGTGAGAAAAAACAGCCACCTAGAACCAATTACAAAGAGCTGTACAGACAGAAAAAAATCAATGCTTCAAATAGATGAAAGGCAAACAACTCTAACTTTTGAGGTCCATTTTCAGCTAATTTTCCTAAAGCCATGTCTGAAAACTTCACGACCTGTCATACCAGTTTTTAATTATTATTGGATGACATTAACCCAATATGGGAGTGCCTGAACTCCTGCTTAAGCCCAGTGGGCGAAGATGCTCAGAGTACTTGTGCTGTATAATAAGAGGGTGAGGCTCTCAAGACCCACTTCAGTGAAAATCATGTTTTTCCTGTTTTTTATTTGTTTACATGGCATTTTTCTGATGCTGCAGGACATATCATGAGAAAACTAAATGCTTCATTCAAATCTCTGTGAATCTCTGGCAGACCCAAACAGCAAGTTCAGAAACAGTGAGATTTCATATGTAACCCATCTAAGCTCCTCCCCCGGAGCCCCGCTATGCAGGCCACACTCTGCATACAGAGGAGAAATAAAGAGGACGATCACGGAACAGGCATGTGCGTTAGTGGATTGCAATGCTCGTAAGAAAGCTAACTATGATGTTAGCTTTCATCGTGTCCAAGAGCTGAATAGCTTCTATGTTACCTGCCACTTCTACTACACCGGCAATGTTAGGCTACATGCTAACATGAATTCGAGTGTGCAGAGCAGCACCGTCTCCGCCAACGACTTAGTGGCAAATTGCTAATGATCTACCGGAGCTCTGCAAGAGAAAAGCCCTTGAAAATGACACAAGTAACACGATCTTTGGTAAAAACTTCATAATCACAATTTAAAGACCATTGAGAACACTTTAAGTAGTAAAAAAAAACAATCAGAGTGGGACTTTAATCATTATATGTCAAATAGAAGAAATTCATTAAATGTCAGAAGGAAAAATGCAGCTTTCTGATATCTTAAGTTACATTTTACACTATTATCACACTTTTGTCTTTCGATAATATTTTGATTATTATTCCTTTGAACCAATTCTTCTTTGGAAGAATTGATTTATAGGAGATAGTTTATTGGAAAAGTATTGAAAAAGTATTTGTTTATTAATCTAGACTAGATGATTTTCTTGATTTCTTATTAACACCACCTCAGATATAAAAAAAAAACATCAAGGTTGTTGCCTATTTCGAAGATGCCCTGGACTGTCTCTCTGTCTCTGAAATCACAGTACTCTTAATGTAAAGGTTAACAATAGTATCTAGAAGAGTATCTGCCTGTATTTTCATTGTAAACTGCACTGTGCAAGAAAGAAAACACCTTTAACCAATTTGTAATTCTGGTCCTGGCGAGGACATTTCATCATTTTGTGTACTTAACATGCGCGTCCCTACCGGTGACTGGTTGTTGACAGGGATGAATGCCGGCTGTTGTCGGAATACAGGAACTGTTGGATGGAATTAATGTTCACTGTGCATAAATTCCCAGTGTTCCCATGCTATCTTATCATAGAACATGTTTGCATTGTAGGCACAAACATCTCCCAGCTGTTTTGCACCTGAGTTGAGTGATTGCATATTGAAAGAAGTCCTGGGGAGAATAAAAGGGAGACTTAATGGACTGTGACAACCAAGTATGAAGTAATAACATCGTTCCCTGATAGAACTTGCTCCCTAACTGCATGATGCTTCCTATATAACTGTCTCTGATATTCAGCAGGTATGAATAATGTAGTCCTACATAAATAATCTATTCTGCACCCACCCTGAGATCATTTCAAAGCAGCTTTTTTTCATTGTATTGATATGTTTCCTAATAAAAATGAGCTATGATTTGGAGTGGACATATGATGTATATTAGCTCCGCCTGTTCACGTTAAAAAAACAAGATCTCTGTGCTGACAATTTTGCCATAAGCACCAGTAAAATCCAGTGATGAATTCAGCTCATGAGCAGTTCTTTTCATAAAAAGGAAGCATGGTTTTAAAATGTAGGAGCTTAACAGTGGGTGGCTGCTTTGTTTTAGAAAAAGCTGGCAGAATGCTGAATGGCAGCAGCTGATTACACACTATTAAGGAGGAAGGAGAGATTAATTATGATTATAGTTAAACATCACCATGGCTGCTGTGATACATTAGATTCATTATGCATTTTGGAAACATTAGCATGCTAAACATAACGCAATAAAATTTATAAGGGGTTTATGTTGTGAGTCTCCAGCAGAGCTTCTCGTGTTTGCCAAGAGACGTCAATTAAAATGCTTTCATCCCCGGGTGCAATTTCAATAAATTACCCTGTGAGGACAAACAAAAACAGCAGAGACACAACTGTTGGTTTCATCTTTCAAACATCATTTCAAAGGGGTTACAGAGGGCAACTGAATATGTAATGAAACTCTCTCAGAATATGTATATTAACTCGTCTTGGAGGTTTATGAACCTGTGCAACATTATTCTCTCCCCCCCAACTTCACAAGAAAAAAAAAAACAAAAAAAAACTGCATTTGATTTTATTTGTTTTACTGCGGCTGTGTCTCTGAGTCTGACCTTGGGTAAGGGTCAAAGAAACCCGCCCTGAAACTAATAGCAAAGAGTAAACAAACATGCCTTTTTCCATTCCACTACCGCTCAACCACATCTTGCTCAATCTGCAAAGAAGCCGAGGTTATATTGAACAAAATGCAGTTTCACTTCCCCTTAACAGACACTGTTGCCTAAGGAGAAAAGTCCGAACTTTGGAGACCAAGACAGAATTTATCACTTTGGTGCTACTTCTGTTTCTGCTGCTATAGGTAGAAATTTACCAATAGTATATCAGCATCCTTGATTACTCAAAATGCTTCCCATTTGGACCCAATTGATGTACTTTATTCTTATTACTCATTTGCGTCTTATGCATCTGACAACTTATGCTACAGATGAACTTGTTTCTTCAGTTTCCTTGCTGGTAAACTTCTCAAAAGCTAAACCAACACTACACCACCTCTCTGCTATATTACAATGTGCTTCTAATATTTTACATCGTCTTATTTATTGATGTTACTCATGAGCTGAAGGCCGAGCAAAGCTTTGGTTAATGCTCTACAGCTCTAATGATGTCTCATATAAAGCAAATCTTATTGAGACCTTCTCGTTTCGGATGCATGCAACTTTAATGGCCGTGTGATGAATCAGGCACTTACAGTAGAGTCAGTTGTATTACTTATGGAAATCATTTGGAATGCCCACTGGTATGCATGAGTGCTGGAGGAGTACACTAGCTTGGATTCCTCTTTAAATGTTGAATTTTTAAAGATGAGTACAAGGAGTTGTGAATCAATTCGCAGCTTGGACTTCAAGCGAGGCTTTACAGAAGCTGTGATGTGTTGTATTTTAGTCTTTTTCAACAACCTTGCCATCACAAGAGCAACGGTAGGGCTACCAAAACATCTCAATTATTCAGTTATTGCAAAACGACCATTGGCAGGGCATGTGAGTTTGAAGAGTCCTTGAAATTTTTGGTTGATTTCTATGGCAGGAGGATGAAAAATGAACAGTTTTCTTTTTGTTTTTCTCCTGAGGCTAATGTTAGCCCATCAACCAAAAACAATGGACTCAAGGAGAAATTCAATGTTCCTCTTAAAGGGATATTTCATATTTTTTAAGTGAGCTTGTATGACCTACATACTTGTCACGAGTAAGTGTATTAGCCACAATAGATGTGGTAGAAACAGGAATCTATGTATGCTACCGTTCTTATTATCTTAGTATAAATGTATGTATCTTTGTATAACTGTAATCAGTTGACCTCTAATTTGCTTCTCAGTAAAGGGAGCCGAGCAGTCGGACCTCTAACTCAAGCAATTTCACTTTAAAAATCTCACTTTCAGACCTCCTCAATTACTGATGAGAGATGTTTTAGTGGTGCAAAAACTGGGTTTAAATGCATCTTGGATTCAGCAGCTACATGCTGCAAACTCAAGTAATGTTTAAAACATGGAAAACAGCAGATAGACAATGGAAGCTGTGAGGGATTTCAGCTGATCTGGTCTCTTTTTATTTAGTGAAGCAAATTTTTTTAAAGGTAACAGGTAAAATTAAAAAATTCAGGCTTGCTTTGTTGCTATTCATTCACTAAGCAAACACGTCCGCAGTGATGCCTCAACTACATTCATATGCTCATAAAAATACACAAACACTCCACAGCGAAAGTCATATTAATTCAAGACATGGGGGCATGAAAAGTGAGGGAGCACTGCTCAACCATCACTGTAACTGACAACACAGAAACTAGGCCAACAAAGGACTTGCGTGACAAATTCATAACACCCCTACCAACCCCCTCTCCCCATAGGGGAAATATGTACAGTATCCATTCATAAATGCAGATGCCGACCTGCAGCCATAGAAAACCATTGGAGACAGGGACAAGCTAAATCCACTTTGCAGCTATGGTGTTATCACGCTGATAGCAGTTTACACACTGTAGAATAATTTGCATCGATTATGACGTCAAAAAGACCTCCTGCATTAGCATTTACTACTGTTATGTTAAGTACCTGCTAGGCCACACAGGCTGCTGCTTTAACTGTAGGAATATTGATTTTCGCTGCATGCAGGGGCTCACTCGCTTTCACTCATACATACATAATCCCACAGACACCTCAAGAGAGTTTCATCACATACAGCCACAAAGACCACTAGTACCTTCTGATTGATGGTTAAATGTAGACGTGACTGTCATTTTATGTCTGTTCTGTTTGCGTAAACAGAACTTGGACATAAATATATATCAAATTTGATGGTAAAAAGTCAAAGTCACAAACAAAACTCCCTCCCTGCAGTAATTTGACAGTTTCACACTGATGTCAAATTGCATGAAATGATCAAATGATGACATTTCATACCCAAAAGGTCAAGGGTGGATTGTGACCTTTTTGCAAACTATATTTAGATTTTAAAGAGCTTATGCACCTCTAGGTTGAAACTGGGTGTGAAGCGTTTTTTCAGTAAAGTGAATTAAGCATAGAAGGCGTATGAGAATACAGAGAAGGGCAGCTCAGACTCTGTAAAACCATCACAATAATATTAGACACACAGTAAGGCAAAATTGTATATGCTTGTATTAGGGTGACCATATTCTGAATCCCCAAAAAGAGGACAGGATTATGCGGGGGCGGAGTCATGGAGTCACGCGTAGTTAATTTTGAGAGTTTTTCGGGTTGGATCGAGTGTTTTTTACGCGCTTCTAACTCAGTAAGTCGACACAAGACAAACTCAAAACTTCCATACAAAATCCCAGACATTTGAAGGATTTTATAAACTCCCCCGGACAAGTCCAGATAGGCTGGACAGCCCCAAAAAAGAGGATATGTCCGGGTAAAAGAAGACATATGGCCACCCTACTTGTATCATCATCATTATAATTTTGTTGTCATGCTGTGTATTTCTTTTTCTGAATATTCGTGTCCAATATAGTTGACAAATTAGGAGATTAAAGTGTCATGATATATTTTTTTATATTATGACTATATTCTGTATAACATGGGCAGGACACAGCCACCTCCAGTGAAGCAAAAATGCTTAGAGCTCCCCCTGGTGTCTAACTGCAGTACAAGCCATAAAGTCCTAAGTCAACACCTTTCAACGTATTTTTTTTTGGCTTCACTTTTTACAGTAAAAGGAGGCTGAGGTTTTCTGTCCAGTCAATGTTAATGTCGACTATTTGATTTCTTTTTAATCATATAATAATAATAATGCATCAGATTTCATAGAGCGCTTTATCTGAGACCATCATTCATTCGGTCACACCTTGGTGGTGGTAAACTACCTTGGTAGTCACAGCTGACGGAAACGTGGCTGCCTACGGCCTCTCTGACCACCACCACACAACACTCACATTCATACACCAGTGGAGGACACACACTGGGAGCAAGGTGGGTTAAGTGTCTTGCCTAAGGACACAACGGACAGACTTGGGATAGGGGGGAAATTGAATCGCCAACCTTCCAGTTATTGGACGACCGCTTTACCTCCTGAGCTACTGCCGCCCCACATATAGAAGATGCTCAGTACCACTGAACCCCACCTGCCTCAAAGTAAAATACATATGTGTTGGGGTTGAAGAATAAGGCCCAAGAACTGTGTCAATGCTCTTTTAGTGGATCAAAATAGTACACATCTAGTTTCAGCAAGGGGAAATAGCCCAGTTTTAACACGCACACTGACTTTGAGCAGACTAAATGCGGCTCTTCCCCCAGTGTAAACAGAAACACATACCTGTTCCAAATCAGCATGAAAGTGGGACACAGCCTTTTTCAACATCTTTTCAGCTTCTAACACAGAGGACAATTAATCCTGTTCCTACCCGAGATCGACCATTTGAGACAGCAACGAGAAGGCTATTACGTGAGAGAGGATCAGAAAAGGGACGGAATAATTGCTAGGGCGCTATTGTATGTGAAAATAGAAATAGGAGAACAAACAATGCTCGGGCAAAGGCTCTCAGGGATTGGAAATGAGTTATGCCTAATTTATATTTGACAGGGAGGAACGTTGGTTCAGCATGTTCTTGTGCCTTAGTTGAGAGCTGCAACATGCTGCACACATCAAGAAAGGCTGCCATTTCACTGATTAGAGGCGTGATTTTTTATTAATAACACGGCTGCAGTGCATCTATTCTGGGGTATACAGTCAACACACATGAAACCATAGCAATAAGGAAGGAACTAAATGGAGATTTGTTTTTTTAGCTGTCATGTGGCAGATCATGAATCACAAGTCTAACTTATATTTGTGCATAATGTCAAGTTTTTACATGTATGTATAGTGTATGTGGATAAATTCCCTCCATATGGCTGTCATGTCTGAGCAACTCCCACAACCATTCCGTCACATTTCCCAGTGGAGTCGGTCAGCACCACAGTGCAAGTTGTTGTGGATAAGAGCATCTGCCAAATGCTATAAATATAAACATATCATGATGTAAGAGGTCGTGGAGATCACTTTAAATCTGGTATACTGAAATTTATGTGACAGAATATTAAAGGCCACGCTGCAGGAGCATGTGGAGAGATTTAGGAAAATGAAATATTGTAGATTTATTTCATTTTTTAGCACTTTAATCAATCATAGTGCATGCATACGTTGTAATTTTAACCGTTCAGAGGATGATGACAGAAAGAGGACTTGAATAAGAGCTAAAAAGCCAAGATACCAACATGGTGATACAAGATACGATTCAGAGGGGAGAGGGGGGACATGGAGGTATACGTCTAAAGAAGATGATTTCTCAGTCTACATGAGATGAGGAGCGACTCCGCTGTTCTGAAATCATTGCAGCCTCGGGAGCCAGGAGGGAAAGAGATTTGAGACCAGCGATAACAAGGTCAGAGCAGATGGAGCTAAAAGAGATGAAGGAGCGATCCAGGCCTGAAACATACCCAGAGGCTTGGTTGTGGTTAGAAAGGGAGCACAAATCTGGGATTGGACTTGTAGGGTTTTCAACCAGAGAAGTGATAAGAGGTAAATTTGAGGAAGGCTGGCTGTATTTGTCTTGGTCCTATTCTACTGGCAACACTTTATCCTTTGTAAGACTTATTTGAGTTACTGATAGCACCCTACTAACATGATATCCAGACTTGAAACTTTTTAATCTTTTAAATCTGCAGCTGCATCTCTACAAAGACCAAACAGAAGTGCACATCGAGACTGTAAGTACTGTTATCAGTCCATCACAAGCAGGAGGCATCTCTGTGCTGACACTTTCCTTTTGAACTGTTATTTTATATTCCCTGTGATTGGAGCTTAAATTTTTACAACCCAAGTTAACACTCCTGTGTTATGGTCTGCACCGACCTGTTTTTGATTTTACATGCTTAAAGGAACCACATCAAGTTTTTTTTGCATGAAGACTTTTGACTTTGTCAGAAACCTCTATTTCAACAAAACAAAGATTAAAAAGTTTTTGACTAAATTATAAAATTCTCTTATTAAAATTATGGCACTTGTCGTGTTAGGGTTGCTGTTGACCCGGTTAGATCAATATCTAATAATCAGAGCAAAAACTGAAATCATACGTGCACTGTCAGGCACCACACTGACAGTCAGATCCTCTTCCAATCATGTGAGATTTAGGAAATTCTCATTTTGCCATGTTTTTTCCTGCACAAAAAACAGCCTCAGGCATGTCCAGACATGTGAGATCAATTCAGTATAGATGTCTGTATGAGGGGTATACAGACAAAGAAAGGCCAAGAGGACCACAACAAAACTATTATAGGCAATATTTTCATGGGTAATGAAGCCTAACAAGGTAACCTAGAGATGAGAACCAAATTGGATGATAGAGAATTGTTTTTAGTGTAATTTACAGCTGATTTAAGACACGGGTCAAACCGACCCTTAACATGGAGGGTGCGTGGTAAAAGCTAACACAGGAGGAAGGTTAAGATTAGAAGTAGTTTCACTACAAAATCAAGAGGTTTAATGAAGCTGGAGCTTCATGTCCTCTGAGTGGTGAAGCAAGGGTGCCATTGGCAAATTCGCAATTTGTCAAGATGATTATCTCTGCGAATAGTTCATTACAAAGAGCAGTCTAAAGGACATAGACACACACAGCAGAGTGCCACCATGAGTCACACTGTCCACTGGAAGCAGCCAAAGATGCTTTTTGATCTTTTTTTATTGCCGTCTGTGTGTCTCTTTAGGGATCAGAGTGGATCGAGGTGTTTCAGCCTTTTCTATATACAAAGAGTGGGAGCAAAGCAGGACCACCCCTGCTGATCTTCACTCTGAAACCAGTCTTACATGAGTGGAGATTCAATTAAGGGCTTCCATGTCTGCGCTGGAGATTTCTCAGTATTGCACAGAAACAGAGCAGGCGTGCATGGAGCCTTAGGGTAGGCTGACGTTAGCAGCAGATACAGAGAAAGCAGGGTGGTGTTTCCTTTCATCCAGGCAGCCTCTTCTATACAGCTTTTTATTCTAACACAACAGCGAACAGCCCCTCTGATCCTGCAAAACCCTATGAGGTTTGATACTCATTAAGATTTGATGAATGATTCCTGAACATATCAAATCTTCTGCTCCAAAAATGACTTTCAAATTCATGAGTACAACTGCTATTTTAGAGACATGGTCATGTTTTCTGGCCCTCTTTGCTATTGTTTTCTTTAAATGCAACGACATAAGTTATTTTTGAATTTGTCACTTTTTCCATATTTTAAGTTAGAAATAACATATGTGCCTGGCAGCTGTATCATTACATCTTATACGAGTACTACTAGAGTGAAAAGCCAAGAACTGTGCTCTGGTTGCAGGGTTGATTGCGCTCTCACTGCAAACAGGGTTTGACTGGAAGTGAGCCAAGACCACCTCTTTTTAGGCAATCTCAGATTGCTCGTTTTGTTCCCCATCAGAGTGAAATTGCTGTGTTCATACATGTCCAAAAGAGCCAGGCCAGGGAGGTAAATTGCTCCCATTGTGGAGCAACCTCTGCAAACAATTTAAGTGTGAAAACAATCTTGAGCACTTTCTGCTTCATGGTAACACAATCTCAGTCTGAGCAGGCGTGTCAGAAGTCAAAGTAAATTTTACACCACTCACTCTCAGCTGAGTTTCTTTTGACAAGGAAATTGTGAGGAGGCACTGGCAGATAAGGTTTATTAAAAAAAAAAAAAAATAGGTTTTGACATCTTAAATTCTTGGATGAAATTTTGTAGGTGGAGCCATTCATGTCACAATCCCACCAATCCGGGCTCTGACTCAGCACCCACTCACTCCTCCACACAGGAGCAGCAGCCAGCGCCGAGTTAAAGATGTGGCTCTTTTCCCTCCATCATTCTCCTCATCTCCATCTGCTTATGTAAACTCCTCTTAAAACTGCACATGAACTATCAAAGCATAAACGCTGACTTTCGTAGCTTTTATAGCTCTGTGGGCTTAATCAAAAACAGTCATCAACCCTCGTCTTGGTTTTGTTTCTCTGAACCTGCGGTGATTTTGTGATGCAGCATGACTTGTGTGCTTTCATGACTGTTTTTCTTGGCACATGTTGAAGCCCGCTCAACAGTCTTTCCACCGGGGCCCATCAGAGCAAGCAGCTGCCACTGACGCTGAACATGAAGGCACCAACATGTGACACTGTGGGGTGTGTTTTTAATTGAAACGCTCACAATGTAAAATACATGAGGAGGCTCCGCATGGAGAGCTCGAAGTGGCGTCTGCGACATCGTACATGCAGGAGGAAATCTCTGATCCTATGGCATAATGTGATCTTTGATGTAAACTCCACTGCGACAACACATTCTGCATACAACCCGCCTCATACATATTTAAAATACCTGCTTCTCTGAATAGTAAATTTCCCCGTCTTTAATCGAAATGTATGTTTTCTTTTAGTCTTTAAGAAAATTTACTAAAATGAAGATTTGAAATATTTGTAAATAAGTTAACAGGCTAATTTGAGAATTAATAAGATGAAATCCTAACTTTGTATGCCAGTGTGGACTCGGATAAAAGACTTATACATCTCTTCGAAACAGCGCCAATGTTTGTGTCGAGAAACATGCACACACAGGGAAAGAAAAAGGAAATCTATCCTTATCTCTCACACAAGCGCTGTAAATCACTGATAGAAGAGTTAACTTCACAGATTCATGATTCTTACAAACCAAACTACAAGTATTGCCAAACAGCTCTGACTAAAAAAGATTAGATTCGCTGCTCAGGAAAATAATTGAATATTAAGATCTGGGTTTTGCTGTGCCTCTGATAAATAAAGTATCAATGGGATTTCTGCACCGTAATCTTAAAGCCTAGAGGAGTACTCAGGATAAGAATCACAGAAAATGAAAAAGATCAGAGCTGTTTCATTTTCAGAGGGAGGAAGCTGTGCAGTCAGCGCAATATCTACAAGATTAAAGATAAAATCTTTTCGGTCTTGGAAAGGTTTTTTTTAGACTCATTCTTCCTGTTTTAAATGTGCTGACAGCTCGGATGCTCAGTCTCTCACAATGTCAAAACAAAGACTCAGACAGGCACTCACAGATTTGGCTTTCTCTTTCCTTCTATAGTTCATCTTTTAAAATTCTTGTCTGCGTGTGATTATCTCACCTCACATTTGGCAAGACGAGACAATCCTACTTTGTTTTGGGGTTTTAATGTTTTATAGCTGCCAAGTTTACTTTCATCCTAAATTTCAAGCCATCAGGAACCTGCTAAATAGCTGCTTATATTACAGACAGTCGGAGGAGTGAAGATGCATTACTTCCTGTGGTTGTCAGTGTTGTTTATTTAGAACCTTTTGCCCTGCTTCAAATGCTGTCAGTAAATTAAAAGAATTGATTTATTGAGGTCAAACATATTGAGAAAAGAAGTAAAAAGGAGAGACATTTATCATTTATTATATAAAAAAGCAATAAACTGTTCTGTGCTGGACATTTTCCACCACACTGACAGATTGACCACACTGTCGAGCGAGGATCTCTTGTGCCTTACTTGTTCTGCTGAGTTTTGAGATTTATTAAAAAATGCTGCTTGGCGTCAGAGGCGGGGAAAAATCAATAAAAGCACAGCTGTAAATCTGACCAGCAGGAACCATGACTAAAACTAGAGGTGTCACCACTTCTGTGCAGGAACAAGCCTCCTTAACACCTCTGGAAATCTCAGAAGATTTATGGCGGGACAAGGTCGATATGCTACACTATAGGGCACGGTACAGACTAAATCTGTTGTTTTCACTAAGTGGTTGCTATTCTATAGACAGAGTGGCTTTTCTTTTGTCTTCAGCAGCCGCTCCTTCATGGAAAAAATTATCTACAGTACAGTAAGTAAAACATCATAAACCAAAACAATAGAAGATCTAACAAAACACATGAGAATATAACACAATATCAACATACAGTGGCTATGCAAGGATTATGCATGCCGAAACGTAAGGGACTCAACAGTTGCGCCACATATTTTATCACTTCACTCAAGAACGTGAGCTCAGTTGTGTTTGTACCCAACATTGCTACAGCTGTTGCTGGGTGTTTTCGTGACCAGGAGACTGGAGCAAATCAAAAACGATAAAATCAAAACCAAGAGCATCATTTTTGCATTCAGGCTGTGTTTAAGTAAATGCTTTGTCACTATCATGATCCTCAGATGGGTGCAACTTAATGCGGACTGCAAGTTAACACTACGATCTAGTCCTGAAGGATATATGTAGTGAAAACGAATTTCATATGCCTTAGTAAATCTATGAATCTCAGAAATGTCGCGCCAGATCCAAGTAGAAACCAGTTTTTGATACCCATGTAAACAGATTAAAACCACACTCAATTGGACTCCCTTTGCACATCAGTTTCAACTGCATTGTGTTGCCCTAAGTAGCTGAGACCGCAAAGAACCCTGCAAGGGTAAATCTAGCTGTATGTGGCTTTCTGAAAAGGGAGCCCAATAACGTCTGTTTTTCTTCTGATTTTGGTGCACCATGACACCCACACTGTCTGCTTATGATACCACAATATGATGCACCCCGACATAAATCATTTAACACCACAGCCATTATTTATAATACACAAACTAGTTGAAGTCCAGTACTTTTGAATATTGTCATGAGGATGCATATTCTGCACAGAGCAATACTTTCAGACAAGCATCAACAATCCGAGTGTGGTGTGCATCCATTTTTCAAAACTGACTTATTTTCCAACTCACAAGTCCACTCATGAATTAAATATGGGGTATTTTGTTCAATGTTTCTCCTACAATATCACTGGGGTACCAAGGCACTTAGAATTTTATTTCTATGTTGTTATGCAGTTCGCTTTTTCAAACCAGTGCTTGTTTAATTAGAGACTTTTTAATGAATGAATAATGAATGGATGAGTCTTTTTAAAAAACAAAGGATTTATATATCACAGCAGGAACAGCACAGGCATGAATAGTTAGGATTGCAATAGCAGAGTTAGCTTCTCGGCGTTGTGTGTGCTGGCTATATTTACGCCATTCCTCCCATGATGAGTCAATGTGTCTGCTTAGAAACAGGCCTATAAATTTTTCAGCGTGTTGTGTGTAAGGAGATATTTTCACTGTTCCTAAGTGAATTCTTTGCCCTTAAATTCAGACCAGTATTTTTAGTGTGTTTTTCACTCAAACTGTTTTGTATTAAAATATCTCAGACTCTGTCGATGCGCCGTCGAAAATATTAAGAAGTAATAACCCAAGGAAAGATTTGCTGCAGCAGTGGACTCCACAGAGAGCACTTTTTTAAAGAGTTTCGCATTCAATATGCAGGCAAATCCATTTATGTACCGAACTAAAGTATTTTGAACATTTCAAATGATTTTAACACATTTTAAAAAATCATATCAGTCCATTAAGTGGAGGAACTCAAGGGTTATGGAGCTTCAAAGAACTTCAGTGGAGCTCAAAAATGTAGATCAGTTTGATAAAGCCATGGCTTATTTCCCAAAAGTCTCTGCTAGCTCTGTTTTCATTCGACAGGGGTGTGAATGAAGAAACAGATACAGCCAATCTTAAAGGCATTCATAATACTTTACAGTGATGTGAAAACTGTCTGACCTGGCCGAGAGCAACAGCTCATTTCTTATCCCCGTCAGTAATGCCTTTTAAAGTTTGTTTTCGTCCATTCATATATTTTTGCAGGGTGAGCTTCAGGCCTAAATATTCACATCTCCTCGGCTGCAGAGGTTGGACTTCTACACACTGACCATACCATTCAAAGCCTTTCACTCCAGAGCTTTCTTCACTTAAATTCCCTGCTCTGACAAGCTAAACCATGCCCCAAGATATTTGAAGTCACTGACCTCTTTCAGTACGGTACCCTCTGTTGTCCCTCGAGGTGGATGGTCCGGGTGGATGTTGTAGGTGATAACCTTGATTCAGTCTGTTACACAATAAAAAAGAAAAAAGGTGTTAATCCCTCGCTTTCAGCAGTGTCAGCTGGTTTGCAATTGCTGTTGTGATTTTGCTGTCTGCAGCAAAATGGGATATTCTTAACAAGCTACTTCATGTGGTATTTTAACTTGAGATATAACTCATTGTCGCATGATTTACACCATTAGTCATCTTCAGATTTGTAAATACAACCCTACATCATTTTAGCTTCCCACTGTGACATGCCAGAAAAATCTCCATTGTGTGACAGTGGGTGGTAAAGACAAGTGTAAAGCCTACATAAGTCTGACCAAGCAGTCCTGTGAAAAGGAGCAGAGATGGTTGTCAAATAGGGAAACGTCAACAGTGTTGTGTTTTTATTGATTGTTTGTGTGATGTCAAACACAAAGTCCAGTCTCTACCCATCAGGGGTCCGCCTCTGTGCTTGTTTTCTCCGATACAGTTAATTCAAGCAGGCCCTGAAGTTTTTTTTTTCCCCCACACGGACACTAGTATTGACTCAAGTTTGAGACTCGGCTCATTTTATCCCTAAGAGCAGAAAACCAACTTGTTCTCTCTGATTTCATCTCATCAGCTGGGTTGCTCTTGTGGTTAGGTTTATATTTGGTTCCCCCACCGTCCTAAGACATTGATTCGGATTTTGCTTGTTTGTTCCAAAGCCGTTTCACGAAGCACTTACTGGTGGAGACATCCCACAGGAGGCAATTACAGCCCATTCTATTTCACAATTACTGTGATCATCCGAGTAGATGGCACAGCTCTCCGAACAGCTGGGGCGAATAAATCAAAGCTGTGAGAGCAGAGCGAGTGGAATACGGTGAAAGGAACTTCACTGTATCGTCTGCTTTGGGTTAGAGTTTTACTGTGTGGAGCGCTGAACAGGTGTAGGCAGTACTCAAAGCCAAGAAAGTGTGTAATAAGGAAGTCTGGAGATTTATCTGGGGCTGGTTATTACTAAGCAATGAAAGAAACAGTTGTTCACCATTCAATCAGATTCAATTTAATCATCTTCTACGACAGATCATAGAGTACATTTCAAATAAAGCACCATATGTGGACTCCTGGACCATATTGATCAAAAATACCCCTGGTTATCGATTTGTTTTTAACGCCAAACAACCTCTAGGTTATTCCTAATCCATGTGGACCACAACATGACTTTTAGCGGCGAACTCTGCAGGTAGCAGCACAACAAAGTTGGGCATAATCTACCATGATAAAAACGTGCAGAAATCGAGACTGTAGGCTATAATCATGTTACTTATTCACCAATGGTAGAAGCAAATACTTTAGAAAGTTCACACTCAGTATCACCATATTGATCAGTCTAGTTCCAAGTCCTCTCATGTGGATGAGCTTGTTGAAGTGAGTGATCTGTTACCATGGTGTTAGGCTGAGGAGGTGAACTTGGTCTGTTGTTTAACTTGATAACTGACAAGCATGTGTTTACCATCAGTAATGCTTCGGGGATGACCTTTGCTACCCACATAAGTGCTCAGATGCACAGCATACTCCTTCTCCAGGTCCCCGTTTCCTCCCGTTCCATTAGTGCTTCACCACATGCTGCTCTTTCCCTGTGTCAGGAATACACATGGGAAATCTGAGCTAGAATAAATGGATACAGGACCGAGCCCCTCGAAAAATGTTGATGTACCCCTGACATGTAATTGTAACCCATACTGTATCCACATGTATTTACACAAACACACCCCCTAAGCCCGAAATAGTAAAGGAGCGCCATCAGATATTCAGACTCAGACCTGCCTCCTGAATATTTTTGTGCATATTCCCATAATTCACTCCGTTTTATCCGGTACACTTCCCAATTTATGCAAATAGCTCACTCTTGTGAACAATGAGCTTCTTATAAATAAACCATAAAAATAAAAAATGCAGACAGAGTTGAGAGCTTTGGTTATCTCTGAGCGTTAGATCAGCTGGCTGAGGCTTTGAATGCAAAACAGAGTTTTTAGTCTTGTAGTGTCTGGAGATCTAAATGTAATTTGGCTCCAAAGACTAAGAAATTAAATCTGGAGCATGTTGATGAGAGAGGTGAGCTGAGTTTCTTCAGTGCAACAGGTAGATCTAAAAATAACCTTCAGAGCAATACATTTTTAATTACAAAACATACAGTACAACAAAAAAAAGGGCCTGGTGAGGTCAACAAGGAGTTATAATGATAAATGTTATCTTTAAACAGGAAGTAACCTCTGAAATTGTGCCGACATTAAAACACAATAAAGATAACAGTCTGCCACATATCACCATAAAAGATAATGGACTTCCTGAATGAGTATTATTCGCGAGTTAACAGGTTCTCAAACAAAGACAGGTGTCAACAAAGTGTGGCACTTTGTTGAGTATGGATTTGCATCGCCACAAACCAGTCAGGGATCCCACATGCTGACCTCCGTCCACGTTAGAGAGTGCTGCAATGGGAACTTGAGCATCAGAACAAGGTGTTATCATAGACTGTATATAGAATGGCCAGCGTCTGTCTCCTCGCTGGGTGAAGCCACTCCGAGAACAGCACCCTCTGGTGACAGGCTGCAGTATAGGTCATAAATCCCACCTCCACCAGTAAAGCTTATGGGGCTGTGGACAAACTTAAGAAATTCATTACACAGAATATAAATTTACTTGTGATGTTGACATGTAGTTATTGTGAGACTGGTTTGTGCTCAAGTCCTTTTTTTCTGTGCAGCTCTGTTTTAAAAAGTTATTAGGGGGTTCATGTTTTCCATGATTGACAGTTGTTAAAGCCTATGGGCGTACGAAGATTGCGTAGCTCACCCGGGGATACGCTGTTTGAGCCGAGCATCATCACAACAACTCTCCGCTGAATGCTTACAACGCTACTGCGCAATGTTGGTTTCAGGAAATGGAGAAAAAAACGCGGAATTACAGAGAGATTTTTGGCTTCAAATCCATATACAGGACGAAGGTTGAACCAAGTTGGGCACAGTATATACAGTCTGTGGGTGACTAGACACCGAGACAAGATCTCAGCCAAATCTGCGATTGATATTTGTGCCCCTGATCCATTGAGACCCCACTTTCCAGTTCCAGTTTCCTTTCACCCTCATATGATGGTTGCATCACTTTTAGAAATGAAACTTGTCTCTGTAGGTGAAAAGGTTAAACTGTATGAAAGTGCATCAGGAGGAATCAGCAGATACGGGGTCTGAGTGGGAGGCAGGGCGGCCCAGGTTTCTGGACTTCATGAATGCCTGTCCACCTTTATCACGCTCAAGTGAGCAGCATGCGCTCCACAGGATGTGTCATGTCATTATTCACCACCAGGGGCCAATGAACAGAAAGCAGCAACATAGTGCTCTATAAACAGCATTATCATGGTGAGTGGGAAGATCTGAAGTATATGTGTCTGTGTGTGAGAGAGAGAGGGAGAGAGAGTGAAGGTGAGCAAATGAGCAAGAGACAATTTCATTGTATGCGAGCATATAACATCCCTTAAAGGTATTTTTAGCTTTGTTTTTCCACATCTCTACTCTTTTTTTCAGCTCGATTCACGCTGCACATGCATTTCCTTATCATGTACCCCATCACTGAGTCAGACACATGTTAAAATCTCACACACAAACACACATTTAAGAGCACTCATTCTTCTGCTCAAGTGGCAAACCTTCACAGGCCTCCGATTGTCCTGAGCAATGAGTCATATTCACTTGCCACATCTGAAATATTTATTCCATGTTAATCAAGCACTGCTTCCTAAATAGACACACATGCAAACACACACACACGCAGTGTTGTGTGAGACTGAGCGGGACTCAGCATGCGTTTGTTAGAAACCTTGTATGTGCTTACCAGTGATGCTGTGATCTTGTTTATTATCATCTCAAACACTCAGACTTGCCAGTGCATGACAGGTAGAAACAAACACAGCACGCTATGATCATCAGGAAAGGCTAAATTTTTACACCAGAACATTAATATAATGGGTTTGTTTATATCAAGCTGATATGGTCATTTCTCTAGGAGTAAACAAACACCTTTTTAAAAATGCAAAGTCAGTGAAGGCATCACCACTATGCCGGCAGCCCTGTGAGGCTGTACTTCCACTCAGCAGTGTGGGTTGTTTATTTTTATAATGACGGACATTAACTCTCAGGCTCTTCCATTGTGCAATTGTATTTCAGACAGGAGTAGGAAACACAGAACTTTTGGTAACACTTTACAATAACCATGATTTATAAATAGTAGAAAGATTATTTATGTTAAACCATCATTAAAAAACAGCATATAGGCCAATTATAAATGGTAAATAGTTCATTAATGCACGTTAATAGTTACTTTACCATTAACAAGCAATGACATTATGATTAATAACTTTCATTAATTATTAATGGACTATTAAAGGTTTATAAAAGGTTTAAATATTGGTTGTAAAGCATCTAGATTAAAATGTGTCAGTGGAATTTTGTAAAGGATCAATAAGTGGTTTATAAACCACCTATAAACATTACTTAGATGGTTATTGTAAAGTTTACAGTTTATTAATGTCTGTATGCTATTGATAAATGATGATTAAACATTAATAAACTATCTGCTTACCATTTATAAATGGTCTATTTACCATTTATAAGTTGTGGTTATTTTAAAGTGTTACCGAACTTTCATTCCCTGTCAATATTTGCAACCCCCAGAAAATGCAAAAGTCATGTTTTCAACATAAAAATCAGCCTGCTTTCATTTTAGAGTCAAAAATATTGCTCATTAAAGCTCATGTGAGAAGTTTTTTTTTTATATATATATATATACAATTATGGGACAGGCTGAATTCATGCTGATGCCTTTTTATGGTGTACAAAAGCAAAGAAGAGCATCAGTGACATGATGGACCATTCACATATTTATATACTTTCATTTATACTGTCTTTTTTTAATGTCTGGAACTGCTGTTTGGGAGTAGGAGGGGATTAGTCAGAGGCCGCATAAGATAAAGAAGATCTTATGTCCAAGGTTTTGTTTGCTTTGTCACAAAAATGGCGCCTGTACAAATTTGATTCTGTTTTATAACCGGTCAAAAACACCTTACTGGAGCATTGGAGAGCTGACTCTAAAGGAATGTCTCTTCAGTCATAGGAAATGGATGAAATTTACACCACAGGTCAGATTTCAGCATATAGCCCATGTACTACAGTCCCTATTACAGTGGTTGCTGGTCCAGGGTCCCAGCCTCAACCCCTATGTAGCATGTTATCCCTCACTGAACCCCCACATTTCTTGTCTCTCTTAGATTGTCCTATCTGAAAGAGGGGGAAAAAAAACTATATTTAATACGGCCAATTTCAGGGGACATTACCTCACAGCTCCTATCAGCAGATCTAGTCTTCACTGTTGATTTAAACAGAAAAGCCAAAATAAAATGTGATTTAAAAAAATACTTCTGTTCTCTCTTTGTCTTAAGTTAAATCCAAAGGGCAAGTGAACTTGTTTAAAGCTCTTGGAAACTTTTTGCCTCTTGCCTGACAAGTGTCTTTAGCTCTAAACTAATTGGTGGAGGGTGATGGAAATTTAAGCCTCTGTGGGTCATCAGTATGCCGCTGTGTGTTACGGTTAAATGAAAGGTGGTGAATCAGTATCACAGAGAGAAGTTAACATCCTCTCACTCTTTCCAAAAGCATCATGAATACTGAATAAATCAAAAGTGCCCAATTTGAAATTAACTATAACCTTTCCTTCTTTCAGATCCCTGTCATGACAGGAGCTTTCATGGACTCATCACCCAATGACGACTACAGCGGCGAACACTCGCTCTTTAACTCCTCAGCTAGTGTCCACGCTGCCGCCTCGGCTGCATCGGTACACGGACAGCCAGACGAGTCGCAGTCCATGTCCAGCGATGCCATCTGGCTCTGGATTGCCATAATTGCCACCATTGGAAACATTGTTGTTGTTGGCGTTGTCTACGCCTGCACTTTCTGATGAACATATGTTAACAAAGGGAAATGCACACTTTCACACTGTGCTCCTTTCAGATGTGTGGACCTAGGATTGAAGCCGGGCTTTGTACACAAACACGCAAACTCCCCCTCCATGTTTCTCTCTTTTTCTCTCTCCTCCCTGCACCTTGCTTTGAGATCAGTTTTGGCCCTTGTGGGTGTGGGAGCTGTGGAACTAGACAATGACATATGGACTCCTATACTTCTTCATCACCCCGACTTGGCTTCATTTGTTGGCACCAAAATTTTTTGGCTTCTACGAATTGAAGTTCAAGAAGAGGCTCTAGTGTACAACAGCTCTTTAGTTAAAAACAGAAACATTAAAACTGTGCCCTCAAGCAAGAATCAAAGGAACTTTGTGGAGGTTTTCCAGCTTAAGTTTGTTTCCATGTTTCTCTTCAGAAAACGCCCTCACTTGTAATGCAGAGATGGACAGGGAGATTAAATGGGGCTTAAGATTCGGGTTGATCTAGGCCATCTTAAACCTCTATCAGACAGTTTCAAAGCAATTTAGGGCAGAGCTGTTTAATTATGTGGCTGAACAGAGATGGTGAATGTTAAAACATTTACAAAGTACTGGGATTATTTTTCATGCAAGACAGCACTGAGCTCCACAAAGTCAGGGCTCATTTAAGGACTAGTTTGTGAATGAAATACGGTACGAACACTGACCTTTGAGGTACAGCTTGTGTTTCTAAACAGTTTTACCGCAAGGAAAGCACTAGCTAGCATCGAATTAGTCCATTTCTGGTTTTACAGAGAACCATCTAACACAAACCAAATCAACCAATTGAAATTGATGATTTTGTTGTCCCTTGAGATTACTGGAAAATCTAATTGTATTGTCATAGTCTGTGTAGTTATGTTTAGATATTATCTACACATGCTAACTTTATACAATTAAAGCACAAATTGACCCTCAGTCTATTTTACTCACTGAACCTGATTATTGTTTCTATTTCATTTTAAAAAGGTACAGCTTGTAAAAGTATTCATCACTCTGATTTAGTACTGTCAGCATCAGAGGGTGTAAGATTCAGCTCTCACAGATATGGCAATTTTTTGCACGCAGTATTGTGTGTACTACTGCCAGTGTGGAAAGGATGCCTTACTTTTAAATGAGATTTTGTTTGAAGCTGCCCCACTAAATTTGTCTCTGTTCAGCAAATTAGTTCTCTGTTTTAGTGGAATCTGGAGGCAGCTGTCTCCATGGCAACTAATCCTCCCCCTAATTGGGAGCAACGACTTTTACTCTGAGACTCAGGCATTAACCTGCAGCCACAGATGCGTTTTATACCCTTTATTCTGAGCATTATAAAAAATATCACAGAAAACACTACACTGCTTCGACACAAATGTTGCATCTGGTAACCTCTGAATGTGATTTGTGCTTTGCTTACACTACTTTAAGCAATCATAGAAGAAGTAATAAAATGTTAATAATTATGCCTTTTAAAATATTAATTCAAAGACAGCAACTTTCTTTTATTTGACCTGCTAACTAGCTCTTCTCTGTACATGAAGAGAGGATATGTTATAAATAGAGGCAGCTTTCTTTACAGTCATTTTTCTTCTGTTCTCCTGTAATTTCAAAGGCAACATAAGTGTGCTTCAGGTTGATCTAAACAGAGCTGTCCTGTAAATACGACATACTCGACATTTATAAGTGAGCGACAAGTAAAGCTCACTGTATCCATGTAAAGAGAAGTTGTGAAACACTCATCTCTGTTGAGAAGGACTTTACCAGCCTTGTATTTTTATTAACTTGTGGGTGTAGAAATGCTGTATGTAGACATGTTGTAAACCACATACACAATGCTCCTTTTGTAAAGACCTATCCTATTAAAGTTTCTGTATGGCTGCATATTGTTTTTCTCTGTCGCCAAAAGATGCAAACTTGTCCCCTAGACCCGAGTGTCAAGTGAAAAATGATTCACTAGACACATTCCTGGCTAACACAAACTTTTTGGCTTTTGTACACGGTGTTTGATCATGCGAGAAGGTGTTTTAGCTCCATCTTTTCTCTCCGCCTGAATCACCTGGCGTCGCTCCTGGTGAAGCCGATGCACTGACAGTCAACAACAGTCGCTGCTGAGCGTTCAGGTGAGATTGATGCTACGCTGAAATTGTGCCATCTGTCATTTTGACACAGGCACAAGTTGTTCTAAAACCATCTGGATTCACTGCTCTGTGGGCCCCTGAAACCCTCCTTCTCTATCTGTCCGCAACCTTGTTTTTTCTGAACAGAGACTGTGACAGAAGTTTACGAAACTAAAAATCTTTATATAAAGATACAAGGAATTGTGAAAAATTTATTGTAAAAAAAAAAAGAAGATAGTGCTTTCTATGTCAAATGAGTGATTTATGTCTCATTTTGAAGCCTTAATTGTACAGATAAGTCTTCAATGGTGATAAAAGCTTATCTTTTTCACCATTCGATTAAACTGTGAGGCTGCACTTAGGCCCATCAATGCTTTAGATTTAGTGAACAACATGATAACAGCCTTGCAATTACAAAGCTAAAAAGCTCGTCGATCATCATCCTAGTTCAGCATGTGAACATAGTAACTTTTAAAAAGTAGCACCATGCACAAAGGATTAAAGAAGCAGATAGAAACTGCATTAACTGAATGAAATGGTGGGCTAAACTAGAAGTTAAAGGATTCCCAATCACATCCTGAGGAGGACATGAATTCCCTGAGGATCTTATTTATAGAAACACCATGCCTCATTTTTATCAATGCTTAATGATACTAATATCCACTGAATGACTGTTGACACATTACAATAATGAATTATTAATTCCACTGAAAATTCACTGACACTCCAACGTGAGTGAGTACATTAGCTTTTTCCCAACAGTTATCCCTTAAGCTGCTGGCCACTCTGGTTCAGACGAAGCAGCTCACAGCATGTTCAGTAGAGCAAGACATCACCTTTCACTTAGGCTGTTAAAAGAGAGCAGCAGGCCAGTTTTTCTGCACACACAGAGTACGTGAAGTTGGGGATTCGATGGATGGAATTTGACAGAACGGCTGGATTTGGATTCAAAGCTGATCCTGATTATGCACCTTTCACTCAGACAGGCATGTTATATGACTACCTTGCAAATTGGATATGTAGTTTGATGAGGCTTGTCATGTAGAAATTGGAGGACATGACAGTGAAAGAGAATGTTTCCCTGGTTACCAAACTGCCGTTTGAGTTTTATGGCTACATAAAAGAGAGTTAAAAATAATTTAATATATTTAAAAGTAATAATATTTTTATGTTATGAGTGTTTATAATGTTTTTTTAATTTTGCATAAGATTCATGCAGACAAAATGGAAGCAAATCTGCGGTCGGACCCTCATATTTTTGTTATTCTAATTTTAAAGCTACTATGGGTAATTTTAAACAGGTCTGAAATTTACAGAGAAGCCTTTTTACAGCATAGTAGAATATCAACAACAACACTGACACTTTCTGTAATGAAGAAGGTAATAGGTTTGATTATTACAGGGCAGAGGGAGGAGATTTTTTTTTTTTCATTAAAAAGGTACAAGAGGTATGATGTGACCACAGGGGGTGCCAAAAATGGCACAAACTGAAAGTTCCCCACAGGAGCTTTAAATAACCAAATAAAACTTCCAAAATCACTGCTTTTTTAAAGATGAAATGTATTGGTAAATAAGGTTGAATGAGTCATAAGATTGGTTTGAAACAACCCTAATTAAAGTTCTTAAAAGCTACTTTAAAATGAGAAAAAACAGTGTAAAAACAGTTTATTCTTAATCTTGTATTTGACCATAATAGAAAATATGTGCTTTCACATGAACTTTCAGGACTGCCGTACAGAAATTTCCCATGTAACCCATAAGACTTCATTATTCAACCTTTAAACTGTTTAACAGACTGAATCATTTTTATCAGGAGCTTACAAAGCAGCTTGGTTTGTTATTGCCGGTATCTTGTTGCATAAAGAGAGTTTTTAGTGAAGCTGTGATGATCACAAGACAACCTTCACATTATTCTGCTGCATGTTCTGGCTTCCCTTTTCTGACTCAATAGCGGGAAACAGCAGCTGAATCCAAGAGACTCCCTCAATCAGCATGATGAAATGGATAACCATTGACCTTGCTTATGCTAATCTATGCTAACAAATGCTAATTATGAGATTTCCAGGTGATGCTTTAAGAGAAATCTAGCGTGAGTGAGACTTCATTTATATGTTCTGTGCATGGTAAGGCTGACACTGTCGTTAATTTAAAAGCAGGCTGAGATAAATTAGTGTAAAAGTACAAAGACAGGAGAAAAGGAATAAGGTCATTAAGAGAGCATGGCTGGCTCCTCCTTTGCTACCCCCAGGGTCTGCAAGATGCAACACTTAAGCCAAATCCCTGTCCAGTCCAGACTGACAGCTGGGTGATGAGGTGCTGGGTGTGCTTATACATGTCAAACTGCTCTGACACATCCTGTCAAACTGTCTCTTCAGAGCACAGAGCTGGTCTGTATTTATCCTGAGCTTTATGATAGGTCGCAGAAGTGTGTTTGGTATTTATGAAAAATCATGGCAACCGCAGCAGGGGGATATACTTTACAATAACCGTGTTAACGTGAAAGTTAAAACCCGAAATACTCAATAAAAATGCAGCAAAAATCATCAATTACAGATTTTGACTTCACTTTTTTAACTAAATTAAGAGATCTCAGAGAACATTTCATCTTAATAAAACTCTGTTGACATGCAAAGAGATGTCATTCTGGTCCAACGTGCTGGAAATAGCAAAAAATAAGTGTCCTATTCAATAGTGATACTCAGTGGCTCCTTGCAAGCTAAGCATTATTCAACAAGAGATATTAGTCTTTAATGCTAAGTAGAGGGTATGAATGACAGCGTCAAAACACACTCTCCACATTTTGGTTTTGCAACTTAAGTGAGTAGTAATAGAAAGTGGTTAATAATTAACTTGGACTTGGGAGCACAAGCAGCAAACCTCATCAGAATACCAGATTTTTCCAGCTGTTCATATTCAACTTAGAGTTTCCAGCTTTTTGAACATCAAGTACATTTTTCCATCTCCATCACAAAAAAAAAAGTTTGTTCAGCTCCCACCATGTTTCTTCCAGTATGAACAAAAGGAGAACTCATCAAGTCACATGGGGTAGTTCATGTGTTGGTGTATCCAGTATTTTTGTAGCTGTACTAGTTTATAGATTGATTGAAATTCCCTCTGATGAGTATGTGGTGACCTGATTACAACTTTTAGGAAATCTGCCTCAGTGTTCTTCTAAAAACCTTCAATGTCTCGGCAACCTTGCACTGCACAGATAGAAGACGTAGCAACAGATGAGCTAGAACCAGAATGAGATCCTTGACGTAGTGAAAGCTGATGGGAATACTTTATCTATTAGATAAAAAGCCAAGGAAGAAGCGGGCTCATTGCTATCTCACCTGTAGAAGGGCGAATACTTCCCGAAGGTACAATAAATCACACATAAATCCATAATATTAAAAAGAAAAAATTGCCATAAGGCACCATTCACACATATAACACAAGGAGGTTGAGTTCAACATCTAAAATAGCTGAGGTGACGTTGGTTAGACAGCCAGCAGCACACACCTGTCACTCAAACCAATCATGGCTCTGAATCATGACTGCGAGACCTCCTATTATAATATTAATAATAATAGTAATAGAGTGTAAAGGCGTAGAAAGTGGCAGCTGTCATAGGCGGTCAAACCTAAACTTCTCTGATGGCTTTGCCAGCAGTCTGTGAATGGGATTAGTTAATACTGATGGGCATTTTACACAGCAGCCTCTGCAGTCATTGTATGAATGTGGTGTGACTGGATGAATGTGTACACGATGTAAAAGCACTTGCGCTGGAGAAAGTGCTATAAACACACAGTCCATTTATAGTCGACATGAGTAAAAGATCTGCCATAGATTAAACTGTGTATTTCACCATGTGAGTGAACAACAATACTAGCTGCGTTTACTTGGCACAAATAATCAGAATAAATGCCTGATTGAAATAAAAATGCGTCATGTAAACATGTCGATCGGAGATTCTGATCCAATTCGGCTCAATCGGAAAGAACTTGTATTCCGATCCAGAGAGGTGGTTTATACCGATCGTTATTCTGAAATGCATCCATGTAAACACTTATTCCGATTGTGACTCTCTTACAGGACTCGATCTTCACTCTTTAGCCTTTGGCTTATTTATTACGGCCAGTAGAGGAGGTTTCATTATTAACACTCTGGCATAAAACACAACCGCAGGTGCCGTGCCTTCTCCTCTGATAACATAACAAGGCATACATACAGCGTAATGATGTCACATCTACACGCACAATGCAACCTTTGACAGAACAGTAAGATAAGTAGGCAAGGGCGCCATCTAGTGACAAAATTTAACAGGGGGAAAACTCCTAAATTGGATAAAGTGAGCCACTACTGCCTTGGTTGGTTGGTTGGCAGTTGGTTTGTTAACTCTGCGCATGTCCGAATGCTTCTAATCTGAGTAAAACTTGGTGCATGCACACACGTCATGATTGGATTATTTGATTTGCATCCATATAAACAGTGGATTCAGATTATCCAATCCCTCAAATTTTTAATCGGATCACGAAATTTTGCACATGTAAACATGGCTGCTGATTCAAGGGCTAAAGTGAATGCAAGCACTTTTTTTGACCATTCACTGTAGAAATAAGTGAAATAATGTAAATCATCCTTATTTATCTTATACCACTATAAACTATATTTGGTTCTCTGCCAGGCTCTGATAATTATCTAATAATCTCAGAGTCATTAAAGTGGTGTTGATAGACACAAAGGTTCGTGTTGCACGGAGCTTAAGTAAAAACTGTGATTGTTATAGCAGCACAATCGAAAAGATGATAATTAAAAAACACAAGTTTCCTGCAGGTTGATGTTAATTAGGTTGTTTTCTAGGTCAATAATGAGCTTTTGATCACAATGCTTCCTGCCTAAGGTCACTTTCCCAGAAGAAGACAGAAAGATAGCATGTTCTCAACAGATCAACAACCTGCCTCCGCTCAATAACATTTGTTTAACCCTGCTTCAAAAAGGCGTTGATACGGCACAAAGTCTCAGAGCATGGCGTAAATGATGCTGTCTCTGCATCATCTGTGACTGACTTTGACGTTACGGTGATGAATGTTTCTGATAGATTCTGCTTCAGCGCGCACACAGGATAGACTTTCTCCTCTGGTCCAATGACTGCATGAGAAACTGTTAGTGTGTTGACAGCTGTCAGAGCTGCCTTTGTGTGATTGCCTCTTAATAACACATAAAAGGGCTAAAAAGTGGTCGCGGGAAGGAAAGAAAGGGGATTCAAGATGGGCTGCTGCCATGGCAACAGCCAGCCGTAATAGATTTAGAACCCCCTTTTGCTTCTGGCAGCCATTTCTGGGGCTTAATTTTGCTTGTTTCTTTCTTTTATTTCTTTCCTACCACCTGTTTTTCTCACCCACATGTACACCCACAAGTTCAAGCTTCTAATAATGCTGCTCATTACAGATAGGTGTCAAAATTATCCTCAGAGTATCTTCTTATCAACATCTAATATACCGTTATGAGAAGCTCAGAGTGCCTCCTACAAGACTGACTAATCAGAAAGTCATTTGTGATTTGATAGCACAAACAATCCTGCAAAAGTTGGCAGAGTAATAAAACAAATATCCTTCTTAGGATTATTTTTTTCTACAAATCAGATCTTTAAGAATTTGAGATGCAGGCAAAATGTTTTTTAAAAAGTAGCCACATGCTGTCCATTTCTGCATTAAGCGTTTGCTTCTACCACCAGTCAGGACGGATGGTAAACAGGGTGCCAAATGTGACAGGGAACAGAGAGTTTTAATGCGATCCCCGGAGCTCCGCCACCCCCTGATGCTGCCGCAGCCTCGCTGAAGATGCTTCATTACTGTAACTTCATGATGGGAGCTCAGCATCACCCGTCATCCACAAGGCAGGAGACCTATTCTTTTGATTTAGTAATGCTGTTGAGTGGATGACTAGTCTCTCTCTCTCTCCCTCTCTCTCTCTCACACACACACACACTTACAAATAGATGCTTTTCTATGAGGCAGGAAAACCCATAAACATCCGTCTTTGACTGTCACCTCATACAAAAAACATCCTTTGAAACAGGGGAGAATTTATGAGAAAGATGACCTTTGAATAAGATGGATTCAGTCCTTTTTTATTTGTTTGTTGGATCAGATATCTGAGCTTATTGTTTTTAGTAATTATTAAATATTGACTTGATTTTGTTTCAGTTAAGTTGACATATTCATGGGCATAATAAATGTCACGGTTGACCCAGGTTTTGTCATGTGCTCTTGTTTTTTCTCCTCCTGTTTCCAGTCGTGTGCGTGTTAATGTTCAGGTGTAGCTATCAGGTTCCTGCTGCTGCTAATCTTCCCTCACACCTGAGCCTCAGCTCATCTGTCAAGACTCGACAGCTTTTAGCCACGGTTCATCCGTTTACTGTCCACCAGATTGGTCTGTTCTCATTGTGGCAAAGTTTTACAGGTTGTACACTTGCTGATGTTTTGCTGAAACTTCTATCCTTTAACGCTTCCTTACGAATCGCTCCTGTCACTAAGGTAACGGTGGCCAACGAGGACCAAAAGCAAATGTATCATCCACAACAGACACAAGAAATTAGCTATTTCAAATGATGTGGTGGTGAATTTTGTTTTTACTTCATTTATCACTCAGTTCTGAGGCATCGATTATGTGTTTTTAACTGTTTTCAAGAAGTCTGAAGACATCCCATTTCTTTGGAAAAATTCTGCTAAATTCTTGGATTCGTCGAGGTTCCCATCCCTCAGCAGATCACAACCACAGCTCTGTTACTACGCTGCAAACAACTGGACATCAGCATGCAGAACATGCTGCCTGTCACCATGGAGACTGACATGCATCACTCCAGAAGCACCCATTGGCCGTGTCAGCTCCCTGGTCGCAAGCCAAGTTCAAAGCCGAAACCACTCCGGGAGGCTAATAGAGAAGCCATTGAACAAGGAGCTGGATGAGTGAGGAGACAGATGCTCAGAGTGACAGAAAATGACAGGATGACTGAGAGGAGGAAAAATACAAGGGAATGACGAGGAAGAGAACCAGGATTAACAGAGGAAGCCTATGTCCATTTCTCTGTGAAGTGATGGATGAGTGACAGGTGTTCTCTAAGAGCGAGGAAGAGATTGATCAATACTGATCTTCGTCACTTCAGCAGCACACAGGAACATTGGTCGGGGAGGCTATGTTCTGTTTCAGGCGACAGTATCAACCTGACTATTTGTGGTTCTTGAAATCTGACGGGACGTTTCTATGTGACTTTAAGGGGATGGTGTGTTTGGTGCTAATAACAAGACTTAAAAATACATATGTAAGAATCCTGCATCCGAAAACATGCAAAAGGGCGATACTAAACTCAGTCCTCACTTCCTTCTGTGCCAGTTTGTTTTGTACCTTCATGTCAACGGTCCAGTCTCAGTCTCGCTGTGTTTTCAGAGATTTTTCACCAGCTGGTGTCAGTTGATTCAGTCTTCTGCTGAGCTTTTTGGAAACAAACCCCTCTCTCCCCCTGTGCCTTTTTTGACCTCCTGCTTTGATTAAACAGACTTTGAACCTTGGAGCCGTCTCTGGAGCTTTGCGTTAGAGTCCAATTTCTCGGTTCAGTGTCACAGATACAGCTAAATTTATTAGTCTCCTTTAAATTAAAACAGGCCAGACCCTTAATTTTTATTTCCACACCAACTAAAAAAAATCCTCTACATTAGCACATGTAAGAATGGCTTGTTACTGGGGTTCAGTTTTACTTAATCACAATGTCTTCCTTCAGTTTGTTAATGTGACCGTCTTAGCCATTACTTCAAGTACAAACTCTTTACTTATACTCAAATAAAATTTAAAAAAAGAACATTTTACTTCAAGGTGGAAGCAGAAAATAATGGGATACTCCTCAAGTCTGTTCTCCTGCCCTGAGAAGTCATCCAATTTAGAGCCAGAGAGATCAATCTTTGGTTCTATCACAAAATTCAGTGCTTGTCCGTTTGGGTATTTTAGTCCTCTTAGAATAAGGGTCATGACAAATACAAGGACTGTATTTTTTATGCTATAATATGAATGAGTGATTTCAAAGAGGGAGGCAGACTATCCTCTCATTTCTAATATTTTGTAGTCTGTTCTCAAGGCTCAGAACACTTCATATTTTCTCCAGCAGAGGGCTCCAGATTAAACATTTTCAAATGATGTTAAAGGATGAACAATTGCACAGTTCATACATGACAGGAGGTATGCATGATGTACAACCAGAATTAATCTTATTGGCAGAGTGCAAACCTGGAGAACCAAGCTTTTTTTTTTTTTGACTGTTTTTATAGTTTTTAAGTAAATCACAACCTTATGCCAAGTTCACATAAAGAAAATGTACACGCTGGAACTTAAAATAGTTCAAATGTAAGTTATATAATCCTTCTGAACTTTGTGTGCAACAAATCTGCTGTTTATACATATTTGTATGAAGGCACTGGAGGACTTCTCTCCATTGCAGGTTTACATACTCTTGCTCTGTAAACATAATATGCCTACAGCTCAAGCATTTATTGGTGTGTGTCTGTTTAGACATGCAGTAAAGTGTGGGAAAGAAGTCATAAGAACTACTGTAATTACGGTGTTTGATTTATATAATGCTTCTTCAGTATGTCTCATTGTTTAAATGACTAGGAAGCATCCTAACTGCACACATGAAGACTGAAGGAGTGAAATTCAAAACATATTATGCCTCAGGTTTACGGTTTCATTCTCTAAGGCTGCTGAAATATCACATTTTTAGATGGAGGGGAAGTTTTGGGGATGCGAAAGAGACAAGTTAGTGACACACAGTCACTCTCCTCTCTCTCCAAGTATCACTGAACCGTCACAAGACATTTTGTTATACAAGCAGTCGTCTCTTTTTGCCCCTCCAAGGCTTCTGTGGCAATGTACTCTGCCAGTCTGCATCAGAGGAAAGAGACACAATCTGACACTGACTAGGACAAAACATGGCTGTCATCCGTTCGCTCCACTTTTCATCTGCCATCACTAAAATGTTAGAAAGTACTTCAAAAAGAGGTTTTATTTTACAGGAGAAGATGACTTCTAGATGCTCCTTAAGTGTCATACCCCACAAACACTTTGAAGTAGAAACTGATCTGATTCACAGCACTGAGGGGAAACTCGCCTGTTTCACAATAGCATTTTGTAGATGTTGGCAGGGTTGGTGTTCATTATGCAGTTGCGTAAAATTACTTTGAGTCACAGTTTCCCCGTTTTTACCCTTATGAGAGGCTGAATAATCGATTATTCTTTCCTTCCACATATTTGACCTCTTATTCAATTCTCTGAGCTACCTACACCCTTGGCCTGAAACTTGAGATGTCTGGTTTGGTCATTTCGCATCAACATGTTTACTCCAACAGAAACGGCAGAGGTCGAGTTGTTTTGACAGTGCTGTTTGAGTTACACCACACTTGTTTTTAGCGTATAGTTTCCTTTGGATTGTGGTCTTTTCCTCATATGTTGCATAATATCTTGTGATGGCTTGTATATAAATAAAATAAAAGGATGTGAAAATGAATCCTATGTTTATTCTCTATTTTGGTTGCTCGAGTTAGATAATAATGACACGTCAGGCGTTTCAAACCAGAGAGCTGAACCGGCTCCAAAATAAGTCTCACCCACTCTGTCGTACTAAACAAATTATTCGACAGTCTGTCTCTATGACAGTAAATAAAGTAATATCCAGCACTCAGAACACTTTCTGCCAGGAATGTCTGGGCAGTCAAATTGGGTTTTATTTTATTTTTCTGTGATTTCTGTGGAAATTGTTTTGTGTTCCACTGCTGCAGGCATTAGTGTTACCACACAGTGCCCCGTCAAAGTTGAATTAGTGGTTTCAGAGCAGACGCCTGGGGCCACTACCAGCGTCAGACCCTGATGCCGGTTTGACACCATCCCTCACGAGCTTTGGCCCTGTTCTTATTTCATATGATTGTACAGTACAGCTGTGAAAACAAATGTAAACTTTACCAGAGGAGCTGTGCCCGGTCCTGTTCAGCCTGGGAGACGTTATGAAACAGGGAACGTGGGTGGGACCAGCGCAGAGAAATGGAGCTCACAGCCTGGAAAAAACCTAAAGAGACAGGCAGAAGGAGACGGGAAGTGAGCAGAGTATTTTCAAAGAGGAGCGTGAGCTACACCGCCCCCTCATCCAGACATTATTTTACATAGCTCATTACACACTGCTGAGACATAACTAATGGGACCAGACAGAGTTGTAGTCTGGTTTCATGATTACTCAGGACCGTTCTGATTGAGACGATTTGACGCAGGATTCACAGAGTGAGTCTCAAAAACTTAAGTATTCACATGGGCCCTAAGGTCGAGGCTGCTGAGTATCATAAAATGTATAATGTGGTTTTGTTTTCTGAAGTTTTGGTCTGTTTTAGTCTGCCATCTGGCATGTAGGCAAAAATGAAATATGTCTTCATATTGTTGGAAATTTTGGAAAATCCCAACCACAGCTTTTCTTTCCAAAAACTACATCCAAAGACCCAATTGTCAACACTTTACAGTCCTATTTATGAGATCTGAATAAAAGTCTTAACAGTGCAGTGGAAACATGATACACTATTCAACATCAGATTTAGTTCATCTGGAGTCAAAACTCTATTGTAACACACATAATACCAGCATTCAAAGGAAAAACCACTGCAAAGTATGTACGGTTTCTGTATTCATTTACCAAAACAGTTAACATGAGCCAAAAGTTGATTCTTGGCAGCAACTGTGCAAAACATTTGGACAAAACACCGCTCACAGAAAACTGTCATGTCATGTGTTAAAATAGTTCAGTCGAAGAAAAATCAACGCAAACTTTGAGGTGTGAAAATCTGATTTTAGGAGGGTAACAACCAAAGATTTTGGGAGATATTTAAAAAATGTCTCTATGTCTTTTTTCCCTTTTTTATTCAGCCTTTTGAACACATCACAAAGTCAAATATTGACTTTATAGCCCTAATTCCAGCTCATATTTTCATATGACTTTTATATGAGTGGAATAAATGAGGCTTGTTGGCATGAAGATATTATTTGGATCTTGGAAGATGATCAAATTTTATTTAAAGGAGCCAGGAAGAGCAAGTTAATGATAGGAATTGAATTTGTCAGAGCTTCAAGGGGTAATTTCCTCAAATCACAATTGATAGTTAAGTATGATCCCCAGTAATAGACTGTGTGTTGCATAAGTCCTGTTGTTCTTTTGTTTTTATATCCAGTTTGCTTAATTACACAATTGTCCCTGGGGAAACGTCTTTGAAAGGAAAAGTGTTGGTAGCGGGAAGTACCACACAATATACTCATTCACAACCCACTCAATCAATTGAATAAGAGAATACAATAATCGATCACAGAGAAAGCTACTTTTGATTCTTATCATTTGAGGAAACAAAGAAACAATCATAAGGCTGCAGCAACAGGAAGTCCCACTGCTTTCCTGCTCTAAACTGGAAATAAAGACTGCCTACTGCTTTGTGTTGAACAAATACAACCAAATACCAACAGGCAACAGGAATCCCACCAATTAAAGTCATTAGCACAAATACAAAACTGTGAATGTAGTGTACCATGCTGCATGTGAAACTACATTAAAATATTCCTTCTAGGCCAAACAGTGTGAGTTTGACTTAGGTTATCGCTCTTGTGAGTTAGCTTAACATGCTAACCTGATCACACAACTAACCTCAGGTTTTTTGAATTGATAAAGTAATGGTTTACATAGTTAATAGATAGTCAAATAAGAAGTTTATTTGTGTGAATTTCATAAAAGTATTGGCTCAGGTTTTAAGTGACAAAGCTGTTTCATGTTACCTGCTGATCATGAGTCCATTAGGCCAAACAGGAAGAGGGGGAACCCATTGGTCTTAATTCTGGAGGGAACTCAGCATGTACCATGTTGGGTACAAAGGAGGGGGTTTAATATTTTGAGAAGAGTTTTTTCAGACCAATTTACCAAAAACAGACTGGATGTTTATGCAAATAAATAGAAAACACATGCAGAGAAACATATTATCCAGGGCAACAAGTGAATGATGATAAAATGAAGCTGTTCATTAATCATAAAACCTCTTTGCCTTCATCGCAGCCAGCAATTTTTCTAAATTAAGTTGAAATTCTGAAGTCATGTGAGGATATGAATGAAGTTATATAAATAATAAAAAGCAACAAGTGGCATGAGAAACAGAGAATCAGAACAACAGGAAGTAATGAGGCATCATTTCAACACTCTGATATTATTTCAAGCACGGTCAAAATCATGAGTGTGATCATGTGAATATGACAAAGCAGATCAGTTTCCATGAAATGACTGCTTTTAGGCCTCAAGTCTATTTAAATCAATACTAACTTGACAATGGCTTTTGGTTTTAGCAACATTTCCCCATTTAGCTGCCCTGTGAGAACTTAATGTCTTCCAAATTGCCTTGTTATTCATACGGTTGCTGTCTTTGAGACGAATGGACAGCTCAGTCCCCACATAAGAACCGGTAACTGGTTTGATGATTGGGCCACCAGACCCCTCACTCAGATGTCATTTGTGCTCGAAAATCTGATTGTGTAATTTGTAACATGCATCATAAATCTTAGTTTGTTTCAACAGGAAGGGATTAGAGGGTCTGTGCTGGAAACAGCTAGAACACAATGGAGTGAAAGTGAATTGTGAATTTTTTTATTAAAACTCATACAGACTATAATCCAAGAAGATCCTGTTGTGCATGCATGCTTACATTTTTAAAGGGGATAAATTGTCTTAATCTAAAATAAAAAGTGAACTAGTTGCAATGACTATTTTGAGTTTAGCAGTGCCAACATAAAGATACTAGTTTGGGGTACAAAGCTTATGGAACCCAAGATTTTCACAGTAATATAATTTACCAACTAAACAAATACATCAACATTAAACTATTTATCTGTTCAGATTAATCAGCTTTGTAAAATTATTGTATTAGCCACTTACTCCGTGTGTGTGCTGCTGTTGTATCTTCTGACAAGTCAATTCTAAAGTAGCATGGAGGCAGGCCTAGCACATGTTGATAGGGTGATGTACAGGTTGAACCAGCAGGGGTCATTAACGCACGGGTTCAACCAGCAGGGGCTGTCAATCATTTTCACACTGCATGATCTTGAAAACTTGAAAGGAGTTCACAGAATTAATAAAATAAAAAGTGTTTTAATTTTTAAGTTGTAGCAACTTGCTGTTGTAATACAAATTAGTACTTAAAGCTTTAAGCTGACACAACTTCAAATATTACATGCTGCTAACAAAAAGTATTAAGAAAAATTCACATGGTAGTACAATCCTCCATTTTTCAAGTTCTTACCATCTAAAACTTATATTAATAAAAATTCTTTTACACACAACCACCCGCTTCTTCCTCTTTCAAGGCACAGTGCATTTCCAACACTGTGCCTTGAAAGTTTCCCACTTCTTCTCCAAAGCTTTGAACATTACATAACAGAGGTGCATCTTGATATAAACCAAATCTAGGTTACCCGATCTGCTTCAAACTCAAAATATTTTTGTAGGTTCAAGTTTCCTGAGCCCTGAGAGATGAAGATACTAGTCCAAGTATCTGAGATGATGCAGAAACAGTGAGAGAAAAGAAAGAGCTGATGAGTCAGCTTGGAGAAACCTGAGAGAAAAGAGGAGATGAGGAGGACAAAGTGGCTAAATGGGAGAACGATAAGAACACAGCTGAGCTTAGGAGACGTAAACGAAAGTTTTGAGAAGTTTCAGAAAATGTACAGCGCTCTCACAGTAGAACACAGATACAGACCAGAAGTATCAGGCTGCATAAATATGTTGACCACGACACAAATGTCATAACCAAAGAGATCAAAGCAACTTCCAAACCATTAAATTCATAAAATGAGACTGTTCCTATAATAGGAAAAGACAGGGCAGGTCCAATAGACAAGCTTGTCCTGTTGCTTACTTGACACTGAACATTGCTCAGAGTGGAGTCTTGTGATGTGGGTGAGTCAAATCTGGGGAATCAAAACACACTCACCAAAAACAAACAGGAAAATCATCACATTGGACGTGTTACGTGAAGGGCCAGGTTATCAAGGTTCAGGGACGTTAAGTTCACAAGGATCAAATAAAAACATTTTTATACAATTTTGCAGTGTATAAGTTTATGTTAGAATAGCTGGTCAAGATAGAGTTTGTTTTCAGATGTTATAGAGGTCAGTCTTATCTGTCTAAGTCACTAAAATAAGTAAAAATATTTTATCTTCAATGATAATTTAAGATAGATAGATAGATAGATAGATAGATAGATAGATAGATAGATAGATAGATAGATAGATAGATAGATAGACTTTATTAAGATGTTCAGTCTGATAAAAACAACCAATTAAATGTAACCCCGACATCAAACAGGAAGTTGTAATCCAGATATCAGGCTAGAAATCTGCACCATGCTGCTTTCACTTTCACTAAACCCAAAGTAGAATGCTACTTTGCCTATCAGTGCAAAATTTGCAATCCTAACATTATGCAAATTTGGGCTATTCAGACCAAAACCAAATTTGAACCAGACTCTAAACATATTCTCTTCTGCTTCAAGAACAGCATTTACAATACAGGTGCCAATAGGATTTCTTTGGCTTTTGGAGTCAGCCTCAAGTGGACACTTGAAGAACTGCAGTTGTTTGCACCTTTGCACTGGCTTCATTATCAACTCTAAAAGTTTCTGTTCATTTGGGAAGAAAACATTATTTTCAGACATTACCCTGTAGTATTTATTTTCCCTGCATAAAAAAAGTCTGATGCAACCCAGTAATATGGAATATTTTAAATGTGTCTCCAGGCCTTGTTTTTCCTATTGGTGAGACTCTTAAAATAAATTCAGTCTACTGCAGTCACCGTATTTATTTGTTCGTTTATGCACATCTGCTGTGAATTAGGATCTGTTTTTTACATCATAAACCACTGAATTAATGACATACAAACTTCATTTATTTGAAAACCTGTCATGGCTAATGGAAATATCCAAGAACTTCTAAAACAAGAGGAGTTTTGTGTCTACTGAAAATTCTTGAGTATTTACACAAAGATAAAAAATATAAAGCAGAAACAGTCCCATACAGAAAACAACCACAAATACAAACATATTCATACCTTTAACACAGCTTTTTATTTTATCATACAGGAGCAAAGTCCTGTAACTCTTGCAGTATAAGGTGAGGCGTTGACATTCTAAGGGATTGTTATCAAATCATAAAACACTGAGGAAGTTCACTTGAACAAAACAAGATCACAAACATGCACACTCTGGGAATGATCTTCGTGAAAGGAGGGCAGACAGGAGAGGGAGGATGCAGCCTGAAGTATGACTCCTTGGCTGACATCACTATAATTACAGTTTCCTTTCAGTGAGCGAGTCAGACACACTCAGACTCAGTAGAGTTAGTTGCGGCTCTCAGCAGTGTAGCTGGTGTTTGGGCATCTCACATCTGGAAATGACTCTTCAACCTACAAGGTATGTATAAGTTTCATTTATATTTCTAATATTTATACTCTATTTCTTCTAAAACTAAGGGAACAGACACCTTGTGATGGAAACTTATTGAAGATTGTACAGAAGTTGTTAGATTGATGTATCAGTGTGTGGAGATTATTCAGAGGTTTTCTGTGTAATACTTAACAGTGATATACAGATGAAAATAACCAAAAACAATGATATTATGATAACAAAAAAGGCTTTTGACAACTTTTAATGGTTAAAATCAGAGTGGATAACTTTGGAGTGAAAACATCTTTTTCTGAGAGTCAGTCACATTAAGTCAAATCTGAGCTCTGAAGTAAAAGATATTCAAGTTTGTTTTCTCTATGTGAACATTTTCTCATTGCCAGGCTCATGTTAACTTTTGATTTGCTCAGCTGTGATGCATGTAATTTCTTATATTCCTATAGCACCAAACAACTTATCTGTCTTGTGCTCTTAAACTGAAATTGAATTTTTTATGCATCCTTACCCATTAACCCAAGCCATTTAGTCTTAAATACTTGGCGTGTTTGACTGCTGTTTAGTTTGCCAGATGAGAAAAGATCTAATATTGTGCATGGCAAAATCAAACACCCTGAGGGAAATTAGGTGAACAGAGCCACGCTTGTTGCTCCTTAATGGAACATGATATGCAGTGTACAGTGAACACAGTTATTGATCTATAGGATAAGGCTTTGGTAATGGGGGCTGCTTGCAAAGGTTGCAGTGCAGAATTTAAATGAGTAAGTCTTTCCCATGATTGAACCCTTTTATTTCTCTGTTTCACACTTAGGTCTACTGTTAACTTTCACCAAACTTAGCAGATAATCATGCATGTTTCTATGTGGCTTATTTTATATTAGTCGACTAGTTTACAGCATCAAAACAAAGTGTATAGGCAGAAATCATTTGTATTCAACTTGATAGGCCAAGTCAGGTCATGACCCCTAGAGGAGGATTAGCAGAAGCACATTCAAATGGTCCCAGTAAAGATTGATAATGATCACAGATATAAAAACATAATACTTTCGTTGTTGATAGTTTAAGTTTACAGTGCTTGTCTGATGTCAGTTGAGGGAGTGCAGTCAAATGTGCAGCACTGTAAATGCACCCTGACTGATTTACAGTAAGCATAAGAGTTAAATGCTACTGTCATATATTTTGGTTTCCTTACATGTGGATAGAGCCGGGATGGGATATTGTTGTAGTTTCCCAAACAGCTGCAGTTTCCCGCTACACTTACAGTGCGGTCATGAAAGTGGTATCAAATTTCTCTTCTAAAATCTCTCTAACACAACCCAACAATGATGAATATTTTAGTACTATGAGGCTCAAAAACATTTTGTGATCTTTCTGAGGATGTCTGTGTCCAAGGCAGAGGAGTCTTCTGTGGTAATGTCACTATAACATGCATAAAGACATTTCTACAATACAGCACAACAGCTGGAAAGTACTGTATATGAACAACATCATCACAATGCACACTTGCAGTAGATATTCCTGTCTGTTACCTGTTGTGTTCATGGATCAGTTCATCCTAAAGTTGACATTTGACAAACAGGCTGAGGTGTGTGCAAAGTGTAGGTATGTAGATTCACTAAAACACTGTCCTGAAATCTTCATGAGTGCAATGCATGTGTGAACATTTGGCAAGAGAGTCAAAAGGATAGTTGTAAGAAAAATGAAAAAGTTTCTCCAGTGTCATAGCTGAATTGTCCTTTTCTATTCCTCTTAGCAACCCTGCTAACTTCAGCAGCACCCCTGCTTGGTATGACCTAAACGGCACCAATGGCACCGACTGTCATGATGCAGACTACTGGGAGGGGCTCTACAGCTGGCAGCCGGTCTACATCGTGTTCATCACTGTGCTGGGGGTTATCTTCAACGTCTTTGTCCTGATGGTTTTCTGCTTTCACAAGAAAGCCTGCACCGTGGCTGAGATCTACCTGAGCAACCTGGCTGCTGCTGACCTTGTCTTGGTGTCCTGTTTACCTTTCTGGGCTGTCAACATAGCCAACGGTTTCGACTGGCCGTTCGGTCTGTCCCTGTGCAAAATTGTCAACTTCGGCATCAAGATGAACATCTACTGCAGCATTTACTTCCTTGTTCTGGTTGGCATCGATCGCTACATCGCGCTGGTACATCCAATGTCCCATGGCAGAATGCGCAGGCCCAAATATGCCAAACTTAATTGTCTGCTGGTGTGGGGTTTAGGGTTACTGCTGTGTGTCCCGACTCTTGTCTTTAGACAAGTGAAGCATTTCCCAGAGTACGATGTCCATGCTTGCTTTCTGGAATATCCAAAACATATACCCAGCTTACAGCTGTTCTTTGACGTGATGTTGGTCATTTTCAGCTTTATTGTTCCAATTTCAATCATCTCATTCTGCACTGTAAAGATTATCCAGGCTTTGAAGATGCAGTCAATAGAGAGGTTCAATGCAGAGAAAACAGAGCAAAAGGCCACCACCCTGGTTCTGGCTGTCCTCCTCGCTTTCTTAATCTGCTGGCTGCCCTTTCATGTGGTTGCAACTGTGGATGTAATCATGCGTGCTGCTGATCTGGAGGGATGCTACATTGAGACTGTGCTCGATATTTGCAACCAGGTCTTCACCTACTTGGGCTTCTTCAACAGTGTTCTCAACCCCATCCTCTACGTCATTGTGGGAAAGAATTTCCGCAAGAAAGTCCGAGAACTCTTGACACAGTGGAGCATCAAGAAAACAATAACCTCAGAGTCTACACGGTCCAATTTGTCATCAACGCTGAAGACTGTGGTTTGAAACACCTCTTTTCTAAAGGAAATAATGACTTTATAAAATGATTTTCCAATGCATTCATCTTTCTGCAGTCATGCACTGATGTAAATAAGTCGAACAAAAAGTTTGATGAATGATTAGATTTGCAGCAGATGTAATCGTGTAATTGGACTGAATCATCCTTTCTTGAATCAATCTGTAAGTTTCATCTCAAGATGGTCAAGTCTTGTTTCAACCTTTTATAGAAATTAACAATCATTTACATAAAGTAATACAAGTGTTTGATTATTTTCCTCTACTGTCTTAACTTTGTAAATGACCTTTAATAAGCTGGAAATCCTGACACAGACGACACTTTATGATGGATCCCTTCAAGTGTGGCTGAATGAAGACAGTTTGCCTCTTGTTACAAATATGGACACCAGTATATTGAATGTTCAGGTGATCTAGATCAGCCTAGCTGCTGTAAAATATTCATTGTAAATAAAGTTTGCATTCTCTGTAACCTTTTGCTAATAACGTTGACTTTAACCGAAACAGTATTTGTTTTTCTCTGTACATAATCATCAAATAAAACACACATATGGTTTGAAAGGGCGTCTCATTGAATCTTTATAGTGCATTTAACGATGCAAGTTGAGCACAAAAACCAGAACAGTAAGAAAGCCCCGACAACTGCTTGCTAAGTGTTTTCTGGTGTTTCTGACTCATTGTCTGCGGAGTTAAAAACAGGATTCTGTCAAAGACTTTCCAGCGGTGACACACAAACATGCTCCTTTTTGTTGGCTGCATGGACACGAGTTGTCTCATTATGCACTCCTACCCACACCACCGTAATTTAACAGACCTGTGTTGACTCATGGTGGGTTGTGGTTGAGGGTACAACCCTTGTCGTCTCGAAAATGAGGCATGTCGAGCCAAACAGGAAATCTTTGTTAGGAGTCAGGTTCAGCCACCGTTGCCCGTGCTGAAGTTGTCGCAGAGCAGAAACCATGCAGGCAGACACAGACATTTCAAATGGTGAAGTCCAGTCCAAAAATACAACTTAAACAACATGTGTTTCCTGTCTGCCTTTAAGATTTTGCCAAATGTATTACACTGGATTTCATCTTCTTTTTACAGAAAACTGGAAAATTAACTTGATCTCTACAAGTTAATGAGCCTAAAACAGGTTATATATCCACTGTATGATCTGTATTGTGTACCCTGCAAGCAGGGCCGTATTAAGGACCGGGCCAGTGGGGCCGGTGCCCAGGGGCCCAGAGCGATGTAGATGCCGATGCCAATTGCGATGTCAGAGAGGCCTCTACTCTCTAGGATCTTATCACTACTCACACTGTTATAGGGCATATCTGAGGAGAACCGAGAGAGAAGGGTGATATGAATTGGGCGGGGGGGACAGGGACGGCAATCAGAGGGCCCCTGGGCTTTGGGGGATAGCAGTCAGAGGGCCCCTGGGCCACGGGGGACGACAATCAGAGGGCCCCTGGGCTGGCCCTGCTGTACTGCCTCTCGTGAATACTCCAAAGGGAGCCCTTCATAGCTCAGTTGGTAGAGCAGAGGACTGTAAGAAGTTCCTCATATGAAAGGCTGTGATCCTATGGTCGCTGGTTCAACTCCAGCTCGAAGCACCAGATTTCATTGGTGTGTGCAATGTTTAAGCCTTTACTTCATCTGTCAGCTCCTCCAAAATGTCAAAACACAAACAAGATAACTCCTGCCTAATTTTCCAACCATCAAATTTTTCTTCACCCAGCCTAAAGGTCCTGATTCTAAGTTCTGGGTCCATGGCAATAACTGTTGGGTACAAACTGCAAAGCTTTGTTCTGCAGGTAGGGCTTGGCTTTTCATTGACCATGGGTTGGAATAGTTCTGTGGGCATAGTATCTCTCCTAAGCCACTATGTATTCTGCAGTCGTGGGTAGAGAGCACCTTCATAGCTCAGTTGTTAGAGCGGTGAACTGTAAGATGCTCCTTGTGTGAAACACTGTGATCCTAAGGTCCCTGGTTCAACTCCAGCTCCAAGAACCTCCTTGTCATAGGAAATACCCCCAAGCCTTCTCTTTATCTGTCAACTCCTCCAAAATGTAAAAACACAAACAAGATAACTCTTTCTTAAATTTTCAACCATCAATTTTTTATTCACCCAGCCTAAAGGTCCTGATTCTAAGTTCTGGGTCCCTGGCAATGACTGTTGGGTACAAACTGCAAAGCTTTGTTCTGCAGGTAGGGCTTGGCTTTTCATTGATCATGGGTTGGAATAGTTCTGTGGGCATAGTATCTCTCCTAAGCCACTATGTTTTCTGCAGTTGTGAGTAGAAAGCACCTTGATAGCTCAGTTGTTAGAGCAGAGGACTGCAGGACGTTCCTCATATGAAATGCTGTTATACTAAGGTCGCTGGTCCAATTCCAGCTCAAAGCACCTGCATTTCGTTGGTGTGAGCAATGTTCTGGGTCTAATCACATTGAAATAATGCCAAGCCTTGTCTTCATCTGTCAGCTCCTCCAAAATGTAAAAACACAAACAAGATAACTCCTGCTAAATTTTCCAACCATCAATTTTTTATTCACCCAGCCTAAAAGTCCTGATTATTAGTTCTGGATCCCTGGCAATGACTGTTGGGCACAAACTGTGAAGCTCTGTTCTGAGGGTAGGACCAGGCTTTTGATCGGCCATGTCAATCAAAAGCCCAGCCTGTTGTCGCAGATGTGATGATTTTTTTCTTGGTGAAGTGTTAAGGCACCAACTCCAAGGTTCAGACTGTCTTACCTGGTGCAACCCAGAAATATTAGAAGCTCATTACCTCCATCCTCAACCAGGAATTGCATTTAAATTAGGTTTAGGTTGGACTCAAGCACAGCTGGTGCAGCCCAGTGTTGCAGTCTAACACATAAATCCAGCTCAAAACCTTTCTAAAAGATTTGAGAGCAAATTTCTGTTCAATTTTTTCCAATAAATCTAACTAACTTAAGTCTTGAATTGAGGGTCCATGGACAGACATACTGCACACATTGTTCTAGCCTGTCTTAGCATTTTTTTTTTCTCTGAGCACGATGTCGTCACCTCTGTGTGTACTCTATGAATGTGTGAGACAGTTGCTGCCAGGTAGCAACCCACTTTGGATACATTAACAGCTCACTGAATCCCAGCCTGTAAATGATTGTGGCTTCAGAGGGCAAGAAAAGTGTTTAGACTAATGCTGTGCTGCAGGAAGGAGCAAAAAGGGGGAAGTCGTGTCACAGCCAAGCTCTATTAAACAAAACAACCTGAGAATACTGACGTTCACAATCACCTGCACATACAGAGAGAGGAGTTGCAAACCTTCTCTCAGGACCAAGAAATAAGCTTCATTGTTTTGTTGACTGTCTAAAATTTGAAATTGAGTTTTTTAAAATAAATTTTCATGTTTTTTTTCTATATATATTCATTTTGAGCAACAAATCTGACACATTACCTTTGATTTCCCGATGATAAATTGTCATCTTGGGACAATTGTAACTTCATTTTTAACAATTTGACAGTGTTTGAGTGTTGTTGCCTTAAATACGTTGATATCCAAGATGGATGGACTGTTTTTGTTTAAAGAAGAAAGTGTTGTTTAAACATGAGATGGGCAAATTATATTTTCTCTCACAGTGTCTTGTAGTGTGCTCATTCCTCAACGTCTACCAGAAACAGATGACCATAAAAGTCGATTCCACCGCGCACAATGAGAACTCACAAAACTGCTTTTTATATTTTTGAATCTATTAGATTTGATTGTTATCCAATGGGACCGATTATAAAGACTCTATGGGCGGTCTCAGTCATTGGATAAATCCCCTAGCTGCATACTATATTATCTGTACTAATGCTGTGACTCCAGCTTCACTTTGGCCTCGAGGGAATGTTGTTATGATCACATGAAAACACAGCAGTTCCAGTTTGTATGTGCACGGACTAAATTTTGACTCCTTTATAAACAAAATGATTTATTAAACTCCCTGGCCAAGGGTGGGGAAGAATTCCACTGTATACACAAAGGATCCTCACAGCTCTTCCCTGTTTTTCCTCCTTTCATTAGCAACCCGACCGTAAAGGAGGAACATCTTCACTAAACAGAAGGTAAGACGTTGTAATCTTTCATCCTTTTTTTGTCGCCAGCATTAAAATGTGTATTTGAGAGGTAGAAAATACATAACATTGGCATAGATGTGTGAAAGTATTGTTCGCTGCACGTATATAGTAATAGTAATGTTGCTGGTTCTTCAGGTGTTTTAATTGCTAAAATAAGATACTTATATTATTTCATATATACTTGAATAAATGGTGTATTGCTTACATTTGAAACAGGGGTTAAGTATTTAACTAATAAATGTACGGCAGCATCTTAAAGCTCCTTATCGAGGATTAACCTGATTATGAAACAGGCTGAAATGAACTCTAATCCCTCTGTGTGGTACACACAAGCCAATAAAATCATTAGTATAAATCAAGACTATTTTCTAGATTGATCAATTTTCAATGCATGCTCCTGCTGCCTCCGTTGCTGCACTTAAGTTTTATCATGCAAATTAAATCAGAAAAGAGATAAGAAGCGCTGACAATCACTGATGTATCCTTTTAAAACCAATATTTAGATATGACTGAGGTCACTAAATGATAAATATGTGACTTTTCTCAGCTATCATTAGGAATCACAAAGTGAAAATTACCAATGTGAATTTACCAGTAACCCTGTTTTGTTTTTTAGTTCATGGAGCGAATGAAGCTTGTGAAGCTCATGGCAACTCTGTGGCCTGAAAACAGCAGTGCACCGCTGCCACCCAACACCTCAGGGTCTCCATTTTCTGAAGACTGGGACCTGGTTTACACCATTATCCCCCCATACATCTTCACTCTTTCTGTGCTGGGTCTCCTCTTCAACAGCTTCGTTCTGGGGGTTTTCTTCATCCACAAGGATCGGCTGACCGTCGCTGAGATTTACTTGAGCAACCTCGCGCTGGCTGACTTGATCCTCCTGTGTGGCCTCCCCTTCTGGGGTATCAGCATCCTCAACAACTACAACTGGCCCTACGGGGATTTCTTGTGCAAAATGGTCAATTCCATCATCATTATCAACTTCTACACCAGCATTTACACTCTGGTGATGATCAGCGTGGATCGATACCTCGCCATCGTGAAAACCATGAAGGCGAGGTGGCTGAGGAGAACACTTTATGCAAAAGTGATCTGCTGTGTTTTGTGGTTATTCAGTCTCCTGCTGAGTACTCCAGCCATGGTTCACAGAAAGGTGATAGTGTACGAGGAGTACAAGACAACGGCCTGTGTCCTGGATTACAGTCACAGCAGCTCTTGGAAGTTGGCCCATCAGATCCTGCTGAACCTGGTGGGCTTCGTCCTCCCTGTCCTGGTCATTGTTTTCAGCAGTGGGAGCATAATAAAGGCTTTGGTCCAGAGGAGGGAGCATGTAGCTTTTCATGACCTCAAGGACACAAAGGCCACACTACTGATGTGTGCAGTCGCAGCACTGTTTTTACTTTGCTGGGGTCCTTTTCAGATTTTCACCTTCCTCGACACACTCTGTGACGTCCACACACTGGATGAGAAGCTTTGGTCCCACACGCTGGACATAGGAGGACAGGTTTCAGTGTATCTGGCGTTTCTTAACAGTGCCCTCAACCCACTGCTGTACGTCTTCTCAGGGCAGTACTTTAGGAGGAAAGTTAGTGCCATCTACAGGAGGACTAGGAAACACCGCAGAGGATCAGATATGAATACGTTCCAGCGCTCTGTTGTGTCCACTTACATTAACAGAGCAGAGCAGATCAAGCCTGTGGTGATCTTTTAAAACAATCAGTCATATATTTGTACCCTGACAGCTGTATTGATTGTTTACTCAAAATTAATGCAGCTGTGTGGTCCTTAAAGAGTAATAATGCTCATCATAGAAGTGATGGATATATCCAGGGATAATAAAAGAAATAAAAGCTAATTTGATTGTTTTGAGTCTCAATAAACACTCAGTATTTGAATATATGGTTCTTTAACTCACTGTATTTTATCTTTTACAGCCTGCAGAATATTTTAGGATGAAAACATAGCTATTCTAGATGTTCCTTTCTTTCTGTGGCAAAAACACTTATTTTAAGCTTTTTTATATGTGCTTCTAACGTTTTTTATAAAATTAGCTATAATAATATACTAATCTGTAATGTAAAAAAAACTGATGTAGATAATTTCTTGCAAAATAAAACACATTTTCCCAAAAGTGGTCCACCATGCTTAGTCAGAGCAGGTTTATTTGGGTCTGTTTGTCAAATGTACCATCAAATCCAAGTTACTTGATGATTTTAGTCTCTCTTTTTTTTGTTGTTTCAGTATTGCAAGTCAACGTTTTGTGAGTGTTGTCGTTTTCTACAAGTTTACCATCTTGAAAGTTTTCTGTTAGCATCTGATTACTGTGATAAAGAGTGACTTTCCAAACATAAACAAAGCTTCTGCCATCACACCATGACCCTGCTATTTGTTATTATTCAGTCTGAAACAGAACAAGGCCCACGCATTATCACAACATATGACCAACTCTGTCCCAGTTACACATTAGGAGAGCACTTTGCAGTGGGAGGGTTTTGCATAAGATAAAGATAAGAGGAGAAAACTTTGTGTATGACTGAAACAAAAAAGTAACTGTTGATTCCTGACACAGTAGTGTGACACAGAAAGAAAAGTCAGATTATGAGCAGTGAAAAGTTTAGCTTCTCTGATGTGGATATTTATGTATGTTTTTTTACCCTCAAGTTAAAGATCCCATAAGGAGTTTTTTGACATAAATAAAAGAGTCTTAATTTTATATTATTCTAAAACAAATAAGTGACTCAACTCAGTGAAATGACTGATAAGTTTTTTTAATTGTAATTTTTAATGACTGAAACCAGTGTTAGAGGGGAGATGTCAGCACAGCAGCTGAATAAACAGCCCTGGTTTAACATTTTCAACATAAAAAAACAAAGTGAAACAATCTCCAAGTGTTTTGGTGTCAGCCTGAACACACTCTTTCAAGTTATTAAAGTGATAATGAGCTTTACTGCTGTTTTGTTACTTTCTAACACCACGCAAAAGAAGAAAAGTCCCACAATTCTCTGCATTAACAACATTTTAAGGGCCTCTGCTATTTGAGTACACATAAAGAAAGTTATGTTACCTTTGATTTGAGCAAGCAAGACCATTTCCCACCTTGGCGTACAGTGAGGATCCTTTATAAATGTAGCCTTGATCACAGTGACGTCAAACATTTAATGTAACTTTGATAGAAAATATTACACAGCATTTGCAGAATTTCCAAAGAAAAAGGTCCATTAACTGAAATTGATACTTACAATGTATGAATATCTCGGCCTTCCTCCGCTGGGAGATACTACCACATCGATTAAGAGATGCACATCAAATTTGTTTTGTAACCCCACGAACTAAGTGATTCCATAAAGGTTTTGATGGAGTATCCTGAACAACCATAAATGTTTGAGTGTTTATCGGACTGTCCACAATGGGTGATTATGGCTTTACTGCTACTGTGCCTCACTACAATGAGAGAAATATAATACTGCAAGCTGTAGCTGCTCTCAAGAGTCAATTAGCTAGTCTTGCATGCTTAGGAAATCCAGTGATCATGGTAATTGTAATATCTGCTAAATACAGGCATGAAAGCTGAAGACTCTACTGTTGTTTATTTCTACTGTTCACTTCTGACTTATTTCTTGTTATCCCTTTATTATTCTTCAAACCTGTATGGAGATCTAATGGAGAACTGGTTTGACACACAAAAGTGTAACAGCATCAGAGGCAATCACAGACATTAAATATACAAGTTTTACCATTGGAAAATATCTGTATTTCTAAGAAAGAGAACAATATGGGTCATTAATATCAACCAATAAACAAAGAGAAGCACTTCATACACAAAACGTATTTCCAATATTTAGAAATGTGGCAGAATTAAGAGGAAAGCGGTGGCGGTTCATCCCAGAAACCGTCATGCCAGAGGATTCGTATGACATCACTTTCATATCAGTTTTCCTTTAAGGGTGTGAGTCCGACCCTGACGAAAGGCTGAAGAACAAGGAGCTCGATCAGTGCAGCTGGACAGAGAGCTAAAAAAGAGAAATGACTCTTCTTCTGACAAGGTACGATGCATTTGTATTTTACCTTTATTTTTCACTATTTAACAAGTATTATTGACAAATTTATGATCACATTTATCTAAAAATAAGGTTTAGTTGTTCAGAATCAATAATAATCCTTTGTTTTTATTACAGACACTTAATAAATACGAGTGTAGGTCTGAATATCTGCCATTGTATTTGTCTCGACAAGTTTGGTGCTAATATGTTGAACTGTCAAACCATTTCAAATCAATAACAATTTTACAGTGAGGACATATTTTAAGTATAGATTCATTCAAAAGCATAAACATTAAGGTCAAACCTGACATACTCAATCATAAGACCTGTTTACAGTAAGAACTTGACATTAATCTTTTACTTTAATCATAATTCTGTTGATTTAAATGTTTTATGTCTACATCTATACTGACATGGCAACAGATTCTGATTCATCTACTTGTGGGACAAATTTATATTGTTCTAAGCATTTCAATTTAAGGTTAGACTTAGTCTGCTGTTTATTTCTATTCACATTAAACTGATCATTTCCAGTGGCGGTAAAGAAAGTCAAGGTGAACAAGACTTCAGTAAGAATCTATACAGTATTTTAGTGTTTTCCTCGTGGAGCTTTGGTGTTGACTCTCTATTAAAAAAATAAAGCCAGCTTGTTCACAGTTGCTCTTATCACTGGTTCAAATGGTTTCAAGTTGACTTGATCAACATCTAAAAACATCTTAAAAATGCTCCATTTTACAACAAATGTTTCCACCCATTTTTAACAAGTAGATTTGCAACCCATCCTTCAGTAGATTCATTTAATATGTATGATCTGGATGTTCCTGGTCTTTATGTTGCTCCTGTCTATTCAAAATTAACTCACTGTTAGTTTTTTTGCCTATCAGAATCTAGTGTTTAACACAGCCAGGAGATTAGTAAATGAGCTAAATAGTCATTATTGGTAATGAATTAACAGCCTTTCCTATTACTATATTTTAATGTTTTGAGTGTATAAATGTTGTCATATCTATCCAAACAGATGATTACCCCTAAATTCATTTTTACTAATAACATGAGGATGGATGTGCAAAAGAAATTCAAGATTAGGATTATTTCATCACAGTAGATCACATTTAGAGTTTCTCAATACTTCACAACCTTGTGTGAACTTAGTTTCCTGTAGATTTCTACATTGATGCCAAGAACGTGAAGTAAATTTTGAAAGTCACCTTCATACAGTTGTCTATTAAACATTTTGTTATCTTTGTCTGTCTCTATCTTCTCACAGTTCCCCTGTGGATGCCAGCAATGCAACTTCCCAAGTTTATGAAACCCAGAATACAACAAATGCCACTTATTGTACTTTAGAAAAACCGAAGGACTGGGTCTTCACTGTGCTTCCTGTGTACGTGCTGCTCATCACTGTGTTCGGGATTGTGTTTAATTTGTTTGTCCTGATAGTTTTCTGCTTTCACAAGAAAGCCTGTTCTGCGGCTGAGATCTACTTGAGCAACCTGGCTGCTGCTGATCTTGTTTTAGTTGCTAATTTGCCCTTCTGGGCAATCAACATATCCAACCGCTACAACTGGCCCTTCTCTGGTCCCCTGTGCAAACTGGTCAACCTTTGTATCACCATGAACACCTACTGCAGCATCTACTTCCTTGTTCTGATTAGTAGCGATCGCTATGTGGCTCTGGTGCACCCGCTGTCCCATAACCGAATGCGCAGGCCGAAATATGCCAAACTTGGCTGTCTGCTGGTGTGGGGCTTTGGTTTGCTGATGAGTACCCCTGTGCTCATGTACAGAAAAGTGAAACATGATCCCAGATACAATCTGACTGTGTGCTTTCTTGACTTTCCAAGCCCTTTTGTGTTCCAGCTGTATGAGGGGATCCTAACAGTCGTCATTTTCATTATCCCCATTACCATCATTTCCTGGTGCACCTTCAAGATAATTCAAGCTCTGAGGAACCGCAAAAACACCCAGAAAAAAGAAGTGAAGGCTACCGCTCTGGTGTTGGCAGTCGTCGTGGCGTTCTTAATCTGCTGGGTCCCGTTCCACATTATTAGGATTTTCGAACAGCTCAGTAGGGCTGGGGTGTTCATGCAGTGCCGTCCTGTAATTGTTATTGAAACTTGTAAGCAGATCTTCATCTATGTAGCCTTCTTCAACAGTGTTCTCAACCCACTCTTGTATGTCATTGTAGGAAAGCACTTCCGGCAAAAAGTCAAAGAACTTTTTACTCAGTGGAGCCCCGGGGAAACTTCCAGCTCTGTCTCCACAAGCTTTAAACTCTCATAATGTCTGTATTTTTGAGAAGTTTTACAATTAATCTTTTTCTCTATACTTAAAGTAAACTTATAAGAAATACTTACAGGAAATAACATTTTCAGACTCATGTCCACTTATGTTTGTATTTTGTAGTAGAGTATGAGTGGCACAAGGTGGCAGTAGCTGTGTATGAGTGCTGTTTAGAAATACCAAATTCTCCTCAACATGGTAAGGGGTGAAGACATATTATATAAGAACAGAGTAAGTCAGACTGAATTCCTCTGTTTTAGATAGGGATTGGATGTTGCATTAAAAATCACAATATAAAATAATTTAATACTGTCTTGTTTGTTCCTGTGCATCATGAAAAGGCATCAACATGAATTCAGTCTTTTTCATAAACATAAATGTTTTTGTTTTTCAGAGACGATCAATGTCACACGTTTATTTGGTTTAGTTGAAATGAACTTTTCCTATAACATATCCACATAACATAACATGTGCATCTTTGTCAAAACTTTATTCACATCCTCCATTTTTTTTTAATATAAGATCAGTTTTAGCATGAGGTGTGGGTTTTTTTTCATACTTTTATATTTGACCTTGGTATTGATACTTTCAACAAACGACTTTGGTGGCTTGTTAATCCTGGATCTAAATTTGAGAAGGAAAGAGTCAGACACCTCTATGATTTAACTCTTTGTATAAACTCTTGCTGTTCTTGGATAGCCTAATATTCAGTAAGTGCCTAATAGTCTTTGAGGAGTTTTAAAGAGAAGTGTGGCGACACTTTTACAGAGCAGACAGACCACATACAGTGTTAGATTCAGTTTCATCTCTGAATAGAGTTCCAATGTTTTGTTGTAGCATGTCCATATTTGTTTACTAGGAATATATTTGCATTGCTGATCTTATCTCTGTACAATAAAACACAGAGTTTCCGCAAACAAGCACATTCAGGTTTGGACAACAGCACTGTACAATGGAGGGAGCTTTTCTCAACAACACAAACACGAGTACATCGACCTCCTGCACTGTGGAGTCTTCAGTGGAAAGCAACATGTATCCAACTGCTTACTCTCTGTTTTTTATTGTGGGATTTCCAGCAAACGCACTGTCTTTGTACATATCCTGGGTGCTGATAAGAAGTGGGAACAGCATGGCGGTCTACCTCTTCAACTTGTCCATTTCTGACCTGCTCTACATAATCTCTCTCCCTGTGTGGATTGAGCTGGCCCTGAAGAAGCAAGTGGACCCAAGTCTGTGCAGTTTAATCGCTGTTATTATGTACAGCAGTTTTTACATCGGTTCTGGCTTTCTTTGTTGCATCTCTGTTGATCGTTACCTGGCAGTGGTTTATCCTTTCCACTTCCACTGGGTCCGAGAGATATGGACAGCAGTCTTTGTAAGCATTGTTGTTTGGACTCTGGAGGTTTCTATCCACATTATCCTGCTTAACCACACGGGGGCACTGCACGCCTTCTCCTCAAGATACCTGTGTGACGAACGATTGCCCATGACACCACAAGATACCAACCTCCACCTTACGAGAGTCACCCTGGGTTTCCTGGTGCCAGTCTTCATAATGACCTTTTGTTTTCAGCAGATTATGCAGTCGCTCTGTCAGAACATCACCATCCTGGAGGAGGAGCGCAGGAAAGTGGGAGTGTTGCTCTTGTCCCTTCTTCTTACCTACATAGTGGCTTTTCTGCCTTTCCAGACTGTCATGCTGCTCAGGGCCTTGCTGGAGCCAGGGGCCTGCAACTGGGCGGTAAAGCTCAGGGATCCATACCTGGTCACTGTTGCTATGACAACCCTTAACAGTACACTGGATCCTATAATATACTGTTTGATCAGTAAGAGCGCGCAGAAAGAGATCAGGAAAGCAGTCGAGAAAGTTTTCCAAGGGCGGAAAGTTTGTAGGAGGACTACATGGTTTGAAATCCCTATTCGGACAATTTCATAACAAGTACTTTTTTCTTTATTTTCAATTCAACCAGATAATATTAGAAAATCTGTAATACCAAAATAGGAAACTGTTTTATATTTAAATATATAAATATATACTAAGGCCTTTCCAGTGGCAGTAACATGATTGTAGAGTGAAATTTGACATTCACTTATTCATATCCATTAATACTAGGTTTTGTTACTCTTGAACATATTTTCTTTTGTCACCAAAAATGTGTTAACAGTGTGTTTAATAAATCACCTCATTTGTCATTTGAAGCATAAATTTTAATTATCCAACTTTAGCTTGTCTTCTCTCTTTTATGATGACATGACTTTTTCTTTTGCAGGACCTAGATGGCGTGTGAGTATTGAAAGTTGTTTGTCTTTTTAAATTTGAATAACCAGCATTTTCAATCCACTCAGAGATGTTTCTGGGTGATATGTAAATCCAGACCTAAAAATACTGCGTTTAACTTATAGGAGCACAAAGTCTCAGACAGAACAAACTACCATACATAACATCCTATTTACACAGAGGAAACAGCCGTCAAGCTCATACTGTATATATTCCTTTATCAGAGAATGGTAAGCGTTACCTTTACCAGACTCCAAGTCTTTATTGACACATTAAACACAGAGATAAGCAGTCTCATATACACTTCAATTAAATTTGCAGCCTGGTTTGGTGACTCAGGAAGTTTGCTCTGCCACGGCCTGTCACCCAATAAACTTGTGGTAGTTAAGAAGGGCAATAAGAGGGCATCCTGTTCCTTCAAATGAGTCGATTCAGACAGGACAACCGCATGAATAGTCTCAGTTTTGTTTCAGCTTTTTCATGAAAATAATGATTCATTGTACGGACAGGATAACTCAGCTGTAAGTAGATCTTCAAGTTTTTTCCACAAGTTCATTCTGAGCTATGTTTGTAAGATTCTCAATTTTTAGCAATTAATGGTTATTTAAAGAAGGCATAAGGGAATACAATTAGGACTGGAAACATGCCATATATAGGCTAACAAAGATTAATTCTGATCAAGTTTTTGTTTGCTTGATGCGTTTCCATAGAACATGTTATAAAATAGTGCCTGCAAACAAAAGAGTGATGTTACAGATTGGAGGTACGATCCACAGAAGTTGTGAGGGACACGTTTTAACCAGATAGTCTGGGTGGGTGACAATAAAAGATGTAACAAATCTAGAGACTTTTCAGCATATCTGGTTGATAAATGTGTAAAAGTGAAGTCTTTGTGTCGCTACACTGATTTAATTTGCTGACTCCACAAAAGAGGATCAGACTATCGAGGTATTTTTTGTTTCAGTTTAGTGTTAGTAAAAATTAGATTTCTTTTAAGTCAAGTTTTAAATCATCATAAAAGACATCATCCAACGTTTCTTATATAGCACCACTGTATCACGAGTAAACTTATCAGTTGTGTAGAATTATACACTCACAGATTATTATCAGAATTGTGCAGCTTACTCATGTCCTGTCTTGTTCCTCTAAAGGGCGTGAGAAGAAAAAAAAACACATCTGTGATGGAAAACTTCACTCTGACCACCAATCACTCAGACTGTTACTCTGTTGACCATGTATCCAGGAGGAAGCCATTCCTGTTGTTTTATCTGGCTATCATCATCACTGCCATCCCATCCAATACCTTCTCCCTCTACGTGTCCTTGCAGCACATCAGGCAGAAGAATGAGCTTGGCGTGTATCTTTTCAACCTAGCCCTCAGTGATCTTATCTTTTCTGTCGGACTGTCTCTCTGGCTGGACTTCCTGTGGAAGGGAGCGTGGGCCCATGGAAGCCATGTCTGTGTGCTGTCAATCTACCTTCTCTTCACTAACTTTTACACAAGTGATGCCTTCCTCTGCTGCATTGCGTTTGACCGCTACCTCGCAGTGGTCCACCCGTTTAAGTATGCTTCCTTGAGGAAGGTTGACACTGCAGCAGCAGTCAGCGTTGCCATTTGGGTGCTGGTGGTCTGTTTCAATGCGGCTACCATCACCTGGGAGGACTCGTACTATGAAGATAGCGGCTATTCAGTATGTTTTGATGTCTTTCTTCCTCTGTCAGAGAGCATGTTTCGGGCTAATCTTGCACGCTTCTTCCTGGGCTTTCTTTTTCCTGTTCTCTTGGTGACGTTTTCCACTCGAGGGCTCTTTGCAGCATTGAAATCCAACAAAGCCACAGAAGAACAGGAGAGTAAACAGGTTACAAGGCTGCTAACTGTCCTTCTGCTCTGTCTTTGTGTGTGTTTTGGACCTATCCATATCATGATGCTGGTTCGCGCACTCGTGAATGATTGTAAGAAAGTTGCATTACTCCTCTATCCATATAAAATCAGCCAAGCTATCTCAAGCCTTAACTGCATAGCAGACCCTCTCCTTTACTGCTTCATTACTCGAACAGGGAAGGCAAATGTCAATCAGATAGTCCTCTTATTTCAGGTAAAGAGGAGAAGCAGGGTAGAAGATGTGTAAGTTTCCTTTTCTGCTTAAAAATCCTATTTTCATAGACACTGCAATAAATTTAGGCTTTCAAGTAGCTGTGAGTCACTACATGAATGACTCAGAGGAGATTTGTTTGAGCCAAGAAACCTGACTGAGGCCTCACAAGAGAGATGATATAGACATCACTGGGACTTCTCTGTACGAAAAATTGAAGCACTAATTAATTAAAATGATTCAAGGAAGTTGAGACATGGTAACTATGTACACAAACAGAAGAGCAAGAGTGCAAGAGGATATTTGAGTTGCTTGTTTTCGGTTTTAGTGAAGTTGTGGCTTTTTATTTAGTGAACCCAAAAAACTAGTTGTATGTTTTTACTTCTAATCACAGTATGCAGCTTGCTGAAGTGTTAAATAAAAACAATATAACACTTAAAGTAAAGATGTTAAGGTAAAATAATGCACAACCACACATACACACACACACACACACACACACACACACATTCTTGTATTTATTGTGTTCTTAGGACCAGAGGTATCTGCGTACTGTTCGAGGACCCTGCTTTACAGACATCATTGGAACTTATGGAGTGCATCACATAACACAGTAGTGTTAAATAACATTAATATCAAAGTCAAAGATAAGATGGGTGAGAAATGCACATTTAGAAAGACACCTAAATAAATCAATGACTGATCACTCAAAATTAACTCTCTGTGTATTAAAATGATGCTGTATGGTGTGTGGCTGACTTTAAACTGCTCTAAAGTTGTTTTATACTTGAATAAAATTGATCAAATACTGTTAGTCTTACATTGCATAATTTTCATTGGGAAGATTGTAAATCTGTTTTGTTGAATTTTGTGATAATTTTGAAGTTTAGCACCACATGAGAGAATTTTAGGCTTAATGTTTTTTTATGGCTTGTTTTGTTTTTAAGGGCAGCAATAATCAAATAACTTTTGAAAACTATGATTGAGGATTGAAAGATGAGGCGAAAATGTTGGATAAGGACAATGTGACACCTAAAAAAGTGTTCAGAAGGAAACACAAAGGTGTTTAGAGATGTGTTGGGTGATTCACTTCAAGTTGCTCTCTGCCTGGTGCTTTGAAAACCTCCAGTTAATATGATATCATATTAAGTCTATTTTACATGGCAATATCACAGCTGATGGATAATGCCAAGTTTTCTTGGCTCCTCTGTATGACTGCCTGACACTCCCTCTTTCTTTTCCTCTCCATCATCCTTCCTGCTGCTTTTAGCACTTTCACACTTCCTCCCTTCCTTGCAGCAACTCCCTCATCAGGAAACAACCTCTCAGATCTTCAGTCTGGGGAACTCGTTCTTGGCAGGCTTGAGGTGTCATTTGCTAAAATTTTAATGTGTTAAAGCAAATACTGTCGTTATTTTTAATTTGTCTACAAATGAAAGGAAATCTTGGCTCCTACATGCTGTTTACTGCCATTGGAGTAAAATTAAGCTAAAAAATCAGTTTCACAATTTCATTGAATTTTGGTATCAAGACCAAAAAAAGAAGTCATTTGTAATCTGTTCTAACTGTTGAACATGACTTTTAATGAGACAATCATGCTTAGGAGTGGCAGTTTATGCCTTTGCTTTAAGATTATGAGACATCTCTAAGCAATGTCTTATAATTTCATGAATACATTAACATTAAGATATGGTGAGCATCCTGTGTAAGTAAGAGGAGATTTTACTTTTCCCGATCTTTTGGGGTCAGTAGGTCACATGCTTAGTGAAGTATGAAGTCAAGGGGTATAAAAGAGAGCCTTATTTCAGTAATAATGGAATCACGTCCTATTAGACTGGGAGTTAATGCATTTTTATTGGTCTGATAAAGTTGCTCTTTTTAACCTCATTTTTTGGGTCATTTGTACAGACATCATATTTTAATTCCCTGTTAACAGAATAATCTTCCATTGGCATTGTGAACTTCACTTCACATATACTGCATAATACAGTCAAAGTGAAACCTTGAAATGAGGGTGCAGAAGTACCTGTGACATACAACGCAACTTTTCTCAGCTTTTAATTCTCACTGTGTTACTGAGGTGTTGATTAGTTTTCAGGCTCTATTTAAGTCAAGTGTTACATGCTTCTCTTCAAGTTGTTTATTTTTGTTTTCCAGAAGAAGATGATGGCTACAGATACTTAAGTAGAAGATATTTCTGACACTTGAATGTGTTTATTCCTCTGATTTTATAATTCAGAATAACTTGACGACTGCAGGGTTTGATACTTAACTAACAAACACCAGGCTGTCAGCTTGAATTGTTTTGCCATTAAGTCCCCCAGTTATGACCACTACTGTGGTTTAGTAGTGCTAACATAAAGATACTTATCAAAGGTTCAAAGCTCACTAGTCCCTCAAACTAATAACAAGTTGTCTCAGCTTCCCTAACAATCATGCCAAGTTTTGACAACTGTTTTTTTAAACAAATCTTACTAAATTTTCCCAACAAAATATCAATGTTTTATCAGTCAGTATGTATCTATGTAAAGGTTTATATTTGAGTTTTAATTACTTTATCTAGTCATCTCAGCAACCACCATCAAGTTGTTTTGACTAACACTTATTTTTCCTACCTCGTCCCAGTCATATCTCAAATGATAGTTTCCTGAAGGTGAACCATAACATGAAATAGATTATGCCTCTTTATAAACAGATTCAGGGTTCAAATATAGCACAGGGATTTTTCATATGAGCGAGGGAGAAAAATGCTGTCCTCCCCTATGGTTAAAACATGGTTTTAAACTTCCACTGTGAAAAATAGAAGGACTTATAAAGCATACACTGACGGGCTGACTTATAGCAAAGTGGTAAGGGTTTCTGCCTCTCATTAAAAGGTCTCTAGGTTCAAGATCAGGACACCTTGTGAACCTAGACAGTTAAAAAAAAGACTAAAAAAAAAGTTAATAATGATTTCTAAATTAGCACAAAGTACTAAAGTAGCATAGAGTACTTGTGACACATCTGTATCATATAATGCCAACCATGGAGAGGAAGAGATTTGTGAAGGTTGTTCATGCATTTCACCACTTTGTGTCACTAGTGTGCCGCTGGCTGGCTTGCATTGCAGCTGTCGGTGTATCAGTGAAGGTAAACTGTGTCGACCCACAGTCATTTAGTTTTTTTGAGAATAAAGACAGAACCAGGCTCTGCGCTTATACGGTAAAAGACCACAGAAAAGTTGAGTAAAAGCATCTTGCCTTAAAAGATTTGAAGTTGTTCATGGATCTCTATGGGTCTCAAGTAGTTGGGTTGACTCTAGACATGAATAAGTTTTATCAAGGTTACATCTTTGTGGACGGTGAAAAGAGTTTAATTTTGATCAACCCTGTAACAAAATGTAACAATAAAGCAAAAGGGAATAATATCTCTTGTTGATCCAGTATGAGTGGGGGGGTGGACAGAGGGGCAGTACAACAGCGAGAGAAAGGAGACGGGTGGAAGAGATGGGCACCTAAGGCTGGGCCACTTCACCTTGAAAGAAAAAACCTCACACACAAACACACACACACACACACACACAAACACACACAAACACACACACACCACATATACAGGGATGCCTTTTCTATCACATGCAATTTATAGCTGCGCCTTTCCCGACTGGCCTCCCTTAATCATTTTTTTTTTTTTTGTGTTGTCAGCTGGCTCTGTTTTCTTTCCTGGGTGTCATGCACACGTTGACACATGTGACCAAGCTCTGAGCTTCACGTGCACCCATAAACACCTCAGTGCCCCGGCATGCTGTGATATCCTGGGAGTCACTTACATAATAAATTCTGTCACTTAATTACCTCAAAGCTGCAGAGAAGCAGATACACGACAGTGTTGTGCATGTAAAAAAAAAAATGTTGGGGCTGCAAGTTTGAGGAGAATAAATGAATGTTTTGATGGCACATTGTCTTTGAACATGCATTTGCAGACTTGTTTGTGTTGTTATGATACAGCCAATGGATGCACAGCTTAAAATCAACACACTGTTTACAGCACTAGCTGAGTAAATCTTGGTATTAAGTCACTGATGAAATTTTTAAAGTAAACTCCACTAAATACCAAATGATATTTTCACAGCTATCAGCAGTTTTGTACAGGAAAGAAAAATGCATGATGTAAACATTTCATTGTTGTCATTGGGGTTGCATGGATCATAATCTGCCTGAGTCACCTACCCTTTCTATCACAGGAGTTTGAGTCTGAATACATTTGAAAAAGAAGGGTACTCTTGCCAAAAAATAAAAAATAAAAATAGAAATAAGTTGTAGCTCATAAAAAACAATGAATTCTCCTCTCAACTTCCACATTTGCATATTATGTATTTGCAGTGAACTGAGGGCCAAACACACAAAAAAAACAGACGTCTTATTAACTGTGTTCTTCCAAGATGGGATGAAAACTAGTCAGTCTTTAAAGGTGTTATGTTAAATTTGGGACCCAAGATGCAGAGATTATATTAGAGATTGATATTTTATTAACTCATTATCTTATTATCAATATTTTACTATTACTGGCTCATGAATAGTTCACCAGAAAAGACTAAATTTTTGATTTTTCACCTTTGGTTTGAAATTTTTAAAAAAGGAGTAAAAGGAAAAATTGTCTGATTCTTGTGATCTAGAATTTGCTGCATAGTTGATACAGGTTTTTTCTTTTGCCGCATGTTGTTAACATTTTGCTGGTGAAGCAAATTCCTTCATGATGACATTTATCACAGCTATCCTCCAGATTATATGTTCAAGATGTGTTATACCGTGCCATCAGAGTAAAATGCACAGAGGCGTAACGGTGGAGCAAAGTGGAACCACAGCTGAACCAGCAGCAGAGGTGTTCGTGCCTTGCTGGGGCAACAGAATCACACCACTGTGGTATTTGCAGCAAAGTGCGAAACCATCTGAGGTGCAAAACAGCTGGGAAATGTTACAGCAGAATCTCAATGTTTAAGGACTGCAAAACAGCACTTATCACATTTTACATTTCTCATGTCATGTTTATTACATCATAAAAGGCACTCACTACATTTAATGTGATCCGTCCATAAAACAAACTGTACATAACAAATAATCATTCAACTAATCACAGGTTGAGGTCAAAGTCATGTAAAAGATCATACTCTTTAAATTAGAAACAACTAAAGTTTGTGAGTGGTATAGCATAAAAAAACAAATGCAATGCATGCTAATCATACATTTGATCATTTTAATAAAGTCAGTGTTGTAGCGCCATTATTGACTCTTTCTTTATTGGAACGAGGTTTAAAGCTCCTGTGAGGAGCTTTTTGACCTTCATGAAGTGCACAAAGACTCATGTTGATCCTTTTTATGATATACAAGAGCAAGCAAGACCATCAGCAATAAGACTGAAGATTTTTATAGTGCAATTTTTGATACCTTATATTGGCGTGAGTCATTTCCACATAAAATATTCACAATGTATTATTTATTCAAGTGTCAATATTCATCAGGATGAGATTTTTTGTCATAGGACACGACTGACGCATGTAGAGGACATGATAAGCCTAGACTGCTTTGTCCACAGGGGGCGCCAAAACTGATACAAGCTAAAAGTTCTTCACAGGAGCTTTAAAACAGACATTTCAGTGAGTACAACTCAAGGAATAAAACTTGTTTCAGAGTAAAAAATGACATAAAAAACAGAAAAGATGTCAGAAAGGAAACATGACACTGTATCAATGTACTTCATATTTTACAGTTCAAATCGAAAATTCAACTTAAGAGCTCGACTGATATAAAAAGGAGTAAACAAAGATAGAAACATGCTTGGTGAGTACAAAATCAACAGCATCACATTCAGTAGTTTGAAAAAAGCATTTGTCTCGTGAAATTTGTGATAAAGTGAATAACATATTTAAAATGTTCAGAACTTAGCTGACAATCTCAGAGCCAGGGGTGACTAAATATGTGTGTCGGGGGCACAAAAAGGGTGGCAATTATTTCAGAAATCCTTGATTTTTTCTCTCCCTAACACAAAATGAAACATTACTAGAGTTGGAAATCAAGTCTTCAAGTAAGTTTTCTCTTCATTAGTTGCTATGGTTGTGTTTTAATAACCGTGCACAATCAAAGTGTTTGTTTACAAGCTCTAACTGTAGTGTGTAGTATATCTAGATACCCTAAGGCTACATTTTCAAAGTCATACACCATGTAGGGTTAATTGTACATGCCGGCTTGGTAAATGCTTGCACCGCAATTGATCCATTAGAAACTCAGCCTCAGCCCTCCATTCATTAAAAGTCCCTTTTGTACCAGGCCGATGAGCTAAAAATAGCCACCACAGTATGAGATGACAAAGTGAAGATCAATAATGTTTCTGAAGATGGATGACACGGAGTTGGCTCTCTGGATGTACTGCCCCCATCGTTAAAAAATAAGATTTTACATTAAGAGGCAGCCGTTGCCCAAGTGTTTCAGAGGAGTCGTGGAAGCCAACAAAGCTCTCTTCAAAACTAAAGCCTTTCGCTATATTCACGCAGCAGCCCTGTCCTCTGGCAAGTGGCTCAGGGTGGAAGCCCAAATGTTGGCACAACCATTATTGACTGGAAAGACGTTTGAAAGTAAAAACCCACAAAGACATTTCACCATATTGCAATGTGAAACAACGTATTTGGTACCAATTGCCACAGTTTTTTTTTCCAACAAACAGGAAAAGTAGTGACTCTAATCTTACAAAACAACACGCTTCAGCTGATCTTGTTAACAGATAGGGTGGTGCTGCAAACACTGGCGCAAGCCCAGGTGCAGCTCATGTCAGCTCAAGGAGGAGGCACACCGTCTAAACAGCCAAGACTTGATTAAAATTACTGCCTGCTCCACATATTTTGGACCAAACAGACTGATACCAGCCTTTGTTTTTGTCTTTTTTTTCAGGCATTTGCTGTTGAATCTACTGCTTCCAGAGAAATAATTTGCGAGATACCATTGAGATGACACGCAGGGTATGCAGAATCAAAAAAGATGAAACACTGAAATGAATACTTTTATAATAATTCAGTTACTTTTTATGAGTAAATCATGATTGTAACTCTCTACTTACTTTCAGAAACTTGCCCAAAATGGTAACCGAACAATGAGGTACGTTTCATCCACCAAGTTAATGGTAATATTAACAAGAAGTTAAATTAATCTTATTATTAGCTGTTTTAGCCAAAATTCCCTCTAATTTGATTCAACCTTGTCTTTGTAGTTGCTTATCAATCGAGTGGTATGAATACATTGATCTGTCAGGTACCTTAAATAGATATATGACCAAGTAGTTCAACATTCAAACAGCATTTGAACTTCGCACCCAGAGCTTGATCCCAGAGGAAAAAGGCCGCTGTATAAATATAGTCAAATGAATAGTAGCAACTGGTATGAGGTATTTTCACTACAGCCTCCTCTGTCTTTCAGTTCATTCTTTTTTGGCAGCACATTTTCCTCCCATGGCTATGGCACAATAACTGAATTTCCTGAGAGCAGTTCCAGTCCTCACATAGGAAACAGAAAGGCACATTTCTTGACATTTCAAGGGACCATGCACTCTTGTTCTGCATCTCTGCGTCTGTATCTTTCACTCTGTTGCACTTTATGTCTCCAAGTTTTCTCACTTTCAGTACTTAGTCATTTTCTCCCTCTTTGGCCTGCACAGAATTAAAGCCATTTAGTTTGGTGCGATCCTTCGCATACTGAGACAGGTTTGTCAGACTGATGTTACCCTCTTTTCTCTCGCCAATTTCCTCATCTGGCTCCCCATCATCTTCTTCTTCAGTCCTTTCCTCTCCCAGCATGGCACTGCCGTTGTTTACGCACACACTCGCTCTTCTCATGTCATCAGTGATGTTCCTCCGCAGCTCACGGCTTTTGTTACGTCTAGCCAGTTTAGTGAGGGACCCAAAGCGCAGGTTGAAGAGATTCTCCTCCGAGGAAGACGCCGTCTGCGGTTGATGCTCGCCCCCCTGGTGGTCGTACGGCTCACAGGCCCCCTTTAGTCTTAGGTTGTTCAGCTTGGTGTCAATGCTCTCTTGAGAGGAAGTCTTGAAACGTCCAGCATCCAGGCTGGCGAACAAAGCCCGCTTCTCCGGAGACAGCATGTCCAGGGAATGGGCTCGCTGCTCCAGGCCAAGCTGGCGGCGTTCCATGCTGCGGATAGTGGCGGCCCGTTGAAGCTTGTCATGGATCTCGACACTAAGACGCCGTCGCGTTTCACGGAACTCTGCTCTCACGTTTGCTTTCCATTCGGCTGCATGAGCTTTAAATTCCCCAACCTGAGATAGAAAGACAAGAATTAGGAACAAGTTTCGAAAGAAAAAGGTTTAACGTGGTTTTTATTCAGATTCTTGAGCTATTGAATGAATGCACCGTCTGCAACTGTTGGGACTATTTTGGAAAGAAAGATTTCTGATTACTCTGCCGGTCAAATAGAGGAAGCTACTGAAGCAAACTTTTGCGCACAAATCAGAAGACATCATGCTACGGTCTACTGATTTATGCCAGTGCCTTAAACATGATTTTTATTTGACAGAATACATCTTCCTCTTCTCTGTCTGGACTCGGTGAAGGAACATTTTGAAGGGAATCAATAGACAAAATACGCACAAGAGACGGCAACTGAGCGACCTTTTGATTTCCACCTCTCTAATGCAATACTAAGCGGAGTAATTGAATGATCCTCACCTCCTCTTTGGTTTTTTTAGACAGTACTCGAAGCCAGTCTCCAATCATGCTCAGGACTGCAGCAAAGTAAGCCAAACCCACCAAGATCCAGAACCACACCAGAGGCTTATACCACTTCATATAGTCAATCACACGGTTTCCACCTGGAAAGGCATCAAAAGGAGGCAGTTTGGAGAATGAATGATAAAAGTCTGACAAAGCAGTTATGCAAATCATGCCTGGTAAACCAAAAAGGCTCTACCTGCCACGTAGTCTCCTATTCCCACTGTGGTGAGAGTGATGACAACAAAGTAGATGGACTCCAGAGTGGTCCAGCCCTCAATGTGTTTGAAGATGATGGCAGGGATGGTGACGAAAACGATACACCCAGCCAGGATGAACAGGATGGTGGATGTCACTCTGATCTTCGTCTGGCTGATCTGTCTGTGTTTTTGCTGAGAAAACCCGAAAAAAGAAATGCGACTCGATAAGAAAAACTCATCAAGGCACCCGAGAGGCAACTGTGACATTAAAAAGATCAAAAAGTTGAAACAAGAGTAGGACATCAACACGTAAACACTTGCAAACTTTAACAACTCACCCTGAATATCTTCTCAACTCTTAAGATGCTTTTCACAAAGATGGTCCCCAGCTGGTCTCCAATCCCTGCCAACAAGAAGCCAAAGAGGGGGATGCCAAATATGGCATAAAGGATGCAAAAGATTTTCCCGCCTTCCGTGCTTGGAGCTATGTTTCCATAACCTGTCGAAACAAGGACACCATGAGGAAGGAGGCGGGGTAAGTTAGTATAAATCTATGTCATAAAGGACAGAAAGTAGGAAAACAAAGAGAGACAGAAATGGTGCATAAGGGGTTAGAAATATTGAGAGAAACATGAGCTGGGGAAATGACTTTCTTATATTATGTAATCAATAGAGTTCTTATTTATTGCCCGTTGGTCTGCACAATCCTCGAGAGACAACAATTAGGTTCCCCTTGTAGAAAATTGCATTAATTATTGCTCTGAAGTGACGGAGATACAATGACGAAAGCAAGGAAACAGAACCGGATTTATTCCAATTTCACAAAATGTGATCCTGTTTGTTGTTATCTCCCATTCTCTTATTGCAGCATCATTTTTATGAGATCGACTTGATATCACACCAAGGCGTGTTTAATCATGAGAACTTTACACAACCATATCAATCCCGTTTGAGGAGAATCAATGTGAAACACGTTATCTGAAGCTCTTCCTTTTGTTTTCGGATTTCTACATCAGGGCGGTTAACTTAGTGAAGTCATGTAAAACTCTGCTGCATCTCAGCAAATGTCATGGTCATTTAAGTTTCTGGACTACAGCTCAACAGCAGGTCAGGGATATTGTGCCTTATTATCTACAGAGAGATGAAACATGCTGCTAAATCAGAGAGCATAAAAACAGAGCATCTTCTTTCATGTCGGAGCCGAGGCTCATTTCTATCATAAATAGTCCCATTTGATCAAAGAAGCGAGGATCCAAAAGCTTTTGAATTAAAACATGAAAATTGTCTTCAATAAAAAATGGTTAAAAAGAAAGCAAATAGAGAAACTTTGTCATGGTCTAGGATGTGTTTAAGTCCATCCTATACATGGTTGTGATCTTTACTGACAGCGCTTCATTTGCAAGACAAATCCAATCTCATGTAGCATTGTGGATTCATGTATTCGTCTGTGAAACAATCTGAGATGAATTTATATTAAACATCTGCAAAAGTGGCAACTTGGTGTTTTTTCTTAACGTGGGCAAAATTTGGAGGTTGATTTTTCATAGAGTTCGTTTGGACTGTTCAATATTGCAGCCAAACTCTTCTAATAATGACCTATGTTTTTTTTTTTTTTTTACCTATGGTTGTAATGACAGTTCCAGCGAAGAAGAAGGCGCTGCCCAGGTCCCAGTAGCTGGAATTGTATGATGTGACTCCTACAGGACTCACTCCTGCACTGACTGCATCTATGGCATGCTGAAAAAGAGAGAAACATATCAACTGTTACAGTCACAATTTACTACAATCAAAAGCTTAACTCAAAATAGAAAAAAAAATTGGACATTCAGACATTTGTTGCAACCTTTCCTTGAGTCCTCACAAAGAGGGAAAGTCGAGGTTGAGCTCGCGTGCAGAAAAAGCTCTGATTTCACCGTATAGCTTTGAAAAGAGTGAGCACATTAACCACCCCTCCTGCCAATGCATGTTTGCTGACTGTTCTGTGTGTAAGTGCGTGACCCCTTCCTCTGATTGTGTAACACTCATGAGGTAACCGAGGATGGAGAGCATGCATCTATCTTCAGATCAACCTGGAAGGTCACGCCGCCGATTAAAGATAATAAGAGGAGAGGGAACGCGGGGAGGGGATGGAGAAAATTCATTTAATCTTTAAGTCATGTTGTATAATGTTAAAGCTAATGTACCACCAAAGAACAAATTAGTTAAAGGCATGGCTGACGATTGGAGAGATTGGTAATTATTATGAACCTCGTTTATATGGCTATCATGGTCCTATTGTTTGCTTTTACAGGTCACACGTGGGCATTTATATCAATTCAAATCAGTTTCATAACCACTAAAGACATTCATTTTCATACTTTGGCCGACACCTGTTTAGACGCAATGATTAAAAGCATCAAAAATTATAACATAACACCACCCATCTTGTTTCTGATAGCTTTAGTCACATAAAAGCCTTAGTATGAATTTTAGTCTGTTAAAAATCCTGACAGGAGCTTCAATCAGACTAAAAAACTTCACATTTCCCCCTGCACACTCTCAAGGGAGACCCCAATACTGGCAACTGCTGCGCACCATCCTCTGTAGTTAGTTAGCTTAAAAATTCTCTTTATCCCGCTATGCCCCATATACAGGATAAATGAAAGCGCTCATACATTGCATGTAACAGCAGATTTGCTCAAATTATTCACTGTTCTTGTTCGTAATTTTACATACTTCTGCTTTTCACGTTGTCTAAATCTACAGCAGATAAACCTCTCATCCTTCTTTTCTTCAGTGTCAGCCTTCTTCTGTAGTCCCTCAGCTCTTTTAGTGTTCAGGGAATCATTAAGAAATCACAACGCCCTGCATCTGCTGCATCATTATTCTTATTGATCTCCGCCTGTGCTCCATTAAGAAGCCATGAGAATCTAATCTATTTGTGTTGTCTCCAAACTCCCTGTTACATTGGCAGGAAAGCTTTAGCCCCTGGTTTCGAATAAAGATGGGTTCTGCGGGCATCTTGAGTCAATTTTAGGGCCGCCTTTGGGTCAGAAATAGCCTCAGCCCATTTACCAACATTCCTGGCGTGTCAAAATACACAGCCTCTCCATTCAAAGCAACCCCCAGTCTATTCATGCAAGCTGTCAGTGAGATACAACGTCCATATTATAAAATATGAATCAACTCTCGTGACATATATTTCAAAGCAGACAGAGTGGAGGACCACTTTCACATCGCTGCACATGCCTACTCATAATCCTGCATGTGATTACTTCAGCTCCATTAGAGCAGCCCCTCTAATGAGACTGCTTCGGGTTGAAATTAACTATTTACCGCAAATTTATTTCAAAGGCTTTTTCAATGGACCTAGCAACTTTATTGGCCCAAAAATCAAAGCATTAATAAAACAATAAACCCTAAATAAGCTAATTCTGGAGTCAAGGGAGGACTATAAATAGCCTCACAGTGAATCTGAATACTTGATTAGGAATTCTATTTTTGTCTTGCCTTCTTCACAGCCAAGTTCTTGCTGCATTATAGATTTGGAAAATCCTCCCTCTGCCCATGCACTTTGGAGGCACGAGGACAGTGACTTGGATTTTTGCTGCAGTGTAATAATTAGGACAACAAACACTGGTTTTGTTTCACCCTCATATTGAGATCACAAAAGCTTCAACACGCAAATGTACTTTTCTTAACATTTGTGCTTCTTCTCAGCTGTAGCTTCATGAGCGAGAAAGTAAAGTAGCCGCAGAATTTTATCTTCTCAGTGTCTTTCAACCCCCTCACTGGGAGCTGGTGCCAACAGTCTCCTCCACTGTATCGCCCCGGCCATTACTAATACTTATAACTTCACTCCGACCAGACTGACGCACCCAAGCTGCACAAATGAATGCCAGTGGGAAAACAGGTCCATCACAGATACAGCTGGCTTGACCTTTGACAGAAGTGTTTGTTTACACTGGCTTTGTTTGGTTCTGAAATAATGGAAGATTCAATACAGACCAAAAACTTCATTACCTGTAACAACTATGAGTGAAAAATTATCAGGCTAAGTTTAATTAGTGTGTTTATAATGAAGCAGAATGAGTCTTAATGAAGTCATAATATTCAACATTACAATCTATGGCTGCCATTTCTTTGGTACACAAACGATTATGCCATTGGTATTCTATGGCAAATGCTTGTCGGGCTGCACGTGTCAGGCTGTGAGCACAGGCCCCACTTGTGGAGGTGGGGCCCTCATATCACCCTCATGGAGTCTGTCTCTGATACTTTGGTCAGAAACATGCAAACCGGCGATCTGCTAGAGGGCAATTTGTCGGGCTCCTGTTCCTCCTTGCACAAAAGAGCAGATAGCAATCCTGCTGCTGCCCTCCTACGACCTTCTTCACCTCTCCTGGCCCGTGTCCTGGTATCTCCTCTACGCTCTTGACTCTGCGTTTGGAGACACAGCAAACCTTCTGGCCACGGTGCATATGAATGTGCCATGCTTGAGGAGCTGCACAAGCCAGAAAGGATGGGGAGAGGGAAATGGACTGTGGCCACCACCTGTAAAACCACTCCTTAATAGGGGTTGTCTTGCTAATGTCCTCTCTAATCCACCTGTTGTCTCACTCATTTGTACAACAATGAGTCAGTCAATGAGTTAAGAAGCAACAATCATGGTGTTGACTTGGAGTTACACAGTGATGGTTATGTGTTCCCTTTATTTTTTTAAGCTCTGTAATTTACCTATTCAGGTAAAATAAAATCCCACCGTGTTATGTTATTGCATATATAGTGCTTTAACCTCATAATTTAGAAATCCATGTACACTTAATCACATTTATTTGCTTGTTTTTGAGCCTCTGATTTACATTGCTGTCAATATTCATCTTGTTTTCATCAGTTTGCACACTGTAAAATGACCTGGAGGGATTAATTCTTCATATGTCACCTTGACATTTTGATAAAGAAGCCAAACTCTGTATCAGTTTCCACAAACCATTTGAAAGAAATCAATTGGAAACTGCTTTGTTTTGTAAATATTCATAAATATTGCGTTTTTCATGCGTCTGTCGAGTGTCCTGACGTACTTTGACAGCAGGCAGCTCAGTGTTTATGGAAGCCGATTTGCCGTTAAATGACTCATCAATAAGCCAAGCTAGACCGGTGTCAATACCACCGCGTCTTCACACAGCCCCATGGAGTGAGTCACCCCGATGGTGCAGGAAAAAACTAATTAGGTCTGCTTTCTCTGTGGGCGCCCAGTGGGTAGGTGGACGGCACAAACACTGAAGCTGACACGAGGAGGTCAACAAAGATACACAGACACACAGACACACACTGAATCAACACATTGCAGTTAAGCAAACTTATTAGTGATTATTCCATTAGACATCTTCTTCCATCTCACATGCACACACACACACACACACACAGATGTACATATATGCACACACACGCTCTCCATGGCTGTCATTTTTCTGTCAACTTCTCTACCAGACAGTTTGACAAGAGTGAGTCACCGCTGCTGTGTCGCCACAGAGGATCTTTGTCTAAATGACGACTTGACACAGCTTGAACAGACTGATAACAAAATCTGTAAAAAGACCAGAGAGACCTTTTTATAGAGACGCGTGTCCTGGAGGCTTTTTCTTAAGACACCAGAGAAAAAAAAAAGTGTGGGTTTCACACACGACACAGTATTTTTGCACTGGACTCTGCCGACTTCAAGCTACCGGCTGAGACTCTAGAATTTATCTGGTGTCTATTATTAAGATGAAAAATCAAGTTAGGGGTAAATTATTAAATATTTTTTCATTTTTCACTTTTACAAATTTACTTTTTTTACCTGTTGGTGTTGCCCCCTGCTGGCCATTAGTACTTATGAAGTTTTTAAACACCGTATTTTGTTAAGGAGTATCGAAAATACTCCTTTTGAAATATTATAACTTTTTTAACGCATTGCTTTATTAAATGTAATGTAGTTTAAGAAATACTTCAAAGTAATGATTTAGTCTCAGGAATCTACATATGGGTAATTAATTCTTACACCTCCCATCCTGGTGAGACTTCCTGTCCAGGAGATCGTCTTGTCTGTAATTTAGCTGCTGCTACAAGTGCTACAGCAGGAGGTCTGTGACTGCCAGCCTGTGCGATGAATAATTGATTCCTCCAGACAACGAGCACACCATGCTAAAGGTTTTTATTTCCACTACTCCTCTTAGGAAAAAAAAGAACTGTCATTGATTTTTTTTTTTTTTTTCTTACAAACTCATGATAGTTCTTCAGCGGTTCAAAGGTTGAGCGCCACAAAGGAAGAAAGAGAAAGGATGTTTCTCTGAGAAGCAACAGAACAGAGGTGGGTGTGGAGAAGGAAGGAGAGGCAAACAGGCAATCCAATATCCACCAGAGCTGTGTTAAAGAAAATAACGTCAAATGGAGGCATTCAGGCAGAAAGTGGAGCACACCAAATGCCACGAGGATAGGGTTATTTCAAGCTTGAGAGACTTAGAGGAGAAACAGTCGTTGTAACATACACCTTGTAAACCTCAGTTATCTCAGACTACCTGAGAAAAACATGGGAAACATTGCGAAAGGTTCACATTTATGCCCTTACATCAATACATCTTTACAGGTACTTGAGACTTTAACAGACCAGCTAACTCTTAATCCTAGGTCGTCTCAAATATGTCTTTGCCATCTCATACAGATGCACCAATAACTTTTCCCATTATATCACGAATTGTGTAACTTCTTCTGCAATAGACGTTTTGACAGATTTTAGTCCTACATTTTTTCTATCACCAAACTCCCTCACAAATCAAACTTTCCAGTTATCCAACACCACGATGACATGTCTCAAATCATTTTCCCAGCATGCCCCCAGCTGTATGTGTCATCTTGATGGAGTGAGCTTAAATCTCAACCTGTGATTCTCAATATATTCAGTATGAAGCATTTAAAAAAAACTGAATCAAAACCTTCCTTGGAGTAAAAAAAAAAAAATTATTGTTGATGTGGCCGTGAGCTACTTTCCTTTTTTAAAACATGTGGGTGTTGTAAAACCTCACTCTAGAGTTTCATACTGTACTAATGCATTTATGATTGAGGGTACAAGACACACAGATGCAACTTAGTTAAGAAATCCATCCCTCAGAACAAGCCCAAATGCTTATGTAACAAAGAATGTAGGTCTTGTTTATGTCTAACGCCATTTACAAACAGTAATTTGTTTAACTCCAGAAAGAGGACACAACAGAATCAATATAGAGTGAACTGTTATGCTTTCCAGGAAACAGTAGATGCAGCGTCACAATGACTGACCTTATTTTTCACAAGGATGAATAAGGAAAACAGTGGTTCACCTTTTTCTCCAGAATTACGTGTTATTATGTAACACGAACCCGCATGTGCAAGTGTGCTCTGTTCAACGTGTGCGGCAACAGATGCCAGGAGTCAGTGAATTATGGGTTATCTCAGCGGTGACCCTGAAGGTATTAATGTGCTTCCTGCTCAAGATGCACCTGCCTCATAGTCTGCTCGTGGCATTTAACCATTATCAATATCATCAACCGGGAGGAAGTGAGGAGCAGGTCCATCTTTAGTCTCTATACTGATATTCTATTCAGTGTAATGAAATGCAAAAAAGCCATGTGTTTGGAAAATGAGTCCAAGTGTATTGAATTTCAACTAGTTGCCTTTGATTTTGTGAACGCAGAAATCTAGCACTCCCACTTGCACATATCGAGGTGCTGGGCGCACTTCAGAAGTATAATAATAGCAATCTAGAGTACAAACCCAGAGCTGGAGTGTTTTACAGTTGTAGAGTGGCACGGACTGAACTGGAGCTGAAGATGGCAACCTAAAAAAAAACATTCACAGGAGTAGAGCAATGAAAGCTAACAGCTCTGATTACAGAAAAAGCTTTCAACTGCATGCTGTTTTCTCTGCTCAGGAAGAAAGAGCACTAGCATAGGTTTTAAAATCTTAACAGCATCGATTATAAGTCTTATAGGCTCCACTTTGAATTACATTTTGAGAGTAACTGATGGTCAAATGATGGGAAACAGCTGCTTTCCTATCCCCAAAAAAACAAAAACAGTGAAAGTGAAATGATTACATTAACATGAATCAAAAGTTGCTCACAAAAACTCAAAGCAGCTTTTATTTATTCGATTAAAGCATCCTCTGTGGACAAAGTACGGTAATCTATTCTTCACATGTTTATATCGTCTTCTGACTGAAAATCTGATCCTGTTGACATTTGACAGTCATCTAGTGGGAATATTTTAACCAGAAATAGTTCAAACAGGGCTTGTCAGACACCTACCCCCTCGCTTCAAAATTGAAGTACAACAGACATAAATTTCAGTCTATTTTATGAATAACTTGAAAAAAACTCCTGATGGAAGCTTTTAAACCCTAACTGCGATCTTCTAATTTACAAAGCCCCTCACATAGATGGATACTTCATGTTTTTGACATGATTTCACAAACATTAGGCCCTAATATTTTCAAAAATCCTTTTCGTACATACACCCCTTACTTATCTCTGTTTTGCACTCTTAAAACTTGTAATAAGACAGAGTTTTCTACAATGGTGGCTGTTGTGTGTTGATATCACTACAGCACGTATGAGGATATTTCCATAACACAAACCAAACAATATCCCGCAGACTGAGGCAAGCACAAAACAGGGAAACAAAGCTCAGCGTAAACAACATCATCACTCTGCACACTGCAAAGGTTGATTTTAACTTTTGCATTTACATATCAGCTCACTGGAACAATGCTGGGTAAGGATAAGGGGAGCAGTGCACGTGTGGATAGGGCTTTGAAGTCTTTTTTGTTTAATTAATACATTAATTAAAAAATACACATGTCACACGCTGTTACATAACACTTTCTAATGGGATGCAACTATTACTCTGAAGAGGGTTATACACGTTTTCTTCATGATGGACACGTGAATGAAAGACCTCTTTTGCTGAAGGTCAAGCCAGACGCGGAAGAAGGGAGCAACTGAGCTTTCCGAAACCATGTGACCACCCAATAAAACCAGAATTAATAACCCTAAGAACCCCCTAATTATCCCTGATAGCAATTACCATCTATAAAACTGCCGCAATAAAGGTCAGTCTGCTGACTTTTATCCTTTTATCCACCAATCAATTTGAATGACACCAAGTTTTATTCAACATCCTTTGCATTCAGTTTCTTATCCTGATAACTGATTACAGGCATCATTAGGTATGTTATTAACTATTTCAGAGGGGTCTGAGCAGCTTTGCACAGAATACATGTCTATATTTTTCATTTGAACACCCAGCCATGATTGGTTTAAAATTCTTAAAGGTAAAATGTTCCTCACTCACCTTGATGAGAGCCTCCAGCTCATCAGGAGTCACGCAGGGATGTCTCTCCAGGAACAAGGCCTTTTCCAAGGTTATACTGTTCTTCTGGTCACTCTCGAATGGCTGCTCCAGTGCCTGAAACACCAGACCTCCACAGACCAAGTAGAGAACCACCACGATGAACACAGCCAGCACTGTCTTCCACTTCATCACTGAGTGGAGAGCTGCCATCCCGTCACAGCTGGCGTCCATGCTGGCAACCACACTGGCAGAGCGGGAGGAGATGGACAAGCGTGGCAGTGGACAGTGACCGTTGGCTTTTGGGTCGACGCCCATCGGGTTCTGCATGGTGGCCACACTGGCCTGGACCAGACTGGACTTCACCATGCCAGGCTGGGCCTTTTTGGGAGGGACCAAGTTGGTCTGGACTGCCACTAAGAAAGAATGAGAGACAGGAGAAGAATGATTTATATTTTATTTAGCTTTATAGGGGCACAAAGGCTCATACGGTACTTCTTAATGTGACTGGTGATAGATGAACGAACAGAGAAAACAGATTTGTTTGTGTGCTTACTGCTGTGTTGTCATCTTTTCTTTTGACAATACTCTGTACATGTTTTAGAACCAAGAAGACCTTTTCCTAGAGTTGTCATGTAAAGTGTTGTTGTTTTGTTTCAGCTACTTAACCTTCCTCCTGTGTTAGCTTTTACTACACACCCTCCATGTTAAGGGTCGGTTTTGACCCATGTCTTAAATCAACTGTAAATTACACTAAAGACAATTCTCTATCATCCAGTTTGGTTCTCATCTCTAGGTTAACTTGTTAGGTTTCATTATCCATGAAAATATTGATTAAAATAGTTATGTTGTGGGCCCCTGGGTCTTTCTTTGTCAGTATACCAGTATACCAGTTTAGAGCCTTGACTCTTACACTCCAGAACTATGCTTTTGTAATGCATGTAAGACATGGTTTGCAATTGACTTGCTGAAATGTGGAAGATTCCTAAACCCGACTTTATGGTGCATTCCCAGATGTGAAAACTACCACTGCAGCATCTTACCTGGGATCAAGCCAAGAGAAATTGGATCATGTTAATACTTTCCTCTTTACATGAGTCAGATTTAACCTGCATCTGTGGATGCAGCAATAAATTGTTTTCACTAATTATTTTTGGAGGTGATTTGGAGGTCATGCAGAGATTTCCACTCCAGAGCAATGTCTGTTTGTAATGCAGTTCTACCTTATGAGGCCTTCAATCATATTGAAGATGAAAATACATTTTTCATATTTTCAGTTTCAGCGTTAGGTCTAATTATGGGGTTCAGATGATTTTCTAAATTATTGAAATTGTTGTACCTGCATTGTAATGTTTTTCTTAGCACTAGGGTTGTAATTCTACAGTCAATTTCCAGCATTCGAGTGCTTACAGACCCCTATACTTGCTCTTTGTCTTGATCCATGTTAACATCTGTATTGTAATTATGACGATAAAATGAATTTATTGAAGGAGTTTAACTCTAGTTTTTTTTCCATATCCTAGTAGCTTGATTGTAAAATACAATGACAGAAAATCTGAAATCTGCTTCCAGATCTGATATTGTCTATCTATTCTTCCCCTCTGTCCGGAAAAAGCTTACAAAAATTGAATGAGGAAAAATCAATAAAAACGGCAACTGTATATTGTTGTGAGATCTTGTCGAAGAAATCATATGGATGTACAACGATGGATGTACACACAAGCTTATCACAGCCTTTGAAAACCTATAGCCTGCTGCTTGAAGCATTGGAAAGTGATTTCCTCTCATGACTCCCAGATAATAAAGAGCTCTTCACAAATCCTGTACTCAAAGCTGTCAGCAAAGATGCCTGTTATCCAGCCAACAGCTTAGTCAGAAGCAGGGCTGCACAGATACTCTATCATCTCAACATACCGCTATACTGAAAATGTGTTTCGGATTCCACGCATTAAAGCCATTAGTGCCGTGAAATGGAGCTTGAAAAGTCCACAGCGCCTACCTCTACCTCTAATGCGGAGATCATGACAATTGAATTAGAATAATGAATGAAAAAGGCCATGACAACCTAGATGCAAAAACAAAATACGTTTTCCACAAGTACCACGGACATGTACAAACACAGATATTCAAAGCTTACTCAGTACTAACCCTTACAATGCTGTTCGATTGAGGTGAAAACTGAGTTACCCTTTCAGAGAAGCAGGATTCAATTTTCTAATAGACCATAAGAGAAGGATAAGTGCCACTTTCAGTCATTGGCTTGGGGATAGGTTTTTATAACAAATGCATGTATGCTGGTGTGGGTCAACAAAGTGTCAAGCAGCATCACAGAGGCAGCCAAATTTAGTTCTCTTTGAACGTGCATAAAGCATTGAATAAGCTATTCAGAGCTCCGGCCTTCACCTCCGACGCCCCCACCTCGAAAGCTTGGTGTGCCTTGGAGTGATGGGTGGAGCCTGTTGTCTGCAATGATGCAATTCTTGGAGGTAGGAATACAGAATGGATTGTTTGAGGGGGGGCGCTCTTTTGTGTAATGGGATAGCATCACTTATATGGCATGCTAAGTAAATTTTATGCACACACACACACACACACACACACACACACACACACCACCCCGATGAGTCAAGGGCATCCAGGAAGCGTCTCTGTCTCTGTTCCAGCAGCTATGAATCTTGTTAGTTAATCCTCATATCATGAGTGAATCAATAACAGCAAAGTGGTGTCACAAGCTTGGAAAGGTGCAAAACTGCCACTTTCAATTTACAGCACGAGACTTTGAGGACGGCGACTACCCGGCTATTTTTAGAACCAGAGATGAATTAGAAAATTAAGACCGAGGAGTGAAGTGGCAGAAATACAGTGACCTCACATGGATATGTGGTGATATCATTTTGATGGCTGCACTGCGAGAGAACATCGCCGGGAAAATGTATAGCAAATTGAGCCAAGTCCCTGACTCGGCTTCTTCGAATATATTAATTGCTTTGTAGCTCACCGTGTTAGTCAGTGAGATTGAATAAATGAGCTCTATCCAGCCAGGCAGCAAGCCACTAATGACAGCCCTTTAATGCCTGACACCACAAATTATGGCCAGAACATTCAATTTTTTTGGAGCTGAAATGTTTATTTCACTTACTACTGAAAACCAAAAAAATCAAAATGTCCTTAAAATTTAACAATACATTAGATGTTTTTGGAAACTGATAAACTACAACGACTGTATTCAGGTGTTTTTAGTAGTTTGTTGATCATATTGATTTGATAGAAGTATATAAAAGTATGTATCAAATATGATAAAAAAGCCAACAAAGGGTTAATAAAAAAAAACATGCAGGAATCTATCAAATCGCAGTTAAAGTAGTCAATGTTTGAAAGTCCAAAATCTACACTGAATGGTTTGTGTTTCAAGTTTCTTGTGTAGTAGGGCAAAACCTTTTTTTTCTCATAGCCTATCAGTAAATGTGTTTCATATTGATTTTGCAAATTAAATAAGGTCTAAATGGAAAGCAGTGCCTTTCTCTCTCTCTCTCTCTCTCTCTCTCTCTCTCTGATAGCCTTCACTCTTGTCTCCGGCATGTCTGGACTTGTCCAACTTATGTAGGTCCAGAGATGTACCTCAACTAAGCCACTTAAGCACTTCCGTAATGTCCATACGTACGGTCAATAATGCAGGACAGTTAAAAAACTGTGGGGAAAGTGTGATTTAGCCAGAAAACTAGTAAAGGTAAACATAAGTAAAAAATGTTGGGGTTGGCTGATGTTGGTTATTAGCCCAAGTGGCCTCAGTGTAGTGTTGTGTCGTTCACGAGAGATTCGTACAAAAGAACTGAGTCTTTGAAGTGAACGAACTGAATCAAATCACTTCCCCAAGTGATTTGTTTGTTTCTCACTTCAGTCAAGCTTAAGTGAGAAAAAGCATAGCCAGGCCAGCAGCTGGCAAACTGAATCACTTGGTCAACGAATTACGCATTGAACTACTCTGAAATAATTTTTGTCGGACAAAACTACCTTGTTTTTTTTACTGCTAAATTGCCACCTGCAGCATCCTATCATTATAGCGGTTTGTGAGGGAACGGTGCATGCTCAGTTTGAATTCTTCTAAACGTTCAGTAATCACTCACTGAGCCGAATACATCTAGAAGAACTGCCGTGCCCATCACTAACGGGTGGCCTCAGAGAAACTCTACTGAGTCAATAATTTAAAAAGCAAAAGGCGAGTAAGAGTCAAACTAAAGTAACTTCCGGTTGAGTGTATCAAAATAAGACTTTTAACGACAGAGGGGAAATAGAAGAAGTCCGCGTCAAGATTTTACGCACAGTTCTCAAAATCAAAACAGATCAAAGTCAGCATAAGCTGATTACAGAAAACGAAATTTCCCATTACTGATCTACATTACCCGATACACATAAAGTATACATTTATTTTGACAGCTTTTCCGGTTTTAAGAAGCTGTTATTTCCTCTAACTTGAAGTGTAAGGTCTGCTTCCAGCCGCGCTCCCCCACAGCTGAGCACACGGAGGATGAATGGAGGATGTGGAAACCCTCCCAGCTGCTTTGTCTTACGATAACGGGTCTCTTATTGAAATAACAATTGTATGTATAAGAGAAAATAAACTGATAGACATAAATAAAATTATAAAAAGATGCGGCAGAGTGTAATATTAAAGATATTGCATAATACAGACTAGTCTGGTGTGATTTATTGTCTCAGGAATCACCAAGAGGTATCATTGGAATTGTTGTAGCCATTACTAAATGATAGAAAAAAACACACTATTAAGTTATCAAACCATACGAAAGAATCACTAACCTTGTTCGGGGTCCCAGTTAACTTGTTTCCTCGGGTTTTCTATTGGAAATTTCATCTCTGTTTTTGTTTTCAGTTCAAACCCTATATACCGAAATTCCTCTCTAGTATAATTATAAACCCACAGAGAAAATACACCTAATATGCGTAATTCTTCTCTGGTGTTCTCGGCACATCATCTTCTCTGGTTGCGAGTGTCAGTGGAGATGAGGAGTAAACGCATCTCCAAACCGCATTGTCTGCCTCAGCTGTCCCCCCCTCCTCTTTTTTTCTCCACCTCGTTTGGACGCGCAGGGCTCGCCAGACGGACTGAGATACTTGTGAGACATATATCACTGAAGCTGTCGGAACCAGCCACATCCCGTCACATACACACGAGCGCGCAACAGCGGTGGTCCAGTCCTCAAAGACAGACGTGGGGAGCAACTTTGCCCACGCGTGAGACCGGTACCCAGAACAACGGATAAGGATGCTGTCCTCCCTTTGCATTCCCAAAAGCGCTTACACTAACCACCTCGAGGAAAATCCTTGAACTCATCACCAATATCTTAATTTAAAATGCAAAAATGATCGAGTTACTCACTCTTCTGTCTTTGGTTTTCTGTTTTCCTCCCAAATTAACCTCTCATCGTTTGGCAACCGGCGACTGAGCACATGGAGCTGGGCGGCAAGTCAGAGCTGTACGCCAAATCAGCAGCAGACTTCAACCATTACATCATTCGCATGTATGGGAAACAGTGAATTATTTATGAATTCACAGACAAATCCGAACCTCTATCCTGGTAGACCTACTGAACTGTAAGAAAGGCTAGACAAATTAAGGTGCCACCAGTTCCCTGACAGTAATATTGGGTTGTTTTCAGGAGATCTACACTGTAAAAAATATTTGGCCACAAGTTCACCAAATTTGGGAGGGTACCAGTTGAATTATTTGAAGCATAAAGGCGGAGGAAATATAGGCTGGCCCAAGGAGGTTGCCACTTTCACTGTGAAAAAATAAGGGTCACCTTGTAACATCAAGACCCAAGTGAAAACATTGAGAAGCTGGTGTGTGGAGGATGAACATTCAATTTCACATTGGGGCTTTGAGTGGACTTATTATGCAACATGTGCTTCTCAATAGTCTGCATTAATTTCAATTGCAATTCAATTTCACATTGTAAATAAACAAAATGTGTACCAGATGAAAGACCAAAGTCTCAGGTATATATCTTGTATTCATGTCATTTTCACATCTTGTGTCAGTGCAGAGTTATAAGCAATCAAAGAGAGAGTGTGAACATGTGACATGTTGCCCCTGTAGACTGCATATAGAATGGACAGCGTCTGCCTCCTCGCTGGGTAAAGCCACTCCGAGAACAGCACCCTCTGGTGACGGGCTGCAGTATAGGTCATAAATCCCGGGTTTGGAGAGCTGTCTGACTCTGTATTTCGGCTGGGGTGAATGTTTTACAGTAATGAGCCAAGGCATGGTAGGTGACATTAAAGTCCTTTATTGTACTCCTGATTGATTTATTAGCTAGGGTCACCTGTCTGACTGCCCTCAGCATCACATCAGGTACTGCACTGCCATGTTCTGTTTTTCTTTTGAAATTCCTGACCATGTCTTCTCGCTTTCTCCTCTCCTTTAAACCACTCTTTTTTCTGTAAAAATAATGTCAAAATTTCATTACGAAAACTGCTGATAAGCAAACCCTCTATGTTAATTTTAATCAATTTACATGTGCCCGAAACTACCATATTTACTAATTCTAGCTCTATCTTCAAGTTAGCTTAAAACAGAACAATGACTGAGCTATGACAGGATGCCTTAATCTCTCCTCTTACAAGTCCACATGTATCACTGCTAGGATTTTTATCTGGAAGAAGCTTTTTTAAAATATATGAAGTTATTTTTTTTACTTTGGGTTGTGCAAAATGGTTAATTAGTGCTCATCTCAGCTCACAATGTGCTCTTCTCTCATCAGACAGTACACGACCCCTGACCATGTAAAGGAAGAAAACTAGTATTCCACTTTTTAGTTGCGCCCTCTGGTGGCAAAGATAATTGCAATGTGACAACAAGCCCCGGTCTCCCCTACAGCATGTCTTTTATGGACTAGCTTTTCACCCAATGTCCTGTTATGTTGACACTATGATCAAGTCATTTACAGTTGTTTTTGTTAGTAAATGACCTAAGGGGTGAAAAGGTCTATCAAACAATACAAGGAACATGGCAGAAAACAATATGCTGCTGACAGAATGTGTTCTCAGTTGTATCAGGATTTAGATTAGTTGCACTGTATTGTACCACACTAGTGTGTTTTTCACACAGCAAAATGACAATAGTACTTGACTGAAACATATCAGCAATTACATCTGAAAAATATACATTGACGCTCAAAAATTTCACAGTTCTCTATTGAACTGATGACTTGTGCCTGTGGAAATTAACCTGATTTGTGTCGTCTAGTCCTGTACAGGGTCCCTCGAATATGCCAGGGATGATTAAATAGATTTTACTGTGTAGGGGCTCTGGAGACCTGTTGTATGAGGTTTCTGAAATAAAAGCTGCCGTTTTATCACCTCCTTAAAAAAAAACACCATTAGTAAGACACATCATATAAAACCAAGTGCCAGGACATCTCTGTGTAATCCTGCTTTTAATTGGGAGTCACAGGGCTCCAGTAGCCTTTGCATGCCACTGAGTTTTATGACCAGTGAGGACAGTGTGGGCAGGCTTTTGTCTGTGCAGTTTATGAGCTTCTGTGTGCTGTTTGAGATGTGGTTTCAAAACATCACTTCCAAACCCACACTAGAAAACCATGTTGAATCTTTGCAGGGGGACTTTGGAATTAAAATAAATGTATGTGTTTAAAATATGCTATGAGCTGAGATTTTGATTGTTTTTAAGTGTTATTTTTTAACTCCTGCTATAAATACATCTCCATGTCTCATTTCTGTTCTATTTTCCAGTAATGACAGGTGTGTGGGTGTTGTATTGTAGTAGGGGAGTGGGCTATTTGTGGCGCGATCCTTTTTTACGCACGTACGTGATGACGAAGCCAGTCATAGCAACCAGCATGGCGACGGAGAAGCTTTACTTCGGCTGTTGTTTGCTAATAAGCTAGCTTGTACGGGACGTTACCTTTGCTTAGCCTTGTTTTTTATTGAAAAACTGAAATGTTAAAAGTTACTGTATCTTCTCGTAGAGTCCAGACTGCACCTAAGCGGTCTCAGCGTACCTCTGTGGAAAATGGGACACGCTGAGAGGGACAATATCATGGAATCGAGAACAGGTACTCTATTACTGTTAGCATTAGCCGGCTATGAGACTGGTTAATCGGCAGAGATCCGCTAACTAGAGAGCTAGACAGCTGCGTGAAGATTAACACGTGTATGTGTCGAAGCTTATCTACCTACACAATAAACAGCCTTTTTCTCTCAGCATGTATTGTAATGTTTTTCTGTTAACGCTGTCGAGTTATATATATAAAGGTATATATAGGGGAGAGTGGGGTAAGATGAGCCATTTTTCATAATTCGGATCACTACATCAAGGCAATCATAGTTTTGTCTTTAACTAATGTATCTGTATATATTTTAACATGTTGTGCATCCCAATACCAACAGAATGAGTGTCAACATAACTGTCTTGATAATCTAGCATGGCAAAAAAGTGGTCTCCTATTGTCAACTTACCCCATGTATGGGGTAAGATGAGATTTAGAGATTTATATAGATATTTTTTTCTATTTATAACCAGAGGCGGAGAGGGTGTTAAAATATACTTAATTTTATTGTACTTTTGCATAATATATATTTGATCATACAGAAAGCATCACTCATACAATAAATTATTTATTTATTTAGATTGCTCTTTGGGGCCCCCCTATTGGTCGTGGGACCCTTAGCAGGCGCTTAGTTCGCTTATGCCTTGGGCCGGCTCTGATCATTGGCCAACCGCTGTTCATACGGTCTTAATGAAATGTGCTATGAAATATGTGTGTTGTTGACCTTGAGGTGTGTAACTACTGTAGCGAACCTGTCCAACAGAACAAATAAAGCCTTGTGGCACATCAGGTTCCTTCTTATCAAGTTAGACGTTACATTGTTCTGATTAAATAAAAACAACCCATGAGTAAATGGAAACATTCAGTGGAAAAGTGTAAATCTAACACTTGCAAAATAAAACACAATCATAACACTATGTTCATTTTCAGGGAGTGCCTCATCTAGACCAGGGTCCAGCCCTCGTGGGAGAGATCAAACTCCTAGCCGTAAGTATTAATGTGTGCTGCTATATTATAATGCTGATCAAAAGTATGTTTTACTTTGTTCCCTAAATTTTGTGTTTTTTGTTTTTTTTTCAGCATTCTGTCCCCGCTCCTCCAGCAAGTTAACACAGTCCATCGTAAGAGACCATATGATGTCTCATTACAAAAGACTCTACTCCGCTAAAGGTGAGCTTTGAAGGAAGATTCAACTGCAACAATGTTCAACTTCTGTTTGCATGCATGATGAAGTGAATAAAGCATGTATCTCTGTAGCACAAAAATGTGACTAACAATCTGGACCTCTCCTTAATTCATAGCTGCCATTGACACCTCGAGGCCCAAAAGCATGATCCATAGTGTGAAATGTAAGTACAGAAGTATTATAAGTTGCCTCAGCTCAAAACACCTTTTGTGTTAAAATAAGGGGGTATTTGCCGGGTTTAGCATATTTCTGTAAACACACCCACAATAGGTTTTAATAATTCCCTCCTAACTGAACACTTAGACCTACCATTTAGTCACCCTGGAGGATGTGAAACATCGTACAGGCAGAAGCTAAATGCTGCACGAACAGTAGGCTGGATAATCAATAGTGCTCTGCCATTACTCAGCATTTGTGTAAGGGCTGCAACTCATTGTCTTCCTTGCTGTTCCTTGGAAAACCCATCATGTTCTATTCCAATGACGTGCTACCACAATAGCTCTCTTGACACTCATATTGTGTACCTCATAATTAAGTTTAATGAAGCTTTGCCTTCTTTCCTGGGTGCATCTTAGGACAAATTTTTTAACAGAGTAGCCTTCTCATAGTGTTGCCTTTGTGAGAAACTGCTTTGGTTGTTTTTATGGCGGGTTGTTCTAGATATTTATGTTTATATATTTGGTTGTCTTTGCCGTGAGGTGGGAGAACAGTTTCTCATCTTTTTAGTATACTCAAGGAAAATTACAAAATTAATCTTGTAGTTGTTGTAATAGCTGCACAGATTTAAGAGGGTTGTTTCCTGTGTCTACTCATTTTTCATTGCCGCTTTGCAGACAATGATCAGATCAGACAGGAACGGTTGAGGAAAGGTGGTCGTCCTCAGTCGGCCCACTCCCTCTCACAGAGGAATAGCAGAGCCTCCTGCTCCTCAGCCCAGGTGAGAACTCAAGGCTGTATTTCTCGTATCGTCACATATGTTATGCAGCAGTCTTTGCATTATCTGATCACAAAAGCTGACAACAGAAGGCTTTTATTCAAAGTCTGCATTGTTTTATCTTTACACTCTTTCAGATATAAAATCTCTCTCACTTTATGCTCGCCTTTCAGAGTAGATTATCAGCACACTATGATGACAGTCCCTACCTCTCAAGAAGTTCTATGTTCTCCAGCCCAAAGTTGAATACTTCCTTTAATACAGAAGACATAGTCTATCCGTCAAAGGTCAGACCACACAATCAGCATCATTACATTCGCCCAGCATCGGAGATGAAGTACCGCAGTCCAGAGGCCACCTTAAACAGAAGACAGTCAGCCTGCTCACTCGTAGCCCCTGGAGATCAGAGTTCCGACAAGGCTTTCCAGGACCCTTTTCAGAAGACATACAGTGGGGACTTGCTCAAGAAACATTCACAACACTTTACCCAGGATAAACCGTTCACTCCTAAGACCCTAAAGTCAGACAAGAGTTCATATCTGTCAAAATATCGCTACTACAGAGCACCACTGTGGAAAACTAATGAGAATGCCACTACATCTAGATTGCTGCGACAGGAGACTTACCATGGAAGGTGATTATTAAACATGTCATTTGAAGAAGCGGTAACTATGTGTCTTTGAAACCATGTCATTTGCAGCAACTGTTTAATACTACTTTCTTGTTTTTGCAGCACAAAAACCAAGGAAAACATACAGGAATTATATTCATCAGATCAGGTGATTTTAGTTTTGATTAAGAAAAATGTTGCAGTTGACCCAAAAACACTGATGTCCTAATGTGTTTTCATTTCAAAGCTATGAGTTTAATTGTGATAATGCATTAAGACTTTATAACTTGTAAAGCTTTAAGTATTTGACAGCTGTGAATAAGTTCAGTACCTGTTCTCATTCTATAGTCATTTTCATTTGACAGGGGTTTAATACTGAGCGTGAGTGGTCTGAGGATGGTTTCAGTGCCGCACGTCTCTCAGCAGCCAGTCGGGCAAACAAGAGCAGAGATGATTCGTTCACCTCATCCAGGTAAAGTCACAAAGATGAAGAACTTTCTTGCACTTTAAGCATAAAAGAATACCTTAAATAATGCAAATTACAACTTTTAGGGTGTCACCAGAAAGAGAGAAATCTCCTTCTATGAAGAATATAACCTCAGAGTAAGTTGTTTTTATATTCTATTTAGTGCTAATATAGCTTCTAATTGACAGTCAAAAACTAGGTATTTACAGATTTTTTAGTGCAATGTATCACCACAATCACGATAACCATCTCATACACATTTTTTTTTATAGAGAAGAAGAACTGATGTATCTAGAGTTCATCTCTGGTGTCACAGAGGATATCTTGAACAGAGCACACATTTCTGATAGGTTTGTATAGATGCTACAGGTCTATGTTATGCGTTTGCTCATCTCTGAGAAAATTATTCACCAATAGATCATGCCTATAACTCAGTGTCTTTGTCCTCTAAAAGGGTCTTGGATCGGGTGATGGAGCGACATATTGACATGAATCGGCATTATCTTGATGAAGTGTGTATAAAACTGCAAATTTCCAAATGTTTTCAAACAAGTCAGAAATGAATGAAAAGTTTCTAAAACCCTTTCTCATGCATCTGATTGTTTCGTTTGATTAAAGGGTAAAATGCGCCACCTTCTGGAGCTGCTGCGTAAAGAATTTGAGGAGCCAACCAGCACATCCCACACTGGAACAGAGCCTGAAAAAGAGGAAATTGGGCTGTTCGACGCCCTCCTACCACGTGTGGAATCAGAGAGGGAAGAGGCCAAGACTGAAGATGACCTGTTTCTTTATGAGTCATTAAGGAAAAAGTACAATTTGCCTGAGCTTTCTGATTCTTTGTTGATGTCGCCACCCTTGTGCTCTTCTGAAAAGTCTGCATCACCACCCGAAACAAATGGCATAGATGGTGAAAGTGACAACTTCAACGAAAGTATTAATACCTCTTGGCTCAGTGAGCAAGTTCCCGATAATGCAGCACTTACAGAAGAGGACTTCCATCAAAACCAAACAGACAAAACTGCCTTTAATGAAGAAATCAGCAATGACAGCCAAGAATGCAACTCTGAAAGCAGTGACAAAGCATATCCTGAGGACATGGCTGAGGGCAAGCACAGCGGACAATCAGAAGAGCTTGATGATCTGGGAAGAAGTTTGTCAGAGTCACTTCACGTGTCCAGTAGTATACAACACAACAACCTGGAGACTACTGAGCAACACGTGAACACAGCTGCATCTGTCAGTGATGATGAGTTCTAACTTTTGCTGCATTCAGGGACTGTTGTTACTGTTTTGTTACTGAGAGTGTTTTTATAGAGAGAACTTTCAGAGTACAGTTTTCTTAATGTGATTGTACTCTCATTTTTCTTACAACTTACCCATTGTAGTTGTGACCTTTTTATGTCTTTACAAGAGCACAATGTAAAAGGTTCTGCAAGTGTATCACAGTCTTCTTCATTTTCTTTTCAGGGATGTCACAAAGTTAGTAGATACTTGAGCCATAGTCATGGAGCCTGAAGGTACTGCTCCAAAATATGTTATTCTTTGCCAGATGGTGATTATTAGCAAATATAGAAGGAATACATAGCACTGAACTGATGTCTAGAACTATTAATTTAATCTAGTTTGGATAAAATGAACAGAAAATGGTGTTAGTGTCAGTGAATGTTTACTAAATAAAATCTCTTCTAAATCTCTGTTTAGATTGAGATATTCCTGACATCAAGATACACTCATTTTTGGTTTGTTTGTTTGTTTTACTGTCACCAGAATGTGTCTTTACAACTGCAATAAATTATCAATTCACTGTTTCTTGGATATCATGACTAGTTTTATTTTCAAACTTGTGTTATTAATATGCTATTGGCCTGGAAATGAAGTCGCACCTAAGGGTCTCCTCTTCAATCTTGCAAAGTACTGCAGAAAAAAAAAGTCTTGCACAATTGCACAATATTCTGGGTTAGCGATCACAGCTGTTAGTTGATGTGAAAAGGTAAACAGCCGGGTCAGCGGCCAGCAGCTCCAGGCAGCTGTTCCGTTTCTGGCATTTTCACCGCTCGGCATTCCAGCTGCCTGATGTCATGGGTCCCGAAAACCTCCATGTATTCCTCCGCCACATGGGCACTATAATTCATTTTGAAAGGTCTGCTCAAGACATTATGGCGATGTAAATGTTTTTCCTTCAAGTCATTGGACTGAAAAGGTAAAGTCTATATACTATGGTTGCTATATTTCCTCAAGAGCACAGTTTATAAAGTTCTAGCGCCGCGGATGTAGACACTTGTTGCTCCTCCAATCCCAGGAAGCGAAACACGCTCGGTACTTGAGTGAACTGTCGGACCAAGAGGCATGGAGTACAACATTAGTTTGGATCCAAAAACAAACCACAGACGACCCAGCTGTCTTCCTTACCAACAAATTTCTTAAACATAGATGTACTTTAAGCTTTATGGCGGATACGCTCGGGAGCGAAACGTAGCTGGACTACTGCTGTGCATATGGCGGCTAACGGTAACGTTGAGGTCTTTGCCCAAAATATTTACCGGCGACGTCAGCTTCCCAAAAGGTGCCGTCTATTTGCTGGAACATGAGTTAGCAAACTAGCATCGAAGCTAATTTTAAGCCAGTTGAATAAGCGAATATTGTCTAGTAACATGCTTTCTATATCAGTAAGAAGTTTTTAAGCAAACCAGTTGAATGGGAAACATTTTGATCCAAGTTTTCCAGAGCGTAGATGTGATATAAAGTTATATGTGAAGTTTATAAACTGTGTATAAAGGGATTGCTTGTTGACGTGGATGGCAGCAGGGATTTTGCAGTGTCGGGTCTGGTAGTGGAAGTCTGTTTTGCACTGAATCAGGTCGCACTTGTCAGTGTTTGGACCAGACTATGATCTGGTGTGGGATTAATCCAACCACAAGCTCGAAAAATGGCTACTGGCGATGCCCAGAAAACACAAAGTGAACACCTCAGGTGGCTTACTCCACAAAGACAATTTGAAGTGTGTTGAAAACTTAAAAAATCATTCTGAAAAGGCACCACATTTGCGTTTTATAAGTTTCTTCATCCACCTGGTGAATGTTTTGTTGTATGATGTTAAGAGCATCTTGTCTCTGCTTTCAGATCCATGATGTACTCCACTGTCATTAATATTCACCTAATTTCTGAGGGGGCAACGAGGAAGATCATTTCTGTCGACTAAGTGAAGACCTCCCCTCCCCTCTCCTGAAGAAGTGTGAAACATGCCCCTGCCATTTGGCTTCAAACTCAAAAGAACTCGAAGGTATACTGTTTCAAGCAAGAGCTGTCTTGTCACTCGGATACAGCTGCTCAATGGAGAGTTTGTTGAGTTTACGCTTTCAGTGGAGAGCACGGGACAGGAATGTTTGGAGGCAGTTGCTCAGAGACTTGAGTTAAGAGAGGTATGTATGGTTTTTCATTCAATACAAACACTGCTTGATCTCTCCCACAGGTTTCATGTGGAGATACCACGCTAAAATGTGTGTGCGAAGTATCGGCCTCTACATAGCTTGGTCAGTTTGGTTAAGAAAAGGAGCTGTGAGTCAGGATTGACTAGTACACTATGTTGTCATGTCTGTATTCGGTCACCGTTTGTCACACAATGACAACAACTGTTAGTTTTCAACTGATGTAAGCCTGAATGCCGTCACACTGAATTGCACCACAATCAACAGAAGAGACTGCTGAATGTGCAGGCAATCAGGCAGATGAACTTAGTGCATCATGCAGCAGAAAAACAGACGCTGTCCATTGGCTAACGCTTTATTTGTCATTTGTCTGGCTAGCAGTGTAGGTGCAAGTTACAGGCCTCCACCCTCATTCAGGGTTTTTGTAGTATGCGGCAAGCAATACAGTTGTGTTTGTTTTTAATGTCACCAGGTGTGTTTGTGTAATCATTTTCTTTGCCATGGATAACAGAGAGTCGATGCAGCAAAATACACAGCTGCACTGCTGGTTGCATGATTTCCCTAAAGATCCTTGGTTTGAAGATCTATTTTAATTCGATTACCAACAACAGTGATGGAATCTCAGTAGAAAAAATGATCAGTTTTAATTTATCTTGATGCCTTTATGCTTTTTGTTATTATGTTCTGTGCTCCAGATCATTTTTATTCCATATAGCTACAAAAAAAGAAAACAGTCGATTAAAGCTTACATAACATCTACATATGGTTATCATGTGTTAATGGTGATGTTGGCCATCTTCAACTTGTGGTTTGAGAAAGGTTGCATACCACAATAGAGCTCTTTCAGTTTAATGTGGGTCCATTGTGAGCTATCAGTCAGTCACAAGACTAGACAAGGAGTTCCCACAGGACTAGAGAAGTTTACAATGGTGAAAATTCAAGGTCTGTATGTCCAGGTGTGTTCTGAATATCATGTATATCTATGAGTGTTTTGACTCACTGACGGCTAACAGACTTTTTATGGGATATATGAATGAGTAAACATCAGCTGAGCTCAGACAGTTAAGTATAGTAGGGACTTTTTTTTTGTCTTTTAATCACACCCTGATGTATGTGTCGCTTCCTTTGCTCAGATAACATACTTCAGCCTGTGGTACTTCAACAAGCAGAACCAGCAGAGATGGATCGACTTGGAGAAGCCGCTGAAAAAGCAGCTGGACAAGTATGGGCTGGAGCCCACCGTTTACTTTGGAGTCGTGTTTTACATACCCAGTGTCACCCAACTGCAACAGGAGATCACAAGGTGACATGAGGGGTCTTGTCTGAGCTTTCAACCTTGGTCTCTCCGCAGATATTAATCTTCACGAATTGCGGTTAAAAATTGAATTAGACTGGCAATTTTTTTCAAAAAAGCCCTCACTGATCAGGAAGTCATGGACTAAGCTTAGACTCAGAGCTCTACCTCCTGAATTAGTTTGTAGAGATGTCTTCCTGTATGTCTCCATTCTATACTTGTATCTAGCAAGATTGTTTAATTGATCATGAGTTATCCGGATGCCCCCTTATTCAAGAAGATTAACCCTATTATGACTGGTCAGCTGTTTCTGCAGACCTGGACTAAGCTGTTATACTTGGTTGATAGCTGCTTGTTTTCCAGTTCTGAGCAACTTTGAATTTCTCCCCAGATATCAGTATTACCTGCAGCTCAAGAAGGACGTTTTGGAGGGAAGGATCTCGTGCTCACTCGAACAAGCTATTCGTTTGGCTAGCCTGGCAGTGCAAGGTAATACAAATGTGTATGTATATGCAATATTTCAGGGTTTTTCTTCGGTCAAGAGGCCTGTGCCAGTTCATTTAGGTTTTCTATTGGTATTTATAAGCACATTTAAACCCCAAGCAGGCATATGAATGTGGTCAGGGGTGTGTGTTTATGTGTAAATGTGAACTCCCCTTGTTTAAGCATGTCCTCCACTTCTATCCCAGCCTGAAGAATCTCAAACACTGCTGGCAAAGTTATATCAGGCACTGCGACTTACTGGCCTGGGTGTTGGCATAGCAGAGCTGCTGAGATCACTTACCGCTGCAGCGCATGTTCATATGACTGACCAACATGTTGTGTGTGCATTGTTGGGACACACTGAGAAATAGCTTGTAGTTACCTCTGAGATGCAGCGCAGACGTTGTCATGCAGATTTGGCATTTACGCTTTAAATAAAGTTGTTTGCTTCCTAGTTTGTGTCCCTGGCATGGTATGGAGAAAAGAGCGTCAGTTTGAGCTGATGCCAGGGATGCCCAACATTGTTGTGGATGTTGCCAGCAGGGAAGACTAAAGCTGGTACCAGTTTTGGACTACGTAGTCAGACACTGAAGCAATTCCTTTTCATAACCCACAGGCCCTGTCTCTTCTAAAATTAGTCGACATTTCTTTCCAACAGCCATTTCAACATTCAGTCATTCTTGGATGTCTGTTTTACCTTTTGCCAAATACAGTCAAGACTGTCAAAGTACGCATGAGCACATAATAAGGTTTATTTAGGGCGCTGTATCATCCAGAGAATGGTTTTCAAAATCTCTAACCTGGTGTGTCGTCTTTTTGGTCTACAGCTGATTTTGGAGACTTCAACAGATATGATTCTCAGGAGTTTCTTCAGAAGTTTGTCTTGTTTCCAATTGTAAGCATTCTGTTACCAACAAATGAAATGGAAAAAAAAACAAACATTGGTAATATTTCTGTCTTTGTTCAATGCCAGCACTGCATCAATTCTAACCTTTTCTTTTTCTAGGATTGGATCCAGGATGAGAGAGTTCTGGAGGAGGCCACTCAGAAAGTGGCTCTTCTGTATCAGTCCTTCAGGTGAACAGCTTTTCAAAACTTCATCCTGCATGTTCTGTGTGTTGATCAGTGATAGCTGTCAGTATTGCACGTTTAAATGTGCTCTTTTTGCATCTATTTTGCCAAGTCACCTTTTTTTATGAATGTAATCTGGATTACTTTGAACCAGGGGGAGGTCAAATTTAAACCTGAGTTTTATTTACTCTTGAGCAGGCGAGTACAGCCTGGCTTTTGTAAAGACAGCTCTATCTATGAACTGCATCCACTGTGTCTCTTTTTTATGAAATATTATGACCCTGGAATGACTGTCTTGATCAGCTTTGTTAAACGCTGCCATGTTGCTTGTTTTAGGACTGCTCTTGTTTTGTTTCCAGTGCTAAAAGTATTTACCCTTCTGTTCATTCAGAGGTTTATCGGCTCCTGAGGCAGAGATGTTGTACATGCAGGAGGTTGAGAAAACGGAGGGCTACGGGCAGGAAAGCTATCAAGCCAAGGTAGGTTGACCAGGTCCAGCCTGGGGTCTCAAACATCCTGTGTGTTGACAAAGTTCCTCACAAAACTACACATTGAGGAAGTATAAGGTATAAAAAGGTCTTGATGCGTTTATTTAAGACCCTGTTTCTAAAGTCTGGCCTCTCTTTTTGTCTTAATAGGATAGCACAGGCACTGATGTTAGCCTGGGATCCTGTCTGGATGGCATCTTTGTTAAGCATAAAAATGGCAGACCACTGACTCTCTTCAGGTAAGAAATCAACCGTAAAATTGAAAAATGTAACTTTGACTGTTACAGCGAAGGCTAAAAGTGCTGATATAGATCTTCTGCTTAATATTAAGACCTACCACACTCATTTTCATATTTCCTTATATCAGTATGGGACACCTATAGAGTAGCTTGTTATGATTTGCAGCATCTTTCTTCTAGTGTCATCTGTGCAAACCCTTATTAAGTACTGTTCAGCGTCTGTGTGAAGCCCTTGGTTTAGGCGGCTTTAATTTCCAGCGATAGAAAGTGATTTAGTCAAGTGGTTTCTGATCGTAAATATAAATCCCGTTCAGTATTTATCATCTCGAGTCAGGGCGGTTCTGATCGTCCTTCTTCCTCAAGATTATCCTTGAAAGTGTCTGATAATGAGGCCTTTCCTGACTTTTGTTTGAAGGAGGACTCAGGCCCATAATTGTCATGCTTATCTCACAGTGTGTACCCAGCTTAACTTCCCGAGACAGACTGAGTCAAGATGTTGCAGAATGGAGGAGGAGGACAAACGGTGAAACAGACTCTCTTGCCTCCCGGTGGGCATGTCTCTGGCAGCTGTTGGGTGGCCTCGTCCTTTAGCACAATCTGATGTCAGGCATAATAGGTGTCCTGTAATACAAAGCCTTAAGAAAGCTTTGTCCGCTTACTGTGGACACTGAGCAGCAATAAAATTGAATTTGATGACTCTGATCAAGTCTCTGATTGAGCACGGCTCACAGCTGCTCTTCAGCAAGGCTGTCCTTTATAATATTCTGCAATCCTTGGCAGACATGAATGTGCCACAGGAGGAAATGAGTCAGGTAGACTTTGAATGCCGAAAAGAACCGAGGGACCATTATCTACCGGTCTGATGTTCTTGAACTCAGCTGAACTCCATCTCCATCTTATTACGAGTGCCCACAAGTGTATGGTTTTTATGATGCATTGTTAAGTGCAGCAGTCTGTTAAAAAAAGGTTTCATGACTGCGATGACATCATGTGTTTTTTTTTTTTCTCCCCCCTCTCTTTATGCCGCTGCGTTTAAATTGGCCGTGTAGGTGGAATGAAATTAACAACATGAGTCACAACAGGTCTTTCTTTGCCCTGGAGCTCACCAACAGAGAGGAGAGTGTTCAGTTCCAGACCGTAAGTCTCAGCTGCCTCTGCACCTTCTTCCCCTGGGACATTTCAGCCTCTTATTGGATTTGGGGGAAATTGGAAATTACCTTTTATTGTGAAGTGTACCATCAGCAAGTCTTAACAATGCACCTATGTTTATAAGGATGAGGCTGTGTGTGCGGGTCCTAAAGTTGTTGACAATTAGAAACTCAATGTAAAAGCAAACTCAACTCTGTTTGTCTTGATTGTCATACCATCTAATGATTGTGTTCTCTACTCCCTTGTGTGTAGGAAGACATGGAAACCTCCAAATATGTGTGCCGGATGTGTCTGGCCAGACTCAAGTTTTATAAGATAAACAAGAGTAGCCTGTAAGTTTATTTTTTCTTCTGAACAAGTCTAGCCTAGTTCCTGTCCCTTTGTTCTTTGTTGTCTCATGCATGCCTCTCTCTCTGGTGTAGCCTCACCTCTATCCTCCTCTCCTCCTCTCTCTTCAGAGAGGAGTGTGACCCCCTGCCCTCTGAGGTCTCCCAGAAGTCCCTTCTCACTTTATCTTTTCCTCGCTTTCCAATGCTCTCTCGTCACTCTCTGCCTTCTAGTAAGGGGTGAGCAACACTGTCAGCCACCACCTACATTATTCCCTCAAAGCTGACGCTAACTTTGGTGCTCCCAAGCACAGAAAAACAGACTCTGTCGTGAAAGGAAGATAAAAATTTGTGGTGAATTACCCTAAAAATATAAGAAATTCATCTACTTTGGTCATCTTTACTCTGTCATTACAATCTTTCACCTAGTATCTCATAGTCCTGTAACTCATTAGTGTGTGTGTTTTGTCTTGGTTGGCATTGGCCTGTCACCAGAGATGGATATGACAGCTCAGTGTTTGTTTTCTGCTGATTTAAAAGTGTTTTACACCAGGATTAAATATTTGGCCAGATTCTTAGTCAATCATCTTATTTCCTCTTTGATTTAATATCTCCAAATCCAGACCAGCTTTTTTCACAAGTGCTGAATCTTGATACGATTGAGTTATTTCAAGGCTTCATTTAAGGCAAATTTGTTTTGGGGTTTCCAGTAAACTGCACCTAAATTAAAAAAAAAAAAAAGGTCAAGTGTTATTCAAGAAGATGTGAGTGACTAGTTTGACATTGTTTGGAAGAGGATTAAAAGAGACGGTGTTTTCTAACAGGTCTCTCTTTTTTTTTTCCTTCAGCCAAAGCCAGCCCACGGTTGTCAACCCCGTCAGACGGAGATCCTCCACTCGGATATCTCTGGTAATGTCTTCCCAGCTTCATAGTTTGTTCTTTTCCTCTGGTCCTTTGAGTTAAACTGAGTCTCGTTTTTACCTGCAGCCAAAGCCTCAGGGCTACATGATGCCACCTCCACAGATGCACTACAATGGCCATTTTACAGAGCCTTACACATCATCACAAGGTAAGACCGGTTACAAGCATGTGTAGCCACAGTGTCAACAGGTGGAGGAGGTGGAATGTATTGAATTTAAGATTCAGATATTTTGCTCTTTCTGCCCTCGGTTTAATATTTACCTCTTTTCTTGACACCTTACTCGCTCTAAAACATGCAACAAATATGTTTTCTTTCTTCCAGACAACCTGTACATGAACAATCAGAATGGTTATTACTACCACTCCCAGACCAGCCTGGACTGCTCTCCTCTGGAATACAGCAGCGGAGGGCGCTTACGCAACGGCAGCGTGTACAGCGCTCACAGCACCAGTTCTCTAACCAATCCTCAGCACTACCTTCAGCCCTCACCCATGTCCTCCAACCCCTCCATCACCAGTGACATCACCAGACCGGACTACATCCCCTCTCACCGCCACAGTGCTCTGATACCACCCTCCTACCGTGCCACGCCTGATTACGAGACAGTGATGCGCCAGAAGACCAGAGGAGGGATGGTTTTGTCTCAGGAGCACCGGCAGAGCCACTCAATGAGAAACCTGAACATAGGGAACTCATACGCCTACAGTAGACCGGACCCCCTGGTTTACAGCCAGCCAGAGATCAGAGGGGAGCACGGTGGAGCAGCTCCACAGCACCACTATCCGTTCCATCTGGGCTCCAGCTTTCACAGCCCCTCTCCGTACCCCTACCCTGTCGAGAGGAGGCCTGTGGTGGGGGCGGTGAGTGTGCCTGAGCTCACGAATGTGCAGTTACAGCAGGCTCAGGAGTATCCGGCCCCGAACATCATGAGAACACAAGTGTACCGACCACCACCGCCCTACCCATACGCCCATCCTCGGCCCGCTAACAGCACACCCGACCTGTCGCGTCACCTTTATGTCAGCAGCAGCAACCCAGATCTGATCACCAGACGTGTGCATCACTCTGTCCAGACTTTCCAGGAGGACAGCCTTCCTGTTGCGCACTCTTTACAGGAGGTGTCAGAACCCCTTTTTAGCGGACCCCCACACAGACACCCATACCACGCTCAGAAACGGAACTCCATCGAGATCGCAGGATTAGCTCTAAGCCTGGAGGGAATGAGAGTCAAAGAGCGGACTGTATCTTCCTCCGCAGCTGAACCCGCCACTCCTCCTCCTGCGGTGCGCGGCGGTCCTTCTCAGAGTTCGCAACTGAACGTGTTACTGGAGCGTGCCAAGACGGAGGACAGGGGTGGCATCAAGGAGGACTTACAGTACGGACACAAAAAGTCTCTCTCAGACGCCACCATGCTGGTTCACAGTAGCGCCGAAGAGGAGGAGTTTGAGGAGGACAGCGGGCGCCACACGCCACTTTCTCAAGATGTAGTAGCAACTCTTCCCGAGCAGCAGCCGCAACCGCATCACAGCCTGACCTCTCTCTCCTCTCTGACTCTTCAGCAGCAGACTCCCATTGAACCGCCTCCTGCATATCCCATAGGCTCCTCTCTTGACCCCGCCATAACCAGCTCCCTGTCCTACAAGGTTCACCCCCTGATTCAGGAGAATGAGGCTCTGTGCCTCTTATCTGATTTAAGACCGCCCAGGATTATGCCCTCTGTCTCTGAGGGAGACCTGAGCGGGCAGGCCAAGCAGAAGGCAAAGAAAGACTTCAAGAAGAGGCCTGTTTCAGACGTGCCTGCTGGGAAGAAAACTGTGGAAGGTCTGCCCCCTCCGGTGAGTCTTACTCGATCTCTCCTTGGCTTTGAGTGATTTTTCCGACATCTGACTTTGACATATTCACACACAACGTTCGGGACTTTTTCACATACAAGTCAAAATTCATCTTCCAGTGTGGTTACAAATGCTTCTGCTTTAACAGTGGTTAATTTTCTCATTGGAGGACATTATCATGCCAATCCTTGTACACTCTTTTGTAATTATCCAGCTCATGAAAGATTATAAAGGGCTAGGTTGATGATCTTGACAGGCCAGACGTGTAAGAGGGCTTCGGCTTGAATAGTTCTGAAAACAAACTTTAAGTAATGAATGAAAAAAAGATGTTTAAACATGTTTAATTGTTTATTGGTGACGTTTAATCACGCTCTAGTTTCACTTTTCTCTTTAGCTGAACTTGTCTCTTTGCAGACCCTCGTCTTTGTCTTAAACACTGCATGTTTGGCCCTCTGTCAAGATCACATGAGCATGACGTCTTTCACAGACAGTCTCAGTCTGACACATGTCCGAAAAATGCCGTTCGGCTTACTCTGAGAAAACCGGACAGGTGACATTCTTTCAGGAAGCACGGAGCGAGGCTGCGCGGTCCCTCCCCTCCTTTGCACCTGCTCCCTCTCCGTGGGGCTTGCACACAATCATCCTTACTTTTTCCTTCCCTACATCCACTCTTTTGTCATACTAGGGCATGAGGAAAGGAGCCAGATCAGAGGTGAAGAAGATGGGCCCTCTGAAGGTGGCCCACCTCAACGGCCTGTCCGTGTCAAGGCAGCCATTGTACGACGAGGTCAAGGACGAGCCTGAACGAGCCTCCAATGACGAGAGAGTAAGAGCTTTTGGTTTGTTTGCTCCTTGAAAAGTGGGTTTTTGATGTATTACCTCTGCTTATTGTCAGACACTTCCTTGTTGTGTTTATAAATGAACTTGTTTTAGATGTTAGACCTTGTAAGCAAAGCATAAATGAAGGAGAAAGAGTTAGTCAATAATACGGTAACACACAGAACTGCTGGTCTGCTTTCTTCACGGTGATTCTTGCAGCTTTGACAGTGAGGGTAAATTCCAGACACCCCCTTCATTAGCTGTAAAACCATCAAGCTGTCACTGTGTTTGACATCCACACAGATATTATCAAACAAGACGCGGGTTCTTAGAGTACATATTTAAAGAGAAACCCACTGCGTGTTGACTTTTAGACACGTTTGTGTGCTTCTCTATTTGTTTTGCACGACTCTTTCTTTCATCATGCAAATTATGACTTTGGTTAAATGAATGCATCTCACCGTGGTGCTTTGATAATCCAGAAAAAACAACACCATGAGGTGCTGTACATTTGTAGTTTAAGGGAGAGCTTGTCTGTGAGGTACATCCTGGTACAACACCCTTTGTTCACCAGAGTTTACAGTAAACTTGGTCCTCATGGTGCAAGTGCCAGCCAAAATATTTCTGTAGAAAAGGAAAGTTGAGTTTAAACAAGCTGCTGCTGAGTGTTCATGAACTCTCTTTACCTAAATCTCTGTCCCCGCTGTTTGAGATCGACCAATTCTAACACTTTACATCCGTGACAGTGATGTACAGTACAGGCCAAAAGTTTGGACACACTTTCTCATTCAATGTCTTTTCTTTTTTTTTTTTTTTTACATTGTAGATTGTCACTGAAGGCATTAAAACTATGAATGAAAACATGTAGAATTTTGTACTTATAAAAAAAGTGTGAAATAACCGAAAACATGTTTTATATTCTAGTTTCTTTAAAATAGCCATCCTTTGCTCTTGATGACAGAAGTACCTTGTCAGGGTTACTTCAGTCACTCCTGTGAAGTAAAAACCATTTCAGGTGACTACCTCATGAAGCTCATTGAGAGAACAGCTCAAGTTTGCAGCGCTATCAAAAAAGCAAAGGGTGGCTACTTTGAGAAATCTAAAATCTAAAACATGTTTTCAGTTATTTCACACTTTTTTCTTAAGCACATGATTCCACATGTGTTCATTCATAGTTCTGAGAATCTACAATTTAAATAGTAATGAAAACAAAGAAAATGCATTGAATGAGAAGGTGTGTCCAAACTTTTGGCCTGTACTGTACGTCGTATTTCTTTTTCTGCGTGTTAGTGTAAAGTGCTGGAGCAGCACATGGAGCGGGGAGAGCTGCTGAAAGAGTACGAGAGTATCCCGAAGCGGCGTCCCTCAGGGGAATGTACCATCGCCCAGCAGCCTGAGAGCGCGGACAAGAACCGTTTCCAGGACGTCATGCCTTACGACGACACCCGAGTGGAGCTGGTTCCCACTAAAGAGAACAACACAGGATACATCAATGCATCACATGTCAGAGTAAGTTGAGCACTGATGGATGTGACTGTTAAAAAAATGACCTTTCCGAACATTGAAGTTGATCTAAAACTGCAGAATTTCCTCAGACGGGACCAGACATGTGTCACAATGTTTGATGATAGTCACAGTAGTTCAGACTAAACCGAGCTGCTTCATTAACACATTTAATGCTGTTGACTTTTGTAAACGCCACCCCTGTCTCATTAGATCACAGTGAGTGGACAGGAGTGGAGCTACATCGCCACACAGGGTCCCATGTCAAACACGTGTCAGGACTTCTGGCAGATGGTGTGGGAGCAGGGTGTCTCTATCATCGCCATGGTAACCGCTGAGGAGGTGAGCTATTGTAATGCATCTATAACTCCCATCTTTTAATGTCGACTTGCTATCTGAGATCCTCACCTGTTTGTATGTCACATGTTTTCTCCAGGAGGGGGGCCGGGAAAAGAGCTTCCGATACTGGCCCCGGCTCGGCTCACGACACAACACAGTGACCTACGGGCGTTTTAAGATCACCACACGGTTCCGCACAGAGTCGGGCTGCTACGCCACCACAGGGCTGAAGATCAAACACCTCCTAACAGGCCAAGAAAGGACTTTGTGGCACCTGCAGTACACAGACTGGCCAGATCACGGCTGTCCCGAAGACTTCAAAGGTTTCCTCAGTGAGTGGGAGCAGCATCAGTTTATCCTTCTATGAGCACCAAACTGAAATCTCAAAGTCTTCCTGGCATACTAAGAAGTTTCTAATGAATTCTCTGACGTTACAATGTTTTTCCAGCCTACCTGGAGGAGATCCAGTCTGTCAGGAGACACACAAACAGCATCAGTGACCCAAAGAACACAAACCTCCCTGTCCTGGTCCACTGCAGTGCTGGAGTGGGGCGGACTGGGGTGGTCATCCTGTCTGAGATCATGATCGCCTGTCTAGAGCACAATGAGGTAACTTTTTTTTTCCTTCAAAACGGAAATGTCCAAAGTGAGATGACACGCCCCTGCTTCGCAACAGGCACTGACCAGTTGCACGAGTTTGACGTGCCGTTCTTATCACGAACCAAAACACACTTCCACTTTCACCTGTTGGTAAAATGGCAAAGATCCTTCTGGTCAATCCAGTTTACAGCCCAACAGCTTCTTGTGTGAGATTGAAGCGGACTGTCAAGGTTGTAAAAGATGATTAGTCACTCTTTTTGGCTACCCGCGTTCCTTTGTAATCTGTTAATAAGCTGCAGGAGCCGCCTCTGTTAGCCTTAGTGAAGGTGACGCAGAAATGTGCCTCCAGAACCGCAATCAGATGAGCGCAGCATGTGGTGAAGCGGCTACAGGCGTGCCTTTCCACCGACAAACTGACCGTCTAGCAGCAGGAGCTAATGTCCTAGTTGCTTATGGATACATGTTAAATGAAAGACTGTGATTGGGTTAATCCATCTGCCATGGCTGGGAAAACATTTAGAAAGACAGCATCATTAAGTGAAAGTGAGTATGTGCTGGCTGTCGGGGTTGTAAATCAGGGCGATTTTTCTAAAGTTTCGCAGACTGTGTGTCCACTTCTGATCAATCAGATTTCGTGTTGTTGCGACGTCAGATTCACCGGTATATCCAACATGGCCAACAGGCTGATCGTTTACGTGTCAGAGAACAGAGTGCTTTTTGATAAAAAACACAAACATTACAAAGATAACGACCTGAAGGATGGTTTGTGTGCTTCAACAGTTTGCTAAACGTCTTTGTTTTAACTTTCATCTGTGCAAATCTGTTCAGATACAACATACCATATGTATTTTCACTGTCTCAAACTCAGTAGCGTTGCTGTCACAGCCTTGTTAGGTCTCAGTTGTTACCTTACGTTTATGGATTATAGTTTAATGTGCTTATCTGGTACTGACTCAGTACATGCTATCATGACAGACAGACATCTCAACGCTAGAGTCTGATCAGAACTGAAAAACAGTCAGTCTGCTGTTGTGTCAGTCATCTCGCTTCCATTCGGGACGCGTCTTTTTTCCCCCCGGAAAGTCGCAAAATCACATCGAGCTTAATGTGTATAGTCAGGCGCGTCAAAATTCGCCTCCAAATAATTCGTAATATGGTCACCCTAAAGGTCCCGGTGTGTAAGGACCTTTAGGGTGACCATATTCTGACTTCTTCCCCGAAAAAAAGGACAGGAGCTTTTCAGGTCACATCGAGTGCCTTTTATGCACTTCTAACTCAGTAAGTCCACGTGACACAAAATTTAAATTTATGTACAAAACCGCAGACATTTGAAAAATTTTATAAACTTCTCCAGTCAAACCCGGACAGCCCCCAAAAAAAGAGGACATGTCCGGGTAAAAGAGGATGTATGGTTACCCTATTGTAAATCTCAGGTTAGCCAATCTTGGTGTCAAAGCCCCTTTTTTTAGAGCATCAAAAAAAAAAAAAACTGAAACTATGTTAGAAAAATGGTTTAATTTCTCCTATCTGGAATCTGACTTTGCAGCTTACACTGCAGCCGGTCCAAATGTTTGGTTTCACTTTTGGAAAGCTGTAGCGTCATCCACCTCTTCACACTGTCGATAAAAAAACAAGCTTTGTTTCTTTCCAGGCGCTGGACGTTCCAAAATTCCTGCTGAGGCTGCGCGCTCAGAGGATGATGATGGTTCAGACGTTGGCTCAGTACACCTTCATCTACAGGGTCCTCATCGAATACCTCCGTAACTCAAGGCTCATATGAGTTCAACTGCTGGTTGTGGCTGATTACTCCCTCATTACAGCTGAGTGTAGGACGGAGTTCCCTGCAGGTTCATACCAAACTGCTCTGTGGTGATGCAGCTTTGTAAACCTCTGGAGTCTGTTTGTGAAGGTGTTCAAACAAAGCTGAAGGATTGAGGTGTGGATATTTAAGAATGAAGTGATACCACATGAAGGAGCACAGAGACACATGACCTTCCTCTAAACAGTATTATATATATTATTTTTTACATACATTATTGCTTGATTAAAGCCAGCACTTTTACAGTACTTTGCAGTATATATGAACCAATTTTAAGCTGCATTGTCAAATCTTTAATAATAGGGTTGTATCAGAAACAGTTGTATTTTTAATGGACAAAAGTCACTTTTTAATTCAATGTTTTGGGACTGCTGTTTGATTGGTTCTGATGAGAATGAAGGAGTTTTCTAGTAGAATGATCCCGTGGATGAAGTTCTGGAAATAGATTGTTTCATGAAGGTGTGATCGCAGAGCCGAAAGCTCAGAAGGTTGTTCTATTACGTGGCACAAACGGGTTCGATCCTGCACGCAAGTCAGGAATACAGAGTATTCTGCTGTTATCTTTTCTGTATTTAACTATTCAACTTTCCTTTTGACAGCAAAAATACATTTGTCCTTGAAGAGAGCTAACCGATATAAAAACACTGGATTGATGAGAGAGCACAAGTCTCAGACATGTAGAATTGAAGAATCTGAATGACTGAGGAGGTTTTCTGTCGGGGGTTAAAACTGGATAAGTTATTTGACACTTTTCCTCACTTTGAGTGTTGCAAAGGAAAAAAAGTCGGTATGATTTTAAAATACTTCTTCAAAACAAAGTGCCTAAATATCTGCCTTATGAAGCTGACAAGGATGTGTATTCTGCATCATATGAAGGAACTTTTTTTAGTCATTTATTGCTTATTTGATTGCAGTGATTTGTGTTTATTAAAGTCAATCAAAATATTGGAGACCAATCCCTGCATAAAGCAGAAGGATTGCAAACAGACGTAATCGTAATAATATTTGGAGCATTTGTAGATGTGTTAAGCTGAGGTAGTAGTTTTTGTTTTGTACAGAGAATCAGTTTGACAGTATTCATGTGTAACTGTGCTGGCTGTGGTGCTTAGTGCGAAGCAGAGATAGTGAAAGACGGACCATCTTTTAAGTATCCTGTCTGCCACACATGCTTTGAATCCCTGATGTTAGAGCCACCTGACTAGACCTGAGTGCCTCCACGCTTTCTGTTTCCCCGCCGCTGCTGCTGCTGCTGCTAAGGTCATTTGAAGGTTCCTCTTTGCAGATATAATGCTTGCAGGCATTGCAAAGTTTACATGTACAAATAACATATCTTTATCGCAGTAGCGCCAGCTTTATAATTTGGCCAAAGTGAAGTCTGTCTTACCTTGAAGTTTCTGCTTGTCGCTCAAAAATGAGGTCTTGACTGATGTTAAGGCTTATCTTTATTACTGGATCCTTTCAGTGGCCCACATGAATTTGCTTCAGCGTTTGTTTTTGGTTCTAAGATGCTGATTGAGTCTTATTCTGGAGAATGGAAAAAAAAAGAGTGAATTTTGTGGCCAAACTGCAACTGTTTGTCCATGTACAGGTATGTTCATAATGTACACAATGTAAAATTCTGCTTTTATGAATATTGGTTATTGTACAAACTATGTATAAACTGTATCTATTGAACAAAGAAATGGTTTGCCATTGAAAAGAAACAAGTGTAGAAATCTTCTCAGCCAAGAATAAATCATTGGAAATAAAGTATTTCTTGTTTTTCTAGTGATTGCCTTGTTTTCCTTTTTCACCCATGGTGCCTCCTTGTGGACGAAATCAGCTATTGACTCTCCAAATCTTATTGCAGCTTTTCTTTATACCACTATTACATTAAGTGTAAGTCTACATCATCTAATGAAGTCTTTCTGTACACAAAATCCAGAGGTGAGTAATGATCACAGTGATGTGTTCAGAGTCAGTCAGGTATTAGAGTGGTGCTGAGCTCATCCTTTTAAATATTTGAAACATTTCACTGCAGAAAGGAGGCAGACAACCTTTAAAGTTGAAATATGTTGTAAAACAGCGTGAGAATGTGGAAAAATAGTTACCTGTTCAACAAGTTCAGCTGCAACATAGACACTTTTAAGTCAGGAAAAGATCATTTGTCCTTTATTTTTGTTCATCCATCACTCTATACACAAATCACTCAAACTGCTAAATAACATTAGCCTAAAAGATAAAGAACCCTTGTTTTATGCTTTTGTTGTCCATTTTATATTTGCATTGTGTCCAGGTGAAAAACAAAAACTGCTAAACACCTGTTACCATAATTCAGGGCTGAGCTGCAGAGACACTCGAAGGCAAATCTTGTCACAAGAGTCGAGTCATGATTGAGGTTTTAGAGCTTTTCTGTTACAGTAATTATGACCCAAAACTGATCAGTGTATTGCCTGTAAATTTCATCACAGTTATAACATGTCAAAATAGTCACAATATCAAATTTCCTACTTTCTGAGGTGTTTTCAAAAGCTTAGAAAAAAAAAAAGCTTTTTTTCTTTTGTTCTGTATCACAATTAAATGCAGAATGAAAATCTGTCGTCAAAGGTAATACTAACATGTAAAAATGAAATCTTTTGTTACTACACCAACTACCAACCATCTGGTTTTGTCACTTTTACAAAGTAAACGCAAGATAAAGTCAATACCTCCAGTTTAAAAAAAAATTAAATAAAATAAACACTTGAAGGAATACTAAAAATAAATTTTAAAAACTGATGAAAGAAAACATAAAAAAATTAAAATGAGAAAATTTATTTTTTACAATTACATAAAACGGTTTCCTACAGTCATAAAGAATCAAAAGTTTCATGTCAAAGTATCAGGATCACTTTAAAAGGAGTCCAAACTTGATGATTAATACTGGTACCGTCCTCTTTTTCCTCCATGTCCTCCATGTCCACCGTGTCCTCCTTGGTTCCATCCTCCTCCTCCTTTCCATCCACCTCCTCCCCCACCCCATCCACTGCCGCCTCCTCCTCCTCTCCCCCATCCTCCTCCTCCTCTCCCACCACCTTGGCCCCCCCGGCCACCACCTCTACCCCCATCTTGTCTTTGTTGCCAGGGCGGCATTTCTGGAGGTGGAGCTTGTATCTCTGATGGACGTCCTCCTCGATCTGGGACCCTCCCCATCAGAATCTAAGGATAAACAAGACCGCTGTGTGAGAAATAAAATTAAATTTAAGATATTCCAGTAGATGGCAGAAAAGTATTTTAGATTTACCTTATTAACAGCACACTCTGTGTTCTTCCTGCTCGAGCCGCTGCTGGTCTTCACCACGTTGCAGATGTCCTCTCTGGCAGCCAGCAGCTCAGCCATGTCCACGCTGGGCTCTGGCTTCAGAGAGTGTCTCTTGGGCTGGTAAGCCTTTGCCATGCTGTCCACTTTTACCTGACAAAGCCCAGACACACATACAGTTTAAGAAAATCATCTACAGCACAGATCTGACATATGTTTGCTTCGCACTCCTTTAACTCAAATCAACATCTGTTTGAATCATTTATGATCATACAAACAATCTTCTTTTAACAAAGCCTCCTCGCTGAGTTTAAACTCCTCTCCAGTAGAGGAAAGAAAAGCATTTAAAATGATTGTCAAGCAAACATACCTTGGCTCTGTCTGACCACCCGAATGACTGAACCGTAACATCCAGACGTTTGATCAGCATCCTGCGCCGACACTCGTATTCTGAACACAGAGTTGAGTTTATGCACTGCAGCTTCTCCTACAAGAGAGGAGAAACATCCATTCATTAGGTCAGTTCACAACAAGCAGCCAACACAGATACATGCATTCACATCTACCAGGTTATTACCCATTGATCGCTGGACAGAGGTTTCTTCAGTACAGGATTTCCAACGGAGTTGTCTGGGAGATCATTCACGAGTTTACTGACCTATAACAGACACACAGGGTTTAATGTAAGAACATAACCGGAAATAAATCAATTATACTTCAAGCTCTGGTGAGGAACTTCTAGTTTAACGGTCTAAAATAGTTCTACCTTGTCTTTAATGTCAGCTAAGACGTCTGCTGTGTCCTGTCCTCTGGGCTCTGGTAGGTCCAGTGTTTTACAGATGGACAGGAGTGCTTGACATGCCGGACTCTCCTCTTGATGTTTATCAGAGACTCCTCTGCTCACTGAAATCTGAGCAGCCTGGAGCTCGGAGCTCAGAAACACTACAAAATAAAGATGAGTTTATACTTTTGAGTGACTTGTTTATACATGGAGAAAGTGGCATGGAAATCGGAGCATTAGGATAACATACAGACGAATTTCAGGTGGTCTTTTGCATTTCCAACGCTGCCCTTAAGTATCCCTGAAACTACATCTTCATAAGGACAGTGAAGCTCCTTCAGCAGACCGCTCATCTCCACCTGGAGACTGTCCATGTCATCTGGAGGGAAGATGCAGAGACACAGAGGTTAAACGTGAAGGGAGACAGCTGTTTTTACGCAGCTGAACCAGGTATGGATGGATGCGGCTCACCTGGATCAGATGTAATACTCTCCTCTAGATCACACAGAGGTTTTAACCTGGATGACAGCCACTTACACAGGTCCACATACTCGATAGAGGACAAGCCTCCTTCTGCAGCTTTAAGCAGAGCCTTCTCCTCCAGCAGAGGGCCGCTGTAGCTGTAACCATTCAGAGAGAGGAGAGTCCACAAGCTCACATATCAGCACAGATATTTTCACCAGCTACTAGTTACGATCAGTAACAGGCTCAGATATTACCAGAAGAAGCAATTTTCAGAGCTATACTACTACCTTTCTGTAATAACATTAAATTAACTCACCCGAGCTGCTCTAGAGAGTCCAAAATGTCACACTCCATTACAAAACAACCGAGAGCTGTTCACACGTGTTGGTTTAATCACAACACAGCCACACGAACCGGTTCAGAGCTGTAAACAACACTACCTCGGTATCCATTCATATTTACGGCTCATTCACGCAGCACGCCTCCTCGCTGGCACGGTTACGTAAGTGGGTCGGAGGGAAACAGTGACAGTTCCGCCGCAAGAGTTCCCTTTACCTGTAGTAGTGAGCTGAATGATACGGTGGTCGAGAACCGCCACTGCTGCAAATTAAAAAAAAAAAAAAAGGATGCAAAAAAAAAAAAAAGCCACAACGGAAGTTACAGGTGAAAAAAAAAAAGAAACCGACGCCTGCAGCAAACTAAAAAAAAAAAAAAAGAAACGGTGCACATTTGAAAAAAGCCGAGGCCTGCTGCAAATAAAAATAAAAATAAACGGTGCAGATTTTTTTTTTTAAGAAAAAGCCACAACAAAAGTTAATGACACTTAAAAAAAAAATAAAAAATGTAGCGATGCAAAAAAAGTTTCTTACTGGGAAAATAAAGGGATGCAAAAAAAAAAAAAAGCCACAAGGGAAGTGAGCTGCGGGGGACCAGTAATGTAAAAAAGTGCATAAGGCATAAGCGAACTAAGCGCCTGCTTAGGGCCCCGCAGGCAGTAGGGGGCCCCCAAGAGCATTCAAAATAAAATTTAAAATATTTTTCATTTTTTGCATGTATGAGTGATGCTTTCTGTATAGTCAAATATATATTATAGTAAAAATGAAATAAAGTAAAAATATTTTAGTGCTGCTGCTGATGTAGGCCTATAACTCTTACTGCTTTGATTACTGTCAAAGCTCTGCTACTGCTACGTGCCTCCTGCAGTGTAATGTGCACTGTACATCCTGAATATTACATTTTGAGGTTAAAAACCATATGTGGCACCCTGAACATCATTCATCAGTCATTCATTGGTATTATTTTTATTATTGCATTGGTATTATTTATGTTATTACCTAGGCCACCCCCTTAAATGTGTAAAGACATGTCAGGTGCATTAAATTTTTATTGTAGTAAGTGTGTGAATGATCAACAATCAATAGTAATGGCAGAAATAAAGGACCCCAAAATCAAATTTTGTGTAGGGCCCCATTGAGGCTTGGGCCGGCTTTGGGTCTGTGTATCAATCAATCAATCAATCAATCAAACTTTATTTATATAGCACCTTTCATGCTTTTAAGCTGCAACACAAAGTGCTTTACAAAGAGGTAAAAACAAACAACGTTAAAAAAAAAAAAAAAAAAAAAAAAGAGAAAAAGAAAAAACAAAACAAACAACAGTAAATATAGGGCACTTAAATAGGCATAAAACCCGTCCCTTCCCACCCACAGCAGCATATACAGGCATGCACAGCAGCCCACCCCACACACACATACACGCACACACGTATCCACACACCCACACAGTAACTGTCAGTAAAAACATGGCAAGGCACTGATGATTCTGGTAAGGAAAGACCACCTATGGGAGCCGTCCACACCGAGAGGAGCCACAGCCCACCCCCACAGGGAGCACCGCCCCCGAGACCCCCCGACCCAGACAGCCCGGGCGCACCCTGCACATAGTGCAGAGCCCCCTAACCGTCTGGGCCTGGACGATCCCAAGGACCGCGCCCCCCGGGGGCGGACCAGACATACCTCCCAGTGTGGAGGGCCCCCACGAGGAAACTCTGGAGCTAAAAAGACTAGGGCATAGAAGGAATTAAAATAATATTAAAATATCTAAATGACGTAAAAATGTGATAAAAGTAAAGGATAAAATAAACTAAAACCAAATTAGAATAATGTTAGAATATCTAAGTGACATAAAAATGTGATAAAAGTAAAGGATAAAATAAACTAAAACAGTTAAATCAGCTAAAAGCCAAACTAAAAAGGTGGGTCTTGAGCCTCCTTTTAAAAACATCAACAGTCTCTGCGGTCCTGATGTTCTCTGGCAGGCTGTTCCATAACTTTGGGCCATAATGGCTGAAGGCAGCCTCTCCGTGAGTTTTGGTTTTTGTATGAGGAACAACTAAAAGGCCGGCGCCAGAGGACCTCAGGGTACGCGAGGGTTGATAAGATAAAAGCAGTTCAGATAAATAAGATGGGCCAAGACCATTAAGACACTTAAAAACTACTAAAAGAACCTTGAAATCGATCCTGAAACACACGGGGAGCCAGTGCAGGGATTTTAAAACCGGTGTAATGTGCTCCCGCCCTCTGGTCCTCGTCAGCACACGTGCTGCAGAATTTTGTAGCAGTTGTAACATGTGGGTGGTCTTTTTGGGAAGACCAGAGAGCAGGGCATTACAGTAATCTAAACGACTAGAAATAAAAGCATGCATCAGCACCTCCGTGTTGGCCTGAGAGAGAAACGGGCGGACTCTGGCTATATTCTTAAGATGGTAAAAACCTATCTTTGTTATGTTCTTGATATGTGGAATAAAATTCAGCTCAGAGTCAAAAATTACGCCCAGATTCTTAACAGATTGAGCAGGTTTAAAATCTTGTAGTTTTGGTAAAAGTTTCTCTCTCTTGCCTTCAGGACCAATAATTAAAACTTCTGTTTTGTCCTGGTTGAGCTGTAGGAAATTCTCTGCCATCCATGACTTGATATCTAAAATGCAGTTAAAAAGGGCATCAATAGGCCCTGTGTCCTCAGGAGACACGGCAATGTACAACTGTGTATCGTCAGCGTAACTATGGAAGCTGATGCCGTGTCTCCTGATGACGTCCCCAAGGGGAAGCATATAGAGATTAAAAAGTATTGGACCTAAAATTGACCCTTGGGGCACCCCACACTTAATTTCATGAGTTTTTGAGGAACAGGTATCCATACTTACAAAGAAGGATCGTTCCGAGAGATAAGAAATGAACCAGTTAAAAACAGTCCCAGAGAGGCCCACCAGGTGCCTGAGTCTGCTTAATAAAATCTGGTGATCTACTGTGTCAAAGGCAGCGCTTAGATCCAGTAGTACCAGAACTGTGAGTTTCTGTTTATCGGCATTACACCTGATATCATTTAAAATCTTTAAAAGGGCTGTCTCGGTACTGTGGTTCATCCTAAAACCGGATTGATACTTCTCTAAGATATTATTACTTTTTAAGAAATAATTTACTTGGTTAAAAACCAGTCTTTCTAAGATTTTACTTAAAAACGGTAAGTTGGATATGGGTCGATAATTATTAAAAACATCAGTATCCAAATTTCTCTTCTTCAGAAGGGGCCTCACCACCGCCGTTTTAAAGGCAGTGGGGAAGACCCCTGTCTGAAGAGAGCAATTTACTATGGTTAAAATCTGTTCCTCAAAAAATTCGTAAAATGTTTTTAAAAATGATGTGGGAATCGGATCTAAAAGGCAGGTAGTTGGGTTTGCTTGGGAGAAAACTCGACCAAGTGTCCTTGCGTCAACCAGGGCAAAACTCTCCAGTGTTTCCTCAGGTAAAATCAGCTGTTCAGATGTGTTGGAAATCACATTCTGATGAGTTAAAAGACTGGATCTAATATCATCAATTTTGCTCCCGAAGTGGTCTGCAAAGTCCTCACAGAGGGCGTCTGTGGGGGTCTTAAAAGATTTTTTAAAATGGGAGTTTGTTAAGAGGTCGATGGTGGAAAAGAGGAATTTGGAATTGTTTTTATGGTCTGTGATGAGTTTTGCCTTTTTTACTGCATTGTTGTATTTTTTGAGTGAGTCCTGTAGTATTTCGAGGTGAACTGTTAATTTGGTTTTTCTCCATTTGCGTTCGGCACTCCTGCATTTTCTCTTTGTGTTTCTGATTTCGTTGTTTTTTCTCCACGGGGGTAAGGGTTTTGTTTTAATAGTTTTAATTACGGGTGGAGCCACTGTGTCCAATGTGGTTTTTAATGTTCTGTTAAAATGGTCCACAATAAAATCGCATGGTGCAGGTAAAATTGCGGCAGGAGTGCTCTGTAAAATCCCAATAAAATTTGCAGCCACTTCGGGGGTTAGGTAGCGTTTCCTCACCGTTCTCACCGGGGCCTCCTGATGGTTAAAACTGGTGATATTAAAATACACACAGTAGTGATCCGACACAGCCAGGTCGACAACAGAGGACACACCAGTGGATAGGCCGGAAGTTATGACCAAATCCAGGGTGTGCCCTCTGTTGTGAGTCGGCTGTGCCACATGCTGTTTAAAACCCATGCAATTTAAAAGGTTTAAAAACTCCTTAGACATTGGATCAGACGCTGTATCAATGTGCAAGTTAAAATCACCAGTTATTAAAATCCTGTTATGGGTAGTATGTAAAATGGATAATAGATCAGAAAATTCGCTGATAAAAGAGTTGGAGTAGTGGGGTGGTCTGTAAATTGTAATACAGAGAGTAGGAGGACTGCTAAAAACAAATGCGTGGTATTCGAATGATGTAAAACTGTTAAAAGAAACTTCATTTGGGCACAATTTGTTTTTAAATATTGAGGCAGTGCCTCCTCCCTTTCTACCCCCCTTGTTGAAAATAAAAAAATAAAATTAGGGGGGCAAGCCTCGGTGAGAACAATTGAAGCATCAGTGCCAAGCCATGTCTCTGTTAAAAGGAGAATGTCTAAATTATTGTCTAAAATCAGATCATGGATGATAAATGACTTATTTAAAAGCGAGCGCACGTTCAGCACGGCCATATTAGTGTTTGTGCCGAGCGTGCGCTCATCCTCAGGCAGTGGTGAAATGGGAGCCAATGTGACTGGAGTTAAGTTGATGGTCCGTGAAGGGAATGTTCTGTGGGCTCGGTGTGAGATTCTGACTGGGATGCAGGATATGGGGGTGAACTGTAAGTGAGGTGTTGGTGAAACTGACTGTATGCAGGCAGAGGATGAGATTGGAGGAGAAGTGGCAGTGGTATGGTGTAGTACTGGGGGTGGGCGGTAGGGGGGCTGGTGGCGGCGGTAGTGGCTTGGGACAGTGACACAGAGGAAGAGGGGGAAATCAGTCACGTGTGTGTGTCAGGTGTGTGTGTGGGTGTGTGTGTAGGTGTGTATGTGGACTGGACAGCATGTCGAATGTTGTCGCCGAGCACCCTGCTGCCCAGGCGAGAGGGGTGGACTCCGTCAGCCCTATAGAACGGGGATCGGTTCCAAAACAAGTTAAAATTGTCGATAAAACGGAACCCGCAAGGG